TGAGGCAGCGAACTCGGGTCCCTCCCACATACCTATTGCTGAGAGAAGCCTCCTCCTGAGGTGCGTCTGGAAAGTTGGCATACGTCTTGAGCCTAAGCCAGGGAATCACCTCTCATCTCGAGATGATTTGGGGTACACGGAGCATTCCTCGAGTTGCCGTGCTGAAGTTGGTGTTCCTCTAGACTTGGGACAGTGTTCTCGGGGCATCTCTGGAGTTGCCTGAAGGAAGTCGAGCCACCGGTCGTGTTGAATGGGGAACGGGGAATGCCTCTGGAGTCAATGCAGGGGAATCGGGCCTCATCTCGAGTTGATTTGGGGCCCATGGAGCTGCTTTGCGTTGCTGGGGTGACCTCAGGGTCCGTCGAGACTGGTGACAGTGTTCTTGGGGACTGTCTCGAGAACCATTAAGCAAGTCGAAGCTCCTGACTTGCTTGAATGGGACCACGGAAGAGCTCTGCATGCACTGCAGGGGAATGGGGCCTCATCTCGCCTCTAGGGGGAAGTCTCATGGTTTTTCTCGAGTTGCGGCGGGGACCTGGGGTATGTTCTCGACTTACGGCGGGGATGGCCCTTCTAAACACGAGTTTCTTCAGTGACGTCAGGACTCCTGTCTAGTAACGAGGGACACCTCAGGAATCTCATCGAGGCTTGGCAGTGCAAATGGGACGCTTCTTGAGGTGAGGCAGGGCACCCAAGGACACTTTCCAGTAGCCACAGGGATTTTGGGATTCCTATCAGAATTCAAGAGCAGTCAGGCATCGTCACCTTTTGAAGCAATGAACTCCGCGTGCCTCTTGAGGTGTCAACGTGATGTGAGGCATTCCGTCAAAATGAGGCAGGGACCTAGGGCTTTCTCTAAGGTCTCCACAGGGGATTCAGACATCCCTTCATGTTGTGAGATCAAAGACGAGCCTGTATTCAAGCCACTGCAAGGAAATCCGGCCTCCTTTCAAGTTAGGGCTTCTCGCTGTATATTGCCCTTGAGGCAGCGAACTTGGGGTCCCTTCCACATACCTATTGCTGAGAGAAGCCTCCTCCTGAGGTGCGTCTTGAAAGTTGGCATACGTCTTGAGCCTAAGCCAGGGAATCACCTCTCATCTCGAGACGATTTGGGGTACACGGAGCATTCCTCGAGTTGCCGTGCTGAAGTTGGTGTTCCTCTAGACTTGGGACAGTGTTCTCGGGGCATCTCTGGAGTTGCCTGAAGGATGTCGAGCCACCGGTCGTGTTGAATGGGGAACGGGGAATGGCTCTGGAGTCAATTCAGGGGAATCGGGCCTCATCTCGAGTTGATTTGGGGCCCATGGAGCTGCTTTGCGTTGCTGGGGTGACCTCAGGGTCCGTCGAGACTGGTGACAGTGTTCTTGGGGACTCTCTCGAGAACCATTAAGCAAGTCGAAGCTCCTGACTTGCTTGAATGGGACCACGGAATAGCTCTGCATGCACTGCAGGGGAATGGGGCCTCATCTCGCCTCTAGGGGGAAGTCTCATGGTTTTTCTCGAGTTGCGGCGGGGACCTGGGGTATGTTCTCGACTTACGGCGGGGATGGCCCTTCAAAACACGAGTTCTTCAGTGACGTCAGGACTCCTGTCTAGTAACGAGGCACACCTCAGGAATCTCTTCGAGGCTTGGCAGGGCAAAAGGGACGCTTCTCGAGGTAAGGCAGGGCACCCAAGGACCCTTTCCAGTAGCCACAGGGATTTTGGGATTCCTATCAGTATTCAAGAGGAGTGAGGCATTGTCACCTTTTGAAGCAATGAACTTTGCGTGCCTCTTGAGGTGTCAACGGGATGTGAGGCATTCCGTCAAAATGAGGCAGGGACCTAGGGCTTTCTCTAAGGTCTCCACAGGGGATTCAGACATCCCTTCATGTTGTGAGATGAAAGACGAGCCTGTATTCAAGCCACTGCAAGGAAATCCGGCCTCCTTTCAAGTTAGGGTTTCTCGCTGTATATTGCCCTTGAGGCAGCGAAATCGGGGTACCTCCCACATACCTATTGCTGAGAGAAGCCTCCTCCTGAGGTGCGTCTGGAAAGTTGGCATACGTCTTGAGCCTAAGCCAGGGAATCACCTCTCATCTCGAGACGATTTGGGGTACACAGAGCATTCCTCGAGTTGCTGTGCAGAAGTTGGTGTTCCTCTAGACTTGGGACAGTGTTCTCGGGGTATCTCTGGAGTTGCCTGAAGGAAGTCGAGCCACCGGTCGTGTTGAATGGGGAACGGGGAATGGCTCTGGAGTCAATTCAGGGGAATCGGGCCTCATCTCGAGTTGATTTCGGGCCCATGGAGCTGCTTTGCGTTGCTGGGGTGACCTCAGGGTCCGTCGAGACTGGTGACAGTGTTCTTGGGGACTGTCTCGAGAACCATTAAGCAAGTCGAAGCTCCTGACTTGCTTGAATGGGACCACGGAATAGCTCTGCATGCACTGCAGGGGAATGGGGCCTCATCTCGCCTCTAGGGGGAAGTCTCCTGGTTTTTCTCGAGTTGCGGCGGGGACCTGGGGTATGTTCTCGACTTACGGCGGGGATGGCCCTTCAAAACACGAGTTTCTTCAGTGACGTCAGGACTCCTGTCTAGTAACGAGGGACACCTCAGGAATCTCTTCGAGGCTTGGCAGGGCAAAAGGGACGCTTCTCGAGGTGAGGCAGGGCACCCAAGGACCCTTTCCAGTAGCCACAGGGATTTTGGGATTCCTATCAGTATTCAAGAGGAGTGAGGCATTGTCACCTTTTGAAGCAATGAACTTCGCGTGCCTCTTGAGGTGTCAACGGGATGTGAGGCATTCCGTCAAAATGAGGCAGGGACCTAGGGCTTTCTCTAAGGTCTCCACAGGGGATTCAGACATCCCTTCATGTTGTGAGATGAAAGACGAGCCTGTATTCAAGCCACTGCAAGGAAATCCGGCCTCCTTTCAAGTTAGGGCTTCTCGCTGTATATTGCCCTTGAGGCAGCGAACTCGGGGTCCCTCCCACATACCTATTGCTGAGAGAAGCCTCCTCCTGAGGTGCGTCTGGAAAGTTGGCATACGTCTTGAGCCTAAGCCAGGGAATCAGCTCTCATCTCGAGACGATTTGGGGTACACGGAGCATTCCTCGAGTTGCTGTGCAGAAGTTGGTGTTCCTCTAGACTTGGGACAGTGTTCTCGGGGTATCTCTGGAGTTGCCTGAAGGAAGTCGAGCCACCGGTCGTGTTGAATGGGGAACGGGGAATGGCTCTCGAGTCATGCAGGGGAATCGGGCCTCATCTCGAGTTGATTTGGGGCACATGGAGCTGCTTTGCGTTGCTGAGGTGACCTCAGCGTCCGTCGAGACTGGTGACAGTGTTCTTGGGGACTGTCTCGAGATCCATTAAGCAAGTCGAAGCTCCTGACTTGTTTGAATGGGACCACGGAATAGCTCTGCATGCACTGCAGGGGAATGGGGCCTCATCTCGCCTCTAGGGGGAAGTCTCATGGTTTTTCTCGAGTTGCGGCGGGGACCTGGGGTATGTTCTCGACTTACGGCGGGGATGGCCCTTCAAAACACGAGTTTCTTCAGTGACGTCAGGACTCCTGTCTAGTAACGAGGCACACCTCAGGAATCTCATCGAGGCTTGGCAGTGCAAATGGGACGCTTCTTGAGGTGAGGCAGGGCACCCAAGGACCCTTTCCAGTAGCCACAGGGATTTTGGGATTCCTATCAGAATTCAAGAGGAGTCAGGCATCGTCACCTTTTGAAGCAATGAACTCCGCGTGCCTCTCGAGGTGTCAACGGGATGTGAGGCATTCCGTCCAAATGACGCAGGGACCTAGGGCTTTCTCTAAGGTCTCCACAGGGGATTCAGACATCACTTCATGTTGTGAGAAGAAAGACGAGCCTGTATTCAAGCCACTGCAAGGAAATCCGGCCTCCTTTCAAGTTAGGGCTTCTCGCTGTATATTGCCCTTGAGGCAGCGAACTCAGGGTCCCTCCCACATACCTATTGCTGAGAGAAACCTCCTCCTGAGGTGCGTCTTGAAAGTTGGCATACGTCTTGAGCCTAAGCCAGGGAATCACCTCTCATCTCGAGACGATTTGGGGTACACGGAGCATTCCTCGAGTTGCCGTGCTGAAGTTGGTGTTCCTCTAGACTTGGGACAGTGTTCTCGGGGCATCTCTGGAGTTGCCTGAAGGAAGTCAAGCCACCGGTCGTGTTGAATGGGGAACGGGGAATGGCTCTGGAGTCAATGCAGGGGAATCGGGCCTCATCTCGAGTTGATTTGGGACCCATGGAGCTGCTTTGCATTGCTGGGGTGACCTCAGGGTCTGTCGAGACTGGTGACAGTGTTCTTGGGGACTGTCTCGAGAACCATTAAGCAAGTCGAAGCTCCTGACTTGCTTGAATGGGACCACGCAATAGCTCTGCATGCACTGCAGGGGAATGGGGCCTCATCTCGCCTCTAGGGGGAAGTCTCATGGTTTTTCTCGAGTTGCGGCGGGGACCTGGGGTATGTTCTCGACTTACAGCGTGGATGGCCCTTCAAAACACGAGTTTCTTCAGTGACGTCAGGACTCATGTCTAGTAACGAGGGACACCTCAGGAATCTCTTCGAGGCTTGGCAGGGCAAAAGGGACGCTTCTCGAGGTGAGGCAGGGCACCCAAGGACCATTTCCAGTAGCCACAGGGATTTTGGGATTCCTATCAGTATTCAAGAGGAGTGAGGCATTGTCACCTTTTGAAGCAATGAACTTTGCGTGCCTCTTGAGGTGTCAACGGGATGTGAGGCATTCCGTCAAAATGAGGCAGGGACCTAGGGCTTTCTCTAAGGTCTCCACAGGGGATTCAGACATCCCTTCATGTTGTGAGATCAAAGACGAGCCTGTATTCAAGCCACTGCAAGGAAATCCGGCCTCCTTTCAAGTTAGGGCTTCTCGCTGTATATTGCCCTTGAGGCAGCGAACTCGGGGTCCCACCCACATACCTATTGCTGAGAGAAGCCTCCTCCTGAGGTGCGTCTGGAAAGTTGGCATACGTCTTGAGCCTACGCCAGGGAATCACCTCTCATCTCGAGACGATTTGGGGTACACGGAGCATTCCTCGAGTTGCCGTGCTGAAGTTGGTGTTCCTCTAGACTTGGGACAGTGTTCTCGGGGCATCTCTGGAGTTGCCTGAAGGAAGTCGAGCCACCGGTCGTGTTGAATGGGGAACGGGGAATGGCTCTGGAGTCAATGCAGGGGAATCGGGCCTCATCTCGAGTTGATTTGGGGCCCATGGAGCTGCTTTGCGTTGCTGGGGTGACCTCAGGGTCCGTCGAGACTGGTGACAGTGTTCTTGGGGACTGTCTCGAGATCCATTAAGCAAGTTGAAGCTCCTGACTTGTTTGAATGGGACCACGGAATAGCTCTGCATGCACTGCAGGGGAATGGGGCCTCATCTCGCCTCTAGGCGGAAGTCTCATGGTTTTTCTCGAGTTGCGGCGGGGACCTGGGGTATGTTCTCGACTTACGGCGGGGATGGCCCTTCAAAACACGAGTTTCTTCAGTGACGTCAGGACTCCTGTCTAGTAACGAGGGACAACTCAGGAATCTCTTCGAGGCTTGGCAGGGCAAAAGGGACGCTTCTCGAGGTGAGGCAGGGCACCCAAGGACCCTTTCCAGTAGCCACAGGGATTTTGGGATTCCTATCACTATTCAAGAGGAGTGAGGCATTGTCACCTTTTGAAGCAATGAACTTCGCGTGCCTCTTGAGGTGTCAACGGGATGTGAGGCATTACGTCCAAATGAGGCAGGGACCTAGGGCTTTCTCTAAGGTCTCCACAGGGGATTCAGACATCCCCTCATGTTGTGAGATGAAAGACGAGCCTGTATTCAAGCCACTGCAAGGAAATCCGGCCTCCTTTCAAGTTAGGGTTTCTCGCTGTATATTGCCCTTGAGGCAGCGAACTCGGGGTACCTCCCACATACCTATTGCTGAGAGAAGCCTCCTCCTGAGGTGCGTCTGGAAAGTTGGCATACGTCTTGAGCCTAAGCCAGGGAATCAGCTCTCATCTCGAGACGATTTGGGGTACACGGAGCATTCCTCGAGTTGCTGTGCTGAAGTTGGTGTTCCTCTAGACTTGGGAAAGTGTTCTCGGGGTATCTCTAGAGTTGCCTGAAGGAAGTCGAGCCACTGGTCGTGTTGAATGGGGAACGGGGAATGGCTCTGGAGTCAATGCAGGGGAATCGGGCCTCATCTCGAGTTGATTTGGGGCACATGGAGCTGCTTTGCGTTGCTGGGGTGACCTCAGGGTCCGTCGAGACTGGTGACAGTGTTCTTGGGGACTGCCTCGAGAACCATTAAGCAAGTCGAAGCTCCTGACTTGCTTGAATGGGACCACGGAATAGCTCTGCATGCACTGCAGGGGAATGGGGCCTCATCTCGCCTCTAGGGGGAAGTCTCATGGTTTTTCTCGAGTTGCGGCGGGGACCTGGGGTATGTTCTCGACTTACGGCGGGGATGGCCCTTCAAAACACGAGTTTCTTCAGTGACGTCAGGACTCCTGTCTAGTAACGAGGGACACCTCAGGAATCTCTTCGAGGCTTGGCAGGGCAAAAGGGACGCTTCTCGAGGTGAGGCAGGGCACCCAAGGACCCTTTCCAGTAGCCACAGGGATTTTGGGATTCCTATCAGTATTCAAGAGCAGTGAGGTATTGTCACCTTTTGAAGCAATGAACTTCGCGTGCCTCTTGAGGTGTCAACGGGATGTGAGGCATTCCATCAAAATGAGGCAGGGACCTAGGGCTTTCTCTAAGGTCTCCACAGGGGATTCAGACATCCCTTCATGTTGTGAGATGAAAGACGAGCCTGTATTCAAGCCACTGCAAGGAAATCCGGCCTCCTTTCAAGTTAGGGCTTCTCGCTGTATATTGCCCTTGAGGCAGCGAACTCGGGGTCCCTCCCACATACCTATTGCTGAGAGAAGCCTCCTCCTGAGGTGCGTCTGGAAAGTTGGCATACGTCTTGAGCCTAAGCCAGGGAATCACCTCTCATCTCGAGACGATTTGGGGTACACGGAGCATTCCTCGAGTTGCCGTGCTGAAGTTGGTGTTCCTCTAGACTTGGGACAGTGTTCTCGGGGCACCTCTGGAGTTGCCTGAAGGAAGTCGAGCCACCGGTCGTGTTGAATGGGGAACGGGGAATGGCTCTGGAGTCAATGCAGGGGAATCGGGCCTCATCTCGAGTTGATTTGGGGCCCATGGAGCTGCTTTGAATTGCTGGGGTGACCTCAGGGTCCGTCGAGACTGGTGACAGTGTTCTTGGGGACTGTCTCGAGAACCATTAAGCAAGTCGAAGCTCCTGACTTGCTTGAATGGGACCACAGAATAGCTCTGCATGCACTGCAGGGGAATGGGGCCTCATCTCGCCTCTAGGCGGAAGTCTCATGGTTTTTCTCGAGTTGCGGCGGGGACCTGGGGTATGTTCTCGACTTACGGCGGGGATGGCCCTTCAAAACACGAGTTTCTTCAGTGACGTCAGGACTCCTGTCTAGTAACGAGGGACACCTCAGGAATCTCTTCGAGGCTTGGCAGGGCAAAAGGGACGCTTCTCGAGGTGAGGCAGGGCACCCAAGGAACCTTTCCAGTAGCCACAGGGATTTTGGGATTCCTATCAGTATTCAAGAGGAGTGAGGCATTGTCACCTTTTGAAGCAATGAACTTCGCGTGCCTCTTGAGGTGTCAACGGGATGTGAGGCATTCCGTCAAAATGAGGCAGGGACCTAGGGCTTTCTCTAAGGTCTCCACAGGGGATTCAGACATCCCTTCATGTTGTGAGATGAAAGACGAGCCTGTATTCAAGCCACTGCAAGGAAATCCGGCCTCCTTTCAATTTAGGGCTTCTCGCTGTATATTGCCCTTGAGGCAGCGAACTCGGGGTCCCGCCCACATACCTATTGCTGAGAGAAGCCTCCTCCTGAGGTGCTTTTGGAAAGTTGGCATACGTCTTGAGCCTAAGCCAGGGAATCAGCTCTCATCTCGAGACGATTTGGGGTACACGGAGCATTCCTCGAGTTGCTGTGCAGAAGTTGGTGTTCCTCTAGACTTGGGACAGTGTTCTCGGGGTATCTCTGGAGTTGCCTGAAGGAAGTCGAGCCACCGGTCGTGTTGAATGGGGAACGGGGAATGGCTCTCGAGTCAATGCAGGGGAATAGGCCTCATCTCGAGTTGATTTGGGGCACATGGAGCTGCTTTGCGTTGCTGGGGTGACCTCAGCCTCCGTCGAGACTGGTGACAGTGTTCTTGGGGACTGTCTCGAGATCCATTAAGCAAGTCGAAGCTCCTGACTTGTTTGAATGGGACCACGGAATAGCTCTACATGCACTGCAGGGAAATGGGGCCTCATCTCGCCTCGTGGGGGAAGTCTCATGGTTTTTCTCGAGTTGCGGCGGGGACCTGGGGTATGTTCTCGACTTACGGCGGGGATGGCCCTTCAAAACACGAGTTTCTTCAGTGACGTCAGGACTCCTGTCTAGTAACGAGGGACACCTCAGGAATCTCATCGAGGCTTGGCAGTGCAAATGGGACGCTTCTTGAGGTGAGACAAGCCACCCAAGGACCCTTTCCAGTAGCCACAGGGATTTTGGGATTCCTATCAGAATTCAAGAGGAGTCAGGCATCGTCACCGTTTGAAGCAATGAACTCCGCGAGCCTCTCAATTTGTCAACGTGATGTGAGGCATTCCGTCAAAATGAGGCAGGGACCTAGGGCTTTCTCTAACGTCTCCACAGGGGATTCAGACATCCCTTCATGTTGTGAGATCAAAGACGAGCCTGTATTCAAGCCACTGCAAGGAAATCCGGCCTCCTTTCAAGTTAGGGCTTTTCGCTGTATATTGCCCTTGAGGCAGCGAACTCGGGGTCCCTTCCACATACCTATTGCTGAGAGAAGCCTCCTCCTGAGGTGCGCCTTGAAAGTTGGCATACGTCTTGAGCCTAAGCCAGGGAATCACCTCTCATCTCGAGACGATTTGGGGTACACGGAGCATTCCTCGAGTTGCCGTGCTGAAGTTGGTGTTCCTCTAGACTTGGGACAGTGTTCTCGGGGCATCTCTGGAGTTGCCTGAAGGAAGTCGAGCCACCGGTCGTGTTCAATAGGGAACGGGGAATGGCTCTGGAGTCAATGCAGGGGAATCGGGCCTCATCTCGAGTTGATTTGGGGCACATGGAGCTGCTTTGCGTTGCTGGGGTGACCTCAGGGTCCGTCGAGACTGGTGACAGTGTTCTTGGGGACTGTCTCGAGAACCATTAAGCAAGTCGAAGCTCCTGACTTGCTTGAATGGGACCACGGAATAGCTCTGCATGCACTGCAGGGGAATGGGGCCTCATCTCGCCTCTAGGGGGAAGTCTCATGGTTTTCCTCGAGTTGCGGCGGGGACCTGGGGTATGTTCTCGACTTACGGCGGGGATGGCCCTTCAAAACACGAGTTTCTTCAGTGACGTCAGGACTCCTGTCTAGTAACGAGGGACACCTCAGGAATCTCTTCGAGGCTTGGCAGGGCAAAAGGGACGCTTCTCGATGTGAGGCAGGGCACCCAAAGACCCTTTCCAGTAGCCACAGGGATTTTGGGATTCCTATCAGTATTCAAGAGGAGTGAGGCATTGTCACCTTTTGAAGCAATGAACTTCGCGTGCCTCTTGAGGTGTCAACGGGATGTGAGGCATTCCGTCAAAATGAGGCAGGGACCTAGGGCTTTCTCTAAGGTCTCCACAGGGGATTCAGACATCCCTTCATGTTGTGAGATGAAAGATGAGCCTGTATTCAAGCCACTGCAAGGAAATCCGGCCTCCTTTCAATTTAGGGTTTCTCGCTGTATATTGCCCTTGAGGCAGCGAACTCGGGTCCCTCCCACATACCTATTGCTGAGAGAAGCCTCCTCCTGAGGTGCGTCTGGAAAGTTGGCATACGTCTTGAGCCTAAGCCAGGGAATCACCTCTCATCTCGAGATGATTTGGGGTACACGGAGCATTCCTCGAGTTGCCGTGCTGAAGTTGGTGTTCCTCTAGACTTGGGACAGTGTTCTCGGGGCATCTCTGGAGTTGCCTGAAGGAAGTCGAGCCACCGGTCGTGTTGAATGGGGAACGGGGAATGCCTCTGGAGTCAATGCAGGGGAATCGGGCCTCATCTCGAGTTGATTTGGGGCCCATGGAGCTGCTTTGCGTTGCTGGGGTGACCTCAGGGTCCGTCGAGACTGGTGACAGTGTTCTTGGGGACTGTCTCGAGAACCATTAAGCAAGTCGAAGCTCCTGACTTGCTTGAATGGGACCACGGAAGAGCTCTGCATGCACTGCAGGGGAATGGGGCCTCATCTCGCCTCTAGGGGGAAGTCTCATGGTTTTTCTCGAGTTGCGGCGGGGACCTGGGGTATGTTCTCGACTTACGGCGGGGATGGCCCTTCTAAACACGAGTTTCTTCAGTGACGTCAGGACTCCTGTCTAGTAACGAGGGACACCTCAGGAATCTCATCGAGGCTTGGCAGTGCAAATGGGACGCTTCTTGAGGTGAGGCAGGGCACCCAAGGACACTTTCCAGTAGCCACAGGGATTTTGGGATTCCTATCAGAATTCAAGAGCAGTCAGGCATCGTCACCTTTTGAAGCAATGAACTCCGCGTGCCTCTTGAGGTGTCAACGTGATGTGAGGCATTCCGTCAAAATGAGGCAGGGACCTAGGGCTTTCTCTAAGGTCTCCACAGGGGATTCAGACATCCCTTCATGTTGTGAGATCAAAGACGAGCCTGTATTCAAGCCACTGCAAGGAAATCCGGCCTCCTTTCAAGTTAGGGCTTCTCGCTGTATATTGCCCTTGAGGCAGCGAACTTGGGGTCCCTTCCACATACCTATTGCTGAGAGAAGCCTCCTCCTGAGGTGCGTCTTGAAAGTTGGCATACGTCTTGAGCCTAAGCCAGGGAATCACCTCTCATCTCGAGACGATTTGGGGTACACGGAGCATTCCTCGAGTTGCCGTGCTGAAGTTGGTGTTCCTCTAGACTTGGGACAGTGTTCTCGGGGCATCTCTGGAGTTGCCTGAAGGATGTCGAGCCACCGGTCGTGTTGAATGGGGAACGGGGAATGGCTCTGGAGTCAATTCAGGGGAATCGGGCCTCATCTCGAGTTGATTTGGGGCCCATGGAGCTGCTTTGCGTTGCTGGGGTGACCTCAGGGTCCGTCGAGACTGGTGACAGTGTTCTTGGGGACTGTCTCGAGAACCATTAAGCAAGTCGAAGGTCCTGACTTGCTTGAATGGGACCACGGAATAGCTCTGCATGCACTGCAGGGGAATGGGGCCTCATCTCGCCTCTAGGGGGAAGTCTCATGGTTTTTCTCGAGTTGCGGCGGGGACCTGGGGTATGTTCTCGACTTACGGCGGGGATGGCCCTTCAAAACACGAGTTCTTCAGTGACGTCAGGACTCCTGTCTAGTAACGAGGCACACCTCAGGAATCTCTTCGAGGCTTGGCAGGGCAAAAGGGACGCTTCTCGAGGTAAGGCAGGGCACCCAAGGACCCTTTCCAGTAGCCACAGTGATTTTGGGATTCCTATCAGTATTCAAGAGGAGTGAGGCATTGTCACCTTTTGAAGCAATGAACTTTGCGTGCCTCTTGAGGTGTCAACGGGATGTGAGGCATTCCGTCAAAATGAGGCAGGGACCTAGGGCTTTCTCTAAGGTCTCCACAGGGGATTCAGACATCCCTTCATGTTGTGAGATGAAAGACGAGCCTGTATTCAAGCCACTGCAAGGAAATCCGGCCTCCTTTCAAGTTAGGGTTTCTCGCTGTATATTGCCCTTGAGGCAGCGAAATCGGGGTACCTCCCACATACCTATTGCTGAGAGAAGCCTCCTCCTGAGGTGCGTCTGGAAAGTTGGCATACGTCTTGAGCCTAAGCCAGGGAATCACCTCTCATCTCGAGACGATTTGGGGTACACAGAGCATTCCTCGAGTTGCTGTGCAGAAGTTGGTGTTCCTCTAGACTTGGGACAGTGTTCTCGGGGTATCTCTGGAGTTGCCTGAAGGAAGTCGAGCCACCGGTCGTGTTGAATGGGGAACGGGGAATGGCTCTGGAGTCAATTCAGGGGAATCGGGCCTCATCTCGAGTTGATTTCGGGCCCATGGAGCTGCTTTGCGTTGCTGGGGTGACCTCAGGGTCCGTCGAGACTGGTGACAGTGTTCTTGGGGACTGTCTCGAGAACCATTAAGCAAGTCGAAGCTCCTGACTTGCTTGAATGGGACCACGGAATAGCTCTGCATGCACTGCAGGGGAATGGGGCCTCATCTCGCCTCTAGGGGGAAGTCTCCTGGTTTTTCTCGAGTTGCGGCGGGGACCTGGGGTATGTTCTCGACTTACGGCGGGGATGGCCCTTCAAAACACGAGTTTCTTCAGTGACGTCAGGACTCCTGTCTAGTAACGAGGGACACCTCAGGAATCTCTTCGAGGCTTGGCAGGGCAAAAGGGACGCTTCTCGAGGTGAGGCAGGGCACCCAAGGACCCTTTCCAGTAGCCACAGGGATTTTGGGATTCCTATCAGTATTCAAGAGGAGTGAGGCATTGTCACCTTTTGAAGCAATGAACTTCGCGTGCCTCTTGAGGTGTCAACGGGATGTGAGGCATTCCGTCAAAATGAGGCAGGGACCTAGGGCTTTCTCTAAGGTCTCCACAGGGGATTCAGACATCCCTTCATGTTGTGAGATGAAAGACGAGCCTGTATTCAAGCCACTGCAAGGAAATCCGGCCTCCTTTCAAGTTAGGGCTTCTCGCTGTATATTGCCCTTGAGGCAGCGAACTCGGGGTCCCTCCCACATACCTATTGCTGAGAGAAGCCTCCTCCTGAGGTGCGTCTGGAAAGTTGGCATACGTCTTGAGCCTAAGCCAGGGAATCAGCTCTCATCTCGAGACGATTTGGGGTACACGGAGCATTCCTCGAGTTGCTGTGCAGAAGTTGGTGTTCCTCTAGACTTGGGACAGTGTTCTCGGGGTATCTCTGGAGTTGCCTGAAGGAAGTCGAGCCACCGGTCGTGTTGAATGGGGAACGGGGAATGGCTCTCGAGTCATGCAGGGGAATCGGGCCTCATCTCGAGTTGATTTGGGGCACATGGAGCTGCTTTGCGTTGCTGAGGTGACCTCAGCGTCCGTCGAGACTGGTGACAGTGTTCTTGGGGACTGTCTCGAGATCCATTAAGCAAGTCGAAGCTCCTGACTTGTTTGAATGGGACCACGGAATAGCTCTGCATGCACTGCAGGGGAATGGGGCCTCATCTCGCCTCTAGGGGGAAGTCTCATGGTTTTTCTCGAGTTGCGGCGGGGACCTGGGGTATGTTCTCGACTTACGGCGGGGATGGCCCTTCCAAACACGAGTTTCTTCAGTGACGTCAGGACTCCTGTCTAGTAACGAGGGACACCTCAGGAATCTCATCGAGGCTTGGCAGTGCAAATGGGACGCTTCTTGAGGTGAGGCAGGGCACCCAAGGACCCTTTCCAGTAGCCACAGGGATTTTGGGATTCCTATCAGAATTCAAGAGGAGTCAGGCATCGTCACCTTTTGAAGCAATGAACTCCGCGTGCCTCTCGAGGTGTCAACGGGATGTGAGGCATTCCGTCCAAATGACGCAGGGACCTAGGGCTTTCTCTAAGGTCTCCACAGGGGATTCAGACATCACTTCATGTTGTGAGAAGAAAGACGAGCCTGTATTCAAGCCACTGCAAGGAAATCCGGCCTCCTTTCAAGTTAGGGCTTCTCGCTGTATATTGCCCTTGAGGCAGCGAACTCAGGGTCCCTCCCACATACCTATTGCTGAGAGAAACCTCCTCCTGAGGTGCGTCTTGAAAGTTGGCATACGTCTTGAGCCTAAGCCAGGGAATCACCTCTCATCTCGAGACGATTTGGGGTACACGGAGCATTCCTCGAGTTGCCGTGCTGAAGTTGGTGTTCCTCTAGACTTGGGACAGTGTTCTCGGGGCATCTCTGGAGTTGCCTGAAGGAAGTCAAGCCACCGGTCGTGTTGAATGGGGAACGGGGAATGGCTCTGGAGTCAATGCAGGGGAATCGGGCCTCATCTCGAGTTGATTTGGGACCCATGGAGCTGCTTTGCATTGCTGGGGTGACCTCAGGGTCTGTCGAGACTGGTGACAGTGTTCTTGGGGACTGTCTCGAGAACCATTAAGCAAGTCGAAGCTCCTGACTTGCTTGAATGGGACCACGCAATAGCTCTGCATGCACTGCAGGGGAATGGGGCCTCATCTCGCCTCTAGGGGGAAGTCTCATGGTTTTTCTCGAGTTGCGGCGGGGACCTGGGGTATGTTCTCGACTTACAGCGTGGATGGCCCTTCAAAACACGAGTTTCTTCAGTGACGTCAGGACTCATGTCTAGTAACGAGGGACACCTCAGGAATCTCTTCGAGGCTTGGCAGGGCAAAAGGGACGCTTCTCGAGGTGAGGCAGGGCACCCAAGGACCATTTCCAGTAGCCACAGGGATTTTGGGATTCCTATCAGTATTCAAGAGGAGTGAGGCATTGTCACCTTTTGAAGCAATGAACTTTGCGTGCCTCTTGAGGTGTCAACGGGATGTGAGGCATTCCGTCAAAATGAGGCAGGGACCTAGGGCTTTCTCTAAGGTCTCCACAGGGGATTCAGACATCCCTTCATGTTGTGAGATGAAAGACGAGCCTGTATTCAAGCCACTGCAAGGAAATCCGGCCTCCTTTCAAGTTAGGGCTTCTCGCTGTATATTGCCCTTGAGGCAGCGAACTCGGGGTCCCACCCACATACCTATTGCTGAGAGAAGCCTCCTCCTGAGGTGCGTCTGGAAAGTTGGCATACGTCTTGAGCCTAAGCCAGGGAATCACCTCTCATCTCGAGACGATTTGGGGTACACGGAGCATTCCTCGAGTTGCCGTGCTGAAGTTGGTGTTCCTCTAGACTTGGGACAGTGTTCTCGGGGCATCTCTGGAGTTGCCTGAAGGAAGTCGAGCCACCGGTCGTGTTGAATGGGGAACGGGGAATGGCTCTGGAGTCAATGCAGGGGAATCGGGCCTCATCTCGAGTTGATTTGGGGCCCATGGAGCTGCTTTGCGTTGCTGGGGTGACCTCAGGGTCCGTCGAGACTGGTGACAGTGTTCTTGGGGACTGTCTCGAGATCCATTAAGCAAGTTGAAGCTCCTGACTTGTTTGAATGGGACCACGGAATAGCTCTGCATGCACTGCAGGGGAATGGGGCCTCATCTCGCCTCTAGGCGGAAGTCTCATGGTTTTTCTCGAGTTGCGGCGGGGACCTGGGGTATGTTCTCGACTTACGGCGGGGATGGCCCTTCAAAACACGAGTTTCTTCAGTGACGTCAGGACTCCTGTCTAGTAACGAGGGACAACTCAGGAATCTCTTCGAGGCTTGGCAGGGCAAAAGGGACGCTTCTCGAGGTGAGGCAGGGCACCCAAGGACCCTTTCCAGTAGCCACAGGGATTTTGGGATTCCTATCACTATTCAAGAGGAGTGAGGCATTGTCACCTTTTGAAGCAATGAACTTCGCGTGCCTCTTGAGGTGTCAACGGGATGTGAGGCATTACGTCCAAATGAGGCAGGGACCTAGGGCTTTCTCTAAGGTCTCCACAGGGGATTCAGACATCCCCTCATGTTGTGAGATGAAAGACGAGCCTGTATTCAAGCCACTGCAAGGAAATCCGGCCTCCTTTCAAGTTAGGGTTTCTCGCTGTATATTGCCCTTGAGGCAGCGAACTCGGGGTACCTCCCACATACCTATTGCTGAGAGAAGCCTCCTCCTGAGGTGCGTCTGGAAAGTTGGCATACGTCTTGAGCCTAAGCCAGGGAATCAGCTCTCATCTCGAGACGATTTGGGGTACACGGAGCATTCCTCGAGTTGCTGTGCTGAAGTTGGTGTTCCTCTAGACTTGGGACAGTGTTCTCGGGGTATCTCTAGAGTTGCCTGAAGGAAGTCGAGCCACTGGTCGTGTTGAATGGGGAACGGGGAATGGCTCTGGAGTCAATGCAGGGGAATCGGGCCTCATCTCGAGTTGATTTCGGGCACATGGAGCTGCTTTGCGTTGCTGGGGTGACCTCAGCCTCCGTCGAGACTGGTGACAGTGTTCTTGGGGACTGTCTCGAGATCCATTAAGCAAGTCGAAGCTCCTGACTTGTTTGAATGGGACCACGGAATAGCTCTACATGCACTGCAGGGGAATGGGGCCTCATCTCGCCTCTAGGGGGAAGTCTCATGGTTTTTCTCGAGTTGCGGCGGGGACCTGGGGTATGTTCTCGACTTACGGCGGGGATGGCCCTTCAAAACACGAGTTTCTTCAGTGACGTCAGGACTCCTGTCTAGTAACGAGGGACACCTCAGGAATCTCTTCGAGGCTTGGCAGGGCAAAAGGGACGCTTCTCGAGGTGAGGCAGGGCACCCAAGGACCCTTTCCAGTAGCCACAGGGATTTTGGGATTCCTATCAGTATTCAAGAGGATTGAGGCATTGTCACCTTTTGAAGCAATGAACTTCGCGTGACTCTTGAGGTGTCAACGGGATGTGAGGCATTCCGTCCAAATGAGGCAGGGACCTAGGGCTTTCTCTAAGGTCTCCACAGGGGATTCAGACATCCCTTCATGTTGTGAGATGAAAGACGAGCCTGTATTCAAGCCACTGCAAGGAAATCCGGCCTCCTTTCAAGTTAGGGCTTCTCGCTGTATATTGCCCTTGAGGCAGCGAACTCGGGGTCCCTCCCACATACCTATTGCTGAGAGAAGCCTCCTCCTGAGGTGCGTCTGGAAAGTTGGCATACGTCTTGAGCCTAAGCCAGGGAATCACCTGTCATCTCGAGACGATTTGGGGTACACGGAGCATTCCTCGAGTTGCCGTGCTGAAGTTGGTGTTCCTCTAGACTTGGGACAGTGTTCTCGGGGCATCTCTGGAGTTGCCTGAAGGAAGTCGAGCCACCGGTCGTGTTGAATGGGGAACGGGGAATGGCTCTGGAGTCAATTCAGGGGAATCGGGCCTCATCTCGAGTTGATTTGGGGCCCATGGAGCTGCTTTGCGTTGCTGGGGTGACCTCAGGGTCCGTCGAGACTGGTGACAGTGTTCTTGGGGACTGCCTCGAGAACCATTAAGCAAGTCGAAGCTCCTGACTTGCTTGAATGGGACCACGGAATAGCTCTGCATGCACTGCAGGGGAATGGGGCCTCATCTCGCCTCTAGGGGGAAGTCTCATGGTTTTTCTCGAGTTGCGGCGGGGACCTGGGGTATGTTCTCGACTTACGGCGGGGATGGCCCTTCAAAACACGAGTTTCTTCAGTGACGTCAGGACTCCTGTCTAGTAACGAGGGACACCTCAGGAATCTCTTCGAGGCTTGGCAGGGCAAAAGGGACGCTTCTCGAGGTGAGGCAGGGCACCCAAGGACCCTTTCCAGTAGCCACAGGGATTTTGGGATTCCTATCAGTATTCAAGAGCAGTGAGGTATTGTCACCTTTTGAAGCAATGAACTTCGCGTGCCTCTTGAGGTGTCAACGGGATGTGAGGCATTCCATCAAAATGAGGCAGGGACCTAGGGCTTTCTCTAAGGTCTCCACAGGGGATTCAGACATCCCTTCATGTTGTGAGATGAAAGACGAGCCTGTATTCAAGCCACTGCAAGGAAATCCGGCCTCCTTTCAAGTTAGGGCTTCTCGCTGTATATTGCCCTTGAGGCAGCGAACTCGGGGTCCCTCCCACATACCTATTGCTGAGAGAAGCCTCCTCCTGAGGTGCGTCTGGAAAGTTGGCATACGTCTTGAGCCTAAGCCAGGGAATCACCTCTCATCTCGAGACGATTTGGGGTACACGGAGCATTCCTCGAGTTGCCGTGCTGAAGTTGGTGTTCCTCTAGACTTGGGACAGTGTTCTCGGGGCACCTCTGGAGTTGCCTGAAGGAAGTCGAGCCACCGGTCGTGTTGAATGGGGAACGGGGAATGGCTCTGGAGTCAATGCAGGGGAATCGGGCCTCATCTCGAGTTGATTTGGGGCCCATGGAGCTGCTTTGAATTGCTGGGGTGACCTCAGGGTCCGTCGAGACTGGTGACAGTGTTCTTGGGGACTGTCTTGAGAACCATTAAGCAAGTCGAAGCTCCTGACTTGCTTGAATGGGACCACAGAATAGCTCTGCATGCACTGCAGGGGAATGGGGCCTCATCTCGCCTCTAGGGGGAAGTCTCATGGTTTTTCTCGAGTTGCGGCGGGGACCTGGGGTATGTTCTCGACTTACGGCGGGGATGGCCCTTCAAAACACGAGTTTCTTCAGTGACGTCAGGACTCCTGTCTAGTAACGAGGGACACCTCAGGAATCTCTTCGAGGCTTGGCAGGGCAAAAGGGACGCTTCTCGAGGTGAGGCAGGGCACCCAAGGACCCTTTCCAGTAGCCACAGGGATTTTGGGATTCCTATCAGTATTCAAGAGGAGTGAGGCATTGTCACCTTTTGAAGCAATGAACTTCGCGTGCCTCTTGAGGTGTCAACGGGATGTGAGGCATTCCGTCAAAATGAGGCAGGGACCTAGGGCTTTCTCTAAGGTCTCCACAGGGGATTCAGACATCCCTTCATGTTGTGAGATGAAAGACGAGCCTGTATTCAAGCCACTGCAAGGAAATCCGGCCTCCTTTCAATTTAGGGCTTCTCGCTGTATATTGCCCTTGAGGCAGCGAACTCGGGGTCCCGCCCACATACCTATTGCTGAGAGAAGCCTCCTCCTGAGGTGCGTTTGGAAAGTTGGCATACGTCTTGAGCCTAAGCCAGGGAATCAGCTCTCATCTCGAGACGATTTGGGGTACACGGAGCATTCCTCGAGTTGCTGTGCAGAAGTTGGTGTTCCTCTAGACTTGGGACAGTGTTCTCGGGGTATCTCTGGAGTTGCCTGAAGGAAGTCGAGCCACCGGTCGTGTTGAATGGGGAACGGGGAATGGCTCTCGAGTCAATGCAGGGGAATCGGGCCTCATCTCGAGTTGATTTGCGGCACATGGAGCTGCTTTGCGTTGCTGGGGTGACCTCAGGGTCCGTCGAGACTGGTGACAGTGTTCTTGGGGACTGTCTTGAAAACCATTAAGCAAGTCGCAGCTCCTGACTTGCTTAAATGGGACCACAGAATAGCTCTGCATGCACTGCAGGGGAATGGGGCCTCATCTCACCTCTAGGGGGAAGTCTCATGGTTTTTCTCGAGTTGCGGCGGGGACCTGGGGTATGTTCTCGACTTACGGCGGGGATGGCCCTTCAAAACACGAGTTTCTTCAGTGACGTCAGGACTCCTGTCTAGTAACGAGGGACACCTCAGGAATCTCTTCGAGGCTTGGCAGGGCAAAAGGGACGCTTCTCGAGGTGAGGCAGGGCACCCAAGGACCCTTTCCAGTAGCCACAGGGATTTTGGGATTCCTATCAGTATTCAAGAGAAGTGAGGCATTGTCACCTTTTGAAGCAATGAACTTCGTGTGCCTCTTGAGGTGTCAACGGGATGTGAGGCATTCCGTCAAAATGAGGCAGGGACCTAGGGCTATCTCTAAGGTCTCCACAGGGGATTCAGGCATCCCTTCATGTTGTGAGATGAAAGACGAGCCTGTATTCAAGCCACTGCAAGGAAATCCGGCCTCCTTTCAAGTTAGGGCTTCTCGCTGTATATTGCCCTTGAGGCAGCGAACTCGGTGTCCCTCCCACATACCTATTGCTGAGAGAAGCCTCCTCCTGAGGTGCGTCTGGAAAGTTGGCATACGTCTTGAGCCTAAGCCAGGGAATCACCTCTCATCTCGAGACGATTTGGGGTACACGGAGCATTCCTCGAGTTGCCGTGCTGAAGTTGGTGTTCCTCTAGACTTGGGACAGTGTTCTCGGGGCATCTCTGGAGTTGCCTGAAGGAAGTCGAGCCACCGGTCGTGTTGAATGGGGAACGGGGAATGGCTCTGGAGTCAATGCAGGGGAATCGGGCCTCATCTCGAGTTGATTTGGGGCCCATGGAGCTGCTTTGCGTTGCTGGGGTGACCTCAGGGTCCGTCGAGACTGGTGACAGTGTTCTTGGGGACTGTCTCGAGAACCATTAAGCAAGTCGAAGCTCCTGACTTGCTTGAATGGGACCACGGAATAGCTCTGCATGCACTGCAGGGGAATGGGGCCTCATCTCGCCTCTAGGGGGAAGTCTCATGGTTTTTCTCGAGTTGCGGCGGGGACCTGGGGTATGTTCTCGACTTACGGCGGGGATGGCCCTTCAAAACACGAGTTTCTTCAGTGACGTCAGGACTCCTGTCTAGTAACGAGGGACACCTCAGGAATCTCTTCGAGGCTTGGTAGGGCAAAAGGGACGCTTCTCGAGGTGAGGCAGGGCACCTAAGGACCCTTTCCAGTAGCCACAGGGATTTTGGGATTCCTATCAGTATTCAAGAGGAGTGAGGCATTGTCACCTTTTGAAGCAATGAACTTCGCGTTCCTCTTGAGGTGTCAATGGGATGTGAGGCATTCCGTCAAAATGAGGCAGGGACCTAGGGCTTTCTCTAAGGTCTCCACAGGGGATTCAGACATCCCTTCATGTTGTGAGATCAAAGACGAGCCTGTATTCAAGCCACTGCAAGGAAATCCGGCCTCCTTTCAAGTTAGGGCTTCTCGCTGTATATTGCCCTTGAGTCAGCGAAATCCGGGTCCCTCCCACATACCTATTGCTGAGAGAAGCCTCCTCCTGAGGTGCGTCTTGAAAGTTGGCATACGTCTTGAGCCTAAGCCAGGGAATCACCTCTCATCTCGAGACGATTTGGGGTACACGGAGCATTCCTCGAGTTGCCGTGCTGAAGTTGGTGTTCCTCTAGACTTGGGACAGTGTTCTCGGGGCATCTTTGTAGTTGCCTGAAGGAAGTCAAGCCACCGGTCGTGTTGAATGGGGAACGGGGAATGGCTCTGGTGTCAATGCAGGGGAATCGGGCCTCATCTCGAATTGATTTGGGGCACATGGAGCTGCTTTGCGTTGCTGGGGTGACCTCAGCGTCCGTCGAGACTGGTGACAGTGTTCTTGGGGACTGTCTCGAGATCCATTAAGCAAGTCGAAACTCCTGACTTGTTTGAATGGGACCACGGAATAGCTCTGCATGCACTGCAGGGGAATGGGGCCTCATCTCGCCTCTAGGGGGAAGTCTCATGGTTTTTCTCGAGTTGCGGCGGGGACCTGGGGTATGTTCTCGACTTACGGCGGGGATGGCCCTTCAAAACACGAGTTTCTTCAGTGACGTCAAGACTCCTGTCTAGTAACGAGGGACACCTCAGGAATCTCATCGAGGCTTGACAGTGCAAATGGGACGCTTCTTGAGGTGAGGCAGGGCACCCAAGGACACTTTCCAGTAGCCACAGGGATTTTGGGATTCCTATCAGAATTCAAGAGGAGTCAGGCATCGTCACCTTTTGAAGCAATGAACTCCGCGTGCCTCTCGAGGTGTCCACGGGATGTGAGGCATTCCGTCAAAATGAGGCAGGGACCTAGGGCTTTCTCTAAGGTCTCCAAAGGGGATTCAGACATCCCTTCAAGTTGTGAGATCAAAGACGAGCCTGTATTCAAGCCACTGCAAGGAAATCCGGCCTCCTTTCAAGTTAGGGCTTCTCGCTGTATATTGCCCTTGAGGCAGCGAACTCGGGGTCCCTTCCACATACCTATTGCTGAGAGAAGCCTCCTCCTGAGGTGCGTCTTGAAAGTTGGCATACGTCATGAGCCTAAGCCAGGGAATCACCTCTCATCTCGAGACGATTTGGGGTACACGGAGCATTCCTCGAGTTGCCTTGCTGAAGTTGGTGTTCCTCTAGACTTGGGACAGTGTTCTTGGGGCATCTCTGGAGTTGCCTGAAGGAAGTCGAGCCACCGGTCGTGTTGAATGGGGAACGGGGAATGGCTCTGGAGTCAATTCAGGGGAATCGGGCCTCATCTCGAGTTGATTTGGGGCCCATGGAGCTGCTTTGCGTTGCTGGGGTGACCTCAGGGTCCGTCGAGACTGGTGACAGTGTTCTTGGGGACTGTCTCGAGAACCATTAAGCAAGTCGAAGCTCCTGACTTGCTTGAATGGGACCACGGAATAGCTCTGCATGCACTGCAGGGGAATGGGGCCTCATCTCGCCTCGTGGGGGAAGTCTCATGGTTTTTCTCGAGTTGCGGCGGGGACCTGGGGTATGTTCTCGACTTACGGCGGGGATGGCCCTTCAAAACACGAGTTTCTTCAGTGACGTCAGGACTCCTGTCTAGTAACGAGGGACACCTCAGGAATCTCATCGAGGCTTGGCATAGCAAATGGGACGCTTCTTGAGGTGAGGCAGGGCACCCAAGGACCCTTTCCAGTAGCCACAGGGATTTTGGGATTCCTATCAGAATTCAAGAGGAGTCAGGCGTCGTCACCTTTTGAAGCAATGAACTCCGCGTGCCTCTCGAGGTGTCAACGGGATGTGAGGCATTCCGTCCAAATGACGCAGGGACCTAGGGCTTTCTCTAAGGTCTCCACAGGGGATTCAGACATCACTTCATGTTGTGAGAAGAAAGACGAGCCTGTATTCAAGCCACTGCAAGGAAATCCGGCCTCCTTTCAAGTTAGGGCTTCTCGCTGTATATTGCCCTTGAGGCAGCGAACTCAGGGTCCCTCCCACATACCTATTGCTGAGAGAAACCTCCTCCTGAGGTGCGTCTTGAAAGTTGGCATACGTCTTGAGCCTAAGCCAGGGAATCACCTCTCATCTCGAGACGATTTGGGGTACACGGAGCATTCCTCGAGTTGCCGTGCTGAAGTTGGTGTTCCTCTAGACTTGGGACAGTGTTCTCGGGGCATCTCTGGAGTTGCCTGAAGGAAGTCGAGCCACCGGTCGTGTTGAATGGGGAACGGGGAATCGCTCTGGAGTCAATGCAGGGGAATCGGGCCTCATCTCGAGTTGATTTGGGGCCCATGGAGCTGCTTTGCGTTGCTGGGGTGACCTCAGGGTCCGTCGAGACTGGTGACAGTGTTCTTGGGGACTGCCTCGAGAACCATTAAGCAAGTCGAAGCTCCTGACTTGCTTGAATGGGACCACGCAATAGCTCTGCATGCACTGCAGGGGAATGGGGCCTCATCTCGCCTCTAGGGGGAAGTCTCATGGTTTTTCTCGAGTTGCGGCGGGGACCTGGGGTATGTTCTCGACTTACGGCGGGGATGGCCCTTCAAAACACGAGTTTCTTCAGTGACGTCAGGACTCCTGTCTAGTAACGAGGGACACCTCAGGAATCTCTTCGAGGCTTGGCAGGGCAAAAGGGACGCTTCTCGAGGTGAGGCAGGGCACCCAAGGACCCTTTCCAGTAGCCACAGGGATTTTGGGATTCCTATCAGTATTCAAGAGGAGTGAGGCATTGTCACCTTTTGAAGCAATGAACTTTGCGTGCCTCTTGAGGTGTCAACGGGATGTGAGGCATTCCGTCCAAATGAGGCAGGGACCTAGGGCTTTCTCTAAGGTCTCCACAGGGGATTCAGACATCCCTTCATGTTGTGAGATGAAAGACTAGCCTGTATTCAAGCCACTGCAAGGAAATCCGGCCTCCTTTCAAGTTAGGGTTTCTCGCTGTATATTGCCCTTGAGGCAGCGAACTCGGGGTACCTCCCACGTAACTATTGCTGAGAGAAGCCTCCTTCTGAGGTGCGTCTGTAAATTTGGCATACGTCTTGAGCCTAAGCCAGGGAATCACCTCTCATCTCGAGACGATTTGGGGTACACGGAGCATTCCTCGAGTTGCTGTGCTGAAGTTGGTGTTCCTCTAGACTTGGGACAGTGTTCTCGGGGTATCTCGAGAGTTGCCTGAAAGAAGTCGAGCCACTGGTCGTGTTGAATGGGGAACGGGGAATATCTCTGGAGTCAATGCTGGGGAATCGGGCCTCATCTCGAGTTGATTTGGGGCACATGGAGCTGCTTTGCGTTGCTGGGGTGACCTCAGCGTCCGTCGAGACTGGTGACAGTGTTCTTGGGGACTGTCTCGAGATCCATTAAGCAAGTCGAAGCTCCTGACTTGTTTGAATGGGACCACGGAATAGCTCTACATGCACTGCAGGGGAATGGGGCCTCATCTCGCCTCTTGGGGGAAGTCTCATGGTTTTTCTCGAGTTGCGGCGGGGACCTGGGGTATGTTCTCGACTTACGGCGGGGATGGCCCTTCAAAACACGAGTTTCTTCAGTGACGTCAGGACTCCTGTCTAGTAACGAGGGACACCTCAGGAATCTCTTCGAGGCTTGGCAGGGCAAAAGGGACGCTTCTCGAGGTGAGGCAGGACACCCAAGGACCCTTTCCAGTAGCCACAGGGATTTTGGGATTCCTATCAGTATTCAAGAGGAGTGACGCCTTGTCACCTTTTGAAGCAATGAACTTCGTGTGCCTCTTGAGGTGTCAACGGGATGTGAGGCATTCCGTCAAAATGAGGCAGGGACCTAGGGCTTTCTCTAAGGTCTCCACAGGGGATTCAGACATCCCTTCATGTTGTGAGATGAAAGACGAGCCTGTATTCAAGCCACTGCAAGGAAATCCGGCCTCCTTTCAAGTTAGGGCTTCTCGCTGTATATTGCCCTTGAGGCAGCGAACTCGGTGTCCCTCCCACATACCTATTGCTGAGAGAAGCCTCCTCCTGAGGTGCGTATGGAAAGTTGGCATACGTCTTGAGCCTAAGCCAGGGAATCACCTCTCATCTCGAGACGATTTGGGGTACACGGAGCATTCCTCGAGTTGCCGTGCTGAAGTTGGTGTTCTCTAGACTTGGGACACTGTTCTCGGGGCATCTCTGGAGTTGCCTGAAGGAAGTCGAGCCACCGGTCGTGTTGAATGGGGAACGGGGAATAGCTCTGGAGTCAATGCAGGGGAATCGGGCCTCATCTCGAGTTGATTTGGGGCCGACGGAGCTGCTTTGGGTTGCTGGGGTGACCTCAGGGTCCGTCGAGACTGGTGACAGTGTTCTTGGGGACTGTCTCGAGAACCATTAAGCAAGTCGAAGCTCCTGACTTGCTTGAATGGGACCACGGAATAGCTCTGCATGCACTGCAGGGGAATGGGGCCTCATCTCGCCTCTAGGGGGAAGTCTCATGGTTTTTCTCGAGTTGCGGCGGGGACCTGGGGTATGTTCTCGACTTACGGCGGGGATGGCCCTTCAAAACACGAGTTTCTTCAGTGACGTCAGGACTCCTGTCTAGTAACGAGGGACACCTCAGGAATCTCTTCGAAGCTTGGCAGGGCAAAAGGGACGCTTCTTGAGGTGAGGCAGGGCACCCAAGGACCCTTTCCAGTAGCCACAGGGATTTTGGGATTCCTATCAGTATTCAAGAGGAGTGAGGCATTGTCACCTTTTGAAGCAATGAACTTCGCGTGCCTCTTGAGGTGTCAACGGGATGTGAGGCATTCCGTCAAAATGAGACAGGGACCTAGGGCTTTCTCTAAGGTCTCCACAGGGGATTCAGACATCCCTTCATGTTGTGAGATGAAAGACGAGCCTGTATTCAAGCCACTGCAAGGAAATCCGGCCTCCTTTCAAGTTAGGGCTTCTCGCTGTATATTGCCCTTGAGGCAGCGAACTCGGGGTCCCTCCCACATACCTATTGCTGAGAGAAGCCTCCTCCTGAGGTGCGTCTGGAAAGCTGGCATACGTCTTGAGCCTAAGCCAGGGAATCAGCTCTCATCTCGAGACGATTTGGGGTACACGGAGCATTCCTCGAGTTGCTGTGCAGAAGTTGGTGTTCCTCTAGACTTGGGACAGTGTTCTCGGGGTATCTCTGGAGTTGCCTGAAGGAAGTCGAGCCACCGGTCGTGTTGAATGGGGAACGGGGAATGGCTCTGGAGTCAATGCAGGGGAATCGGGCCTCATCTCGAGTTGATTTGGGGCACATGGAGCTGCTTTGCGTTGCTGGGGTGACCTTAGCGTCCGTCGAGACTGGTGACAGTGTTCTTGGGGACTGTCTCGAGATCCATTAAGCAAGTCGAAGCTCCTGACTTGTTTGAATGGGACCACGGAATAGCTCTGCATGCACTGCAGGGGAATGGGGCCTCATCTCGCCTCTAGGGTGAAGTCTCATGGTTTTTCTCGAGTTGCGGCGGTGACCAGGGGTATGTTCTCGACTTACGGCGGGGATGGCCCTTCAAAACACGAGTTTCTTCAGTGACGTAAGGACTCCTGTCTAGTAACGAGGGACACCTCAGGAATCTCATCGAGGCTTGGCAGTGCAAATGGGACGCTTCTTGAGGTGAGGCAGGGCACCCAAGGACCCTTTCCAGTAGCCACAGGGATTTTGGGATTCCTATCAGAATTCAAGAGGAGTCAGGCATCGTCAGCTTTTGAAGCAATGAACTCCGCGTGCCTCTCGAGGTGTCAACGGGATGTGAGGCATTCCGTCCAAATGACGCAGGGACCTAGGGCTTTCTCTAAGGTCTCCACAGGGGATTCAGACATCACTTCATGTTGTGAGAAGAAAGACGAGCCTGTATTCAAGCCACTGCAAGGAAATCCGGCCTCCTTTCAAGTTAGGGCTTCTCGCTGTATATTGCCCTTGAGGCAGCGAACTCGGGGTCCCTCCCACATACCTATTGCTGAGAGAAGCCTCCTCCTGAGGTGCGTCTGGAAAGTTGGCATACGTCTTGAGCCTAAGCCAGGGAATCACCTCTCATCTCGAGACGATTTGGGGTCCACAGAGCATTCCTCGAGTTGCTGTGCAGAAGTTGGTGTTTCTCTAGACTTGGGACAGTGTTCTCGGGGTATCTCTGGAGTTGCCTGAAGGAAGTCGAGCCACCGGTCGTGTTGAATGGGGAACGGGGAATGGCTCTGGAGTCAATGCAGGGGAATCGGGCCTCATCTCGAGTTGATTTGGGGCACATGGAGCTGCTTTGCGTTGCTGGGGTGACCTCAGCGTCCGTCGAGACTGGTGACAGTGTTCTTGGGGACTGTCTCGAGATCCATTAAGCAAGTCGAAGCTCCTGACTTGTTTGAATGGGACCACGGAATAGCTCTGCATGCACTGCAGGGGAATGGGGCCTCATCTCGCCTCTAGGGGGAAGTCTCATGGTTTCTCTCGAGTTGCGGCGGGGACCTGGGGTATGTTCTCGACTTACGGCGGGGATGGCCCTTCAAAACACGAGTTTCTTCAGTGACGTCAGGACTCCTGTCTAGTAACGAGGGACACCTCAGGAATCTCATCGAGGCTTGACAGTGCAAATGGGACGCTACTTGAGGTGAGGCAGGGCACCCAAGGACCCTTTCCAGTAGCCACAGGGATTTTGGGATTCCTATCAGAATTCAAGAGGAGTCAGGCATCGTCACCTTTTGAAGCAATGAACTCCGCGTGCCTCTTGAGGTGTCAACGGGATGTGAGGCATTCCGTCCAAATGAGGCAGGGACCTAGGGCTTTCTCTAAGGTCTCCACAGGGGATTCAGACATCCCTTCATGTTGTGAGAAGAAAGACGAGCCTGTATTCAAGCCACTGCAAGGAAATCCTGCCTCCTTTCAAGGTAGGGTTTCTCGCTGTATATTGCCCTTGAGGCAGCGAACTCGGGGTACCTCCTACATACATATTGCTGAGAGAAGCCTCCTCCTGAGGTGCGTCTGGAAAGTTGGCATACGTCTTGAGCCTAAGCCAGGGAATCAGCTCTCATCTCGAGATGATTTGGGGTACACGGAGCATTCCTCGAGTTGCTGTGCAGAATTTGGTGTTCCTCTAGACTTGGGACAGTGTTCTCGTGGTATCTCTAGAGTTGCCTGAAGGAAGTCGAGCCACTGGTCGTGTTGAATGGGGAACGGGGAATGGCTCTGGAGTCAATGCAGGGGAATCGGGCCTCATCTCGAGTTGATTTGGGGCACATGGAGCTGCTTTGCGTTGCTGGGGTGACCTCAGCGTCCGACGAGACTGGTGACAGTGTTCTTGGGGACTGTCTCGAGATCCATTAAGCAAGTCGAAGCTCCTGACTTGTTTGAATGGGACCACGGAACAGCTCTACATGCACTGCAGGGGAATGGGGCCTCATCTCGCCTCTTGGGGGATGTCTCATGGTTTTTCTCGAGTTGCGGCGGGGACCTGGGGTATGTTCTCGACTTACGGCGGGGATGGCCCTTCAAAACACGAGTTTCTTCAGTGACGTCAGGACTCCTGTCTAGTAACGAGGGACACCTCAGGAATCTCATCGAGGCTTGGCAGTGCAAATGGGACGCTTCTTGAGGTGAGGCAGGGCACCCAAGGACCCTTTCCAGTAGCCACAGGGATTTTGGGATTCCTATCAGAATTCAAGAGGAGTCAGGCATCGTCACCTTTTGAAGCAATGAACTCCGCGTGCCTCTCGAGGTGTCAACGGGATGTGAGGCATTCCGTCCAAATGAGGCAGGGACCTAGGGCTTTCTCTAAGGTCTCCACAGGGGATTCAGACATCCCTTCATGTTGTGAGAAGAAAGACGAGCCTGTATTCAAGCCACTGCAAGGAAATCCGGCCTCCTTTCAAGGTAGGGTTTCTCGCTGTATATTGCCCTTGAGGCAGCGAACTCGGGGTACCTCCTACATACATATTGCTGAGAGAAGCCTCCTCCTGAGGTGCGTCTGGAAAGTTGGCATACGTCTTGAGCCTAAGCCAGGGAATCAGCTCTCATCTCGAGATGATTTGGGGTACACGGAGCATTCCTCGAGTTGCTGTGCAGAAGTTGGTGTTCCTCTAGACTTGGGACACTGTTCTCGTGGTATCTCTAGAGTTGCCTGAAGGAAGTCGAGCCACTGGTCGTGTTGAATGGGGAACGGGGAATGGCTCTGGAGTCAATGCAGGGGAATCGGGCCTCATCTCGAGTTGATTTGGGGCACATGGAGCTGCTTTGCGTTGCTGGGGTGACCTCAGCGTCCGACGAGACTGGTGACAGTGTTCTTGGGGACTGTCTCGAGATCCATTAAGCAAGTCGAAGCTCCTGACTTGTTTGAATGGGACCACGGAATAGCTCTACATGCACTGCAGGGGAATGGGGCCTCATCTCGCCTCTTGGGGGATGTCTCATGGTTTTTCTCGAGTTGCGGCGGGGACCTGGGGTATGTTCTCGACTTACGGCGGGGATGGCCCTTCAAAACACGAGTTTCTTCAGTGACGTCAGGACTCCTGTCTAGTAACGAGGGACACCTCAGGAATCTCATCGAGGCTTGGCAGTGCAAATGGGACGCTTCTTGAGGTGAGGCAGGGCACCCAAGGACCCTTTCCAGTAGCCACAGGGATTTTGGGATTCCTATCAGAATTCAAGAGGAGTCAGGCATCGTCACCTTTTGAAGCAATGAACTCCGCGTGCCTCTCGAGGTGTCAACGGGATGTGAGGCATTCCGTCCAAATGAGGCAGGGACCTAGGGCTTTCTCTAAGGTCTCCACAGGGGATTCAGACATCCCTTCAAGTTGTGAGATCAAAGACGAGCCTGTATTCAAGCCACTGCAAGGAAATCCGGCCTCCTTTCAAGTTAGGGCTTCTCGCTGTATATTGCCCTTGAGGCAGCGAACTCGGGGTCCCTCCCACATACGTATTGCTGAGAGAAGCCTCCTCCTGAGGTGCGTCTGGAAAGTTGGCATACGTCTTGAGCCTAAGCCAGGGAATCACCTCTCATCTCGAGACGATTTGGGGTACACGGAGCATTCCTCGAGTTGCCGTGCTGAAGTTGGTGTTCCTCTAGACTTGGGAGAGTGTTCTCGGGGCATCTCTGGAGTTGCCTGAAGGAAGTCGAGCCACCGGTCGTGTTGAATGGGGAACGGGGAATGGCTCTGGAGTCAATGCAGGGGAATCGGGCCTCATCTCGAGTTGATTTGGGGCCCATGGAGCTGCTTTGCGTTGCTGGGGTGACCTCAGGGTCCGTCGAGACTGGTGACAGTGTTCTTGGGGACTGTCTTGAAAACCATTAAGCAAGTCGCAGCTCCTGACTTGCTTAAATGGGACCACAGAATAGCTCTGCATGCACTGCAGGGGAATGGGGCCTCATCTCACCTCTAGGGGGAAGTCTCATGGTTTTTCTCGAGTTGCGGCGGGGACCTGGGGTATGTTCTCGACTTACGGCGGGAATGGCCCTTCAAAACACGAGTTTCTTCAGTGACGTCAGGACTCCTGTCTAGTAACGAGGGACACCTCAGGAATCTCTTCGAGGCTTGGCAGGGCAAAAGGGACGCTTCTCGAGGTGAGGCAGGGCACCCAAGGACCCTTTCCAGTAGCCACATGGATTTTGGGATTCCTATCAGTATTCAAGAGGAGTGAGGCATTGTCACCTTTTGAAGCAATGAACTTCGTGTGCCTCTTGAGGTGTCAACGGGATGTGAGGCATTCCGTCAAAATGAGGCAGGGACCTAGGGCTATCTCTAAGGTCTCCACAGGGGATTCAGGCATCCCTTCATGTTGTGAGATGAAAGACGAGCCTGTATTCAAGCCACTGCAAGGAAATCCGGCCTCCTTTCAAGTTAGGGCTTCTCGCTGTATATTGCCCTTGAGGCAGCGAACTCGGTGTCCCTCCCACATACCTATTGCTGAGAGAAGCCTCCTCCTGAGGTGCGTCTGGAAAGTTGGCATACGTCTTGAGCCTAAGCCAGGGAATCACCTCTCATCTCGAGACGATTTGGGGTACACGGAGCATTCCTCGAGTTGCCGTGCTGAAGTTGGTGTTCCTCTAGACTTGGGACAGTGTTCTCGGGGCATCTCTGGAGTTGCCTGAAGGAAGTCGAGCCACCGGTCGTGTTGAATGGGGAACGGGGAATGGCTCTGGAGTCAATGCAGGGGAATCGGGCCTCATCTCGAGTTGATTTGGGGCCCATGGAGCTGCTTTGCGTTGCTGGGGTGACCTCAGGGTCCGTCGAGACTGGTGACAGTGTTCTTGGGGACTGTCTCGAGAACCATTAAGCAAGTCGAAGCTCCTGACTTGCTTGAATGGGACCACGGAATAGCTCTGCATGCACTGCAGGGGAATGGGGCCTCATCTCGCCTCTAGGGGGAAGTCTCATGGTTTTTCTCGAGTTGCGGCGGGGACCTGGGGTATGTTCTCGACTTACGGCGGGGATGGCCCTTCAAAACACGAGTTTCTTCAGTGACGTCAGGACTCCTGTCTAGTAACGAGGGACACCTCAGGAATCTCTTCGAGGCTTGGTAGGGCAAAAGGGACGCTTCTCGAGGTGAGGCAGGGCACCCAAGGACCCTTTCCAGTAGCCACAGTGATTTTGGGATTCCTATCAGTATTCAAGAAGAGTGAGGCATTGTCACCTTTTGAAGCAATGAACTTCGCGTGCCTCTTGAGGTGTCAACGGGATGTGAGGCATTCCGTCAAAATGAGGCAGGGACCTAGGGCTTTCTCTAAGGTCTCCACAGGGGATTCAGACATCCCTTCATGTTGTGAGATCAAAGACGAGCCTGTATTCAAGCCACTGCAAGGAAATCCGGCCTCCTTTCAAGTTAGGGCTTCTCGCTGTATATTGCCCTTGAGTCAGCGAAATCCGGGTCCCTCCCACATACCTATTGCTGAGAGAAGCCTCCTCCTGAGGTGCGTCTTGAAAGTTGGCATACGTCTTGAGCCTAAGCCAGGGAATCACCTCTCATCTCGAGACGATTTGGGGTACACGGAGCATTCCTCGAGTTGCCGTGCTGAAGTTGGTGTTCCTCTAGACTTGGGACAGTGTTCTCGGGGCATCTCTGGAGTTGCCTGAAGGAAGTCAAGCCACCGGTCGTGTTGAATGGGGAACGGGGAATGGCTCTGGAGTCAATGCAGGGGAATCGGGCCTCATCTCGAGTTGATTTGGGGCCCATGGAGCTGCTTTGCGTTGCTGGGGTGACCTCAGGGTCCGTCGAGACTGGTGACAGTGTTCTTGGGGACTGTCTTGAGAACCATTAAGCAAGTCGAAGCTCCTGACTTGCTTGAATGGGACCACGGAATAGCTCTGCATGCACTGCAGGGGAATGGGGCCTCATCTCGCCTCTAGGGGGAAGTCTCATGGTTTTTCTCGAGTTGCGGCGGGGACCTGGGGTATGTTCTCGACTTACGGCGGGGATGGCCCTTCAAAACACGAGTTTCTTCAGTGACGTCAGGACTCCTGTCTAGTAACGAGGGACACCTCAGGAATCTCTTCGAGGCTTGGCAGGGCAAAAGGGACGCTTCTCGAGGTGAGGCAGGGCACCCAAGGACCCTTTCAAGTAGCCACAGGGATTTTGGGATTCCTATCAGTATTCAAGAGGAGTGAGGCATTGTCACCTTTTGAAGCAATGAACTTCGCGTGCCTCTTGAGGTGTCAACGGGATGTGAGGCATTCCGTCAAAATGAGGCAGGGACCTAGGGCTTTCTCTAAGGTCTCCACAGGGGATTCAGACATCCCTTCATGTTGTGAGATGAAAGACGAGCCTGTATTCAAGCCACTGCAAGGAAATCCGGCCTCCTTTCAAGTTAGGGCTTCTCGCTGTATATTGCCCTTGAGGCAGAGAACTCGGTGTCCCTCCCACATACCTATTGCTGAGAGAAGCCTCCTCCTGAGGTGCGTATGGAAAGTTGGCATACGTCTTGAGCCTAAGCCAGGGAATCACCTCTCATCTCGAGACGATTTGGGGTACACGGAGCATTCCTCGAGTTGCCGTGCTGAAGTTGGTGTTCTCTAGACTTGGGACACTGTTCTCGGGGCATCTCTGGAGTTGCCTGAAGGAAGTCGAGCCACCGGTCGTGTTGAATGGGGAACGGGGAATAGCTCTGGAGTCAATGCAGGGGAATCGGGCCTCATCTCGAGTTGATTTGGGGCCGACGGAGCTGCTTTGGGTTGCTGGGGTGACCTCAGGGTCCGTCGAGACTGGTGACAGTGTTCTTGGGGACTGTCTCGAGAACCATTAAGCAAGTCGAAGCTCCTGACTTGCTTGAATGGGACCACGGAATAGCTCTGCATGCACTGCAGGGGAATGGGGCCTCATCTCGCCTCTAGGGGGAAGTCTCATGGTTTTTCTCGAGTTGCGGCGGGGACCTGGGGTATGTTCTCGACTTACGGCGGGGATGGCCCTTCAAAACACGAGTTTCTTCAGTGACGTCAGGACTCCTGTCTAGTAACGAGGGACACCTCAGGAATCTCTTCGAAGCTTGGCAGGGCAAAAGGGACGCTTCTTGAGGTGAGGCAGGGCACCCAAGGACCCTTTCCAGTAGCCACAGGGATTTTGGGATTCCTATCAGTATTCAAGAGGACTGAGGCATTGTCACCTTTTGAAGCAATGAACTTCGCGTGCCTCTTGAGGTGTCAACGGGATGTGAGGCATTCCGTCAAAATGAGACAGGGACCTAGGGCTTTCTCTAAGGTCTCCACAGGGGATTCAGACATCCCTTCATGTTGTGAGATGAAAGACGAGCCTGTATTCAAGCCACTGCAAGGAAATCCGGCCTCCTTTCAAGTTAGGGCTTCTCGCTGTATATTGCCCTTGAGGCAGCGAACTCGGGGTCCCTCCCACATACCTATTGCTGAGAGAAGCCTCCTCCTGAGGTGCGTCTGGAAAGCTGGCATACGTCTTGAGCCTAAGCCAGGGAATCAGCTCTCATCTCGAGACGATTTGGGGTACACGGAGCATTCCTCGAGTTGCTGTGCAGAAGTTGGTGTTCCTCTAGACTTGGGACAGTGTTCTCGGGGTATCTCTGGAGTTGCCTGAAGGAAGTCGAGCCACCGGTCGTGTTGAATGGGGAACGGGGAATGGCTCTGGAGTCAATGCAGGGGAATCGGGCCTCATCTCGAGTTGATTTGGGGCACATGGAGCTGCTTTGCGTTGCTGGGGTGACCTTAGCATCCGTCGAGACTGGTGACAGTGTTCTTGGGGACTGTCTCGAGATCCATTAAGCAAGTCGAAGCTCCTGACTTGTTTGAATGGGACCACGGAATAGCTCTGCATGCACTGCAGGGGAATGGGGCCTCATCTCGCCTCTAGGGTGAAGTCTCATGGTTTTTCTCGAGTTGCGGCGGTGACCAGGGGTATGTTCTCGACTTACGGCGGGGATGGCCCTTCAAAACACGAGTTTCTTCAGTGACGTCAGGACTCCTGTCTAGTAACGAGGGACACCTCAGGAATCTCATCGAGGCTTGGCAGTGCAAATGGGACGCTTCTTGAGGTGAGGCAGGGCACCCAAGGACCCTTTCCAGTAGCCACAGGGATTTTGGGATTCCTATCAGAATTCAAGAGGAGTCAGGCATCGTCAGCTTTTGAAGCAATGAACTCCGCGTGCCTCTCGAGGTGTCAACGTGATGTGAGGCATTCCGTCCAAATGAGGCAGGGACCTAGGGCTATCTCTAAGGTCTCCACAGGGGATTCAGACATCACTTCATGTTGTGAGAAGAAAGACGAGCCTGTATTCAAGCCACTGCAAGGAAATCCGGCCTCCTTTCAAGTTAGGGCTTCTCGCTGTATATTGCCCTTGAGGCAGCGAACTCAGGGTCCCTCCCACATACCTATGGCTGAGAGAAACCTCCTCCTGAGGTGCGTCTTGAAAGTTGGCATACGTCTTGAGCCTAAGCCAGGGAATCACCTCTCATCTCGAGACGATTTGGGGTACACGGAGCATTCCTCGAGTTGCCGTGCTGAAGTTGGTGTTCCTCTAGACTTAGGACAGTGTTCTCGGGGCATCTCTGGAGTTGCCTGAAGGAAGTCGAGCCACCGGTCGTGTTGAATGGGGAAACGGGGAATGGCTCTGGAGTCAATGCAGGGGAATCGGGCCTCATCTCGAGTTGATTTGGGGCCCATGGAGCTGCTTTGCGTTGCTGGGGTGACCTCAGGGTCCGTCGAGACTGGTGACAGTGTTCTTGGGGACTGTCTCGAGAACCATTAAGCAAGTCGAAGCTCCGGACTTGCTTGAATGGGACCACAGAATAGCTCTGCATGCACTGCAGGGGAATGGGGCCTCATCTCGCCTCTAGGGGGAAGTCTCATGGTTTCTCTCGAGTTGCGGCGGGGACCTGGGGTATGTTCTCGACTTACGGCGGGGATGGCCCTTCTAAACACGAGTTTCTTCAGTGACGTCAGGACTCCTGTCTAGTAACGAGGCACACCTCAGGAATCTCTTCGAGGCTTGGCAGGGCAAAAGGGACGCTTCTCGAGGTGAGGCAGGGCACCCAAGGACCCTTTCCAGTAGCCACAGGGATTTTGGGATTCCTATCAGTATTCAAGAGGAGTGAGGTATTGTCACCTTTTGAATCAATGAACTTCGCGTGCCTCTTGTGGTGTCAACGGGATGTGGGGCATTCCGTCAAAATGAGGCAGGGACCTAGGGCTTTCTCTAAGGTCTCCACAGGGGATTCAGACATCCCTTCATGTTGTGAGATGAAAGACGAGCCTGTATTCAAGCCACTGCAAGGAAATCCGGCCTCCTTTCAAGTTAGGTCTTCTCGCTGTATATTGCCCTTGAGGCAGCGAACTCGGGGTCCCTCCCACATACCTATTGCTGAGAGAAGCCTCCTCCTGAGGTGCGTCTGGAAAGTTGGCATACGTCTTGAGCCTAAGCCAGGGAATCACCTCTCATCTCGAGACGATTTGGGGTACACAGAGCATTCCTCGAGTTGCTGTGCAGAAGTTGGTGTTTCTCTAGACTTGGGACAGTGTTCTCGGGGTATCTCTGGAGTTGCCTGAAGGAAGTCGAGCCACCGGTCGTGTTGAATGGGGAACGGGGAATGGCTCTGGAGTCAATGCAGGGGAATCGGGCCTCATCTCGAGTTGATTTGGGGCACATGGAGCTGCTTTGCGTTGCTGGGGTGACCTCAGCGTCCGTCGAGACTGGTGACAGTGTTCTTGGGGACTGTCTCGAGATCCATTAAGCAAGTCGAAGCTCCTGACTTGTTTGAATGGGACCACGGAATAGCTCTGCATGCACTGCAGGGGAATGGGGCCTCATCTCGCCTCTAGGGGGAAGTCTCATGGTTTCTCTCGAGTTGCGGCGGGGACCTGGGGCATGTTCTCGACTTACGGCGGGGATGGCCCTTCAAAACACGAGTTTCTTCAGTGACGTCAGGACTACTGTCTAGTAACGAGGGACACCTCAGGAATCTCATCGAGGCTTGACAGTGCAAATGGGACGCTTCTTGAGGTGAGGCAGGGCACCCAAGGACCCTTTCCAGTAGCCACAGGGATTTTGGGATTCCTATCAGAATTCAAGAGGAGTCAGGCATCGTCACCTTTTGAAGCAATGAACTCCGCGTGCCTCTCGAGGTGTCAACGGGATGTGAGGCATTCCGTCCAAATGAGGCAGGGACCTAGGGCTTTCTCTAAGGTCTCCACAGGGGATTCAGATATCCCTTCATGTTGTGAGAAGAAAGACGAGCCTGTATTCAAGCCACTGCAAGGAAATCCGGCCTCCTTTCAAGGTAGGGTTTCTCGCTGTATATTGCCCTTGAGGCAGCGAACTCGGGGTACCTCCTACATACATATTGCTGAGAGAAGCCTCCTCCTGAGGTGCGTCTGGAAAGTTGGCATACGTCTTGAGCCTAAGCCAGGGAATCAGCTCTCATCTCGAGATGATTTGGGGTACACGGAGCATTCCTCGAGTTGCTGTGCAGAAGTTGGTGTTCCTCTAGACTTGGGACAGTGTTCTCGTGGTATCTCTAGAGTTGCCTGAAGGAAGTCGAGCCACTGGTCGTGTTGAATGGGGAACGGGGAATGGCTCTGGAGTCAATGCAGGGGAATCGGGCCTCATCTCGAGTTGATTTGGGGCACATGGAGCTGCTTTGCGTTGCTGGGGTGACCTCAGCGTCCGACGAGACTGGTGACAGTGTTCTTGGGGACTGTCTCGAGATCCATTAAGCAAGTCGAAGCTCCTGACTTGTTTGAATGGGACCACGGAATAGCTCTACATGCACTGCAGGGGAATGGGGCCTCATCTCGCCTCTTGGGGGATGTCTCATGGTTTTTCTCGAGTTGCGGCGGGGACCTGGGGTATGTTCTCGACTTACGGCGGGGATGGCCCTTCAAAACACGAGTTTCTTCAGTGACGTCAGGACTCCTGTCTAGTAACGAGGGACACCTCAGGAATCTCATCGAGGCTTGGCAGTGCAAATGGGACGTTTCTTGAGGTGAGGCAGGGCACCCAAGGACCCTTTCCAGTAGCCACAGGGATTTTGGGATTCCTATCAGAATTCAAGAGGAGTCAGGCATCGTCACCTTTTGAAGCAATGAACTCCGCGTGCCTCTCGAGGTGTCAACGGGATGTGAGGCATTCCGTCCAAATGAGGCAGGGACCTAGGGCTTTCTCTAAGGTCTCCACAGGGGATTCAGACATCCCTTCAAGTTGTGAGATCAAAGACGAGCCTGTATTCAAGCCACTGCAAGGAAATCCGGCCTCCTTTCAAGTTAGGGCTTCTCGCTGTATATTGCCCTTGAGGCAGCGAACTCGGGGTCCCTCCCACATACGTATTGCTGAGAGAAGCCTCCTCCTGAGGTGCGTCTGGAAAGTTGGCATACGTCTTGAGCCTAAGCCAGGGAATCACCTCTCATCTCGAGACGATTTGGGGTACACGGAGCATTCCTCGAGTTGCCGTGCTGAAGTTGGTGTTCCTCTAGACTTGGGAGAGTGTTCTCGGGGCATCTCTGGAGTTGCCTGAAGGAAGTCGAGCCACCGGTCGTGTTGAATGGGGAACGGGGAATGGCTCTGGAGTCAATGCAGGGGAATCGGGCCTCATCTCGAGTTGATTTGGGGCCCATGGAGCTGCTTTGCGTTGCTGGGGTGACCTCAGGGTCCGTCGAGACTGGTGACAGTGTTCTTGGGGACTGTCTTGAAAACCATTAAGCAAGTCGCAGCTCCTGACTTGCTTAAATGGGACCACAGAATAGCTCTGCATGCACTGCAGGGGAATGGGGCCTCATCTCACCTCTAGGGGGAAGTCTCATGGTTTTTCTCGAGTTGCGGCGGGGACCTGGGGTATGTTCTCGACTTACGGCGGGAATGGCCCTTCAAAACACGAGTTTCTTCAGTGACGTCAGGACTCCTGTCTAGTAACGAGGGACACCTCAGGAATCTCTTCGAGGCTTGGCAGGGCAAAAGGGACGCTTCTCGAGGTGAGGCAGGGCACCCAAGGACCCTTTCCAGTAGCCACATGGATTTTGGGATTCCTATCAGTATTCAAGAGGAGTGAGGCATTGTCACCTTTTGAAGCAATGAACTTCGTGTGCCTCTTGAGGTGTCAACGGGATGTGAGGCATTCCGTCAAAATGAGGCAGGGACCTAGGGCTATCTCTAAGGTCTCCACAGGGGATTCAGGCATCCCTTCATGTTGTGAGATGAAAGACGAGCCTGTATTCAAGCCACTGCAAGGAAATCCGGCCTCCTTTCAAGTTAGGGCTTCTCGCTGTATATTGCCCTTGAGGCAGCGAACTCGGTGTCCCTCCCACATACCTATTGCTGAGAGAAGCCTCCTCCTGAGGTGCGTCTGGAAAGTTGGCATACGTCTTGAGCCTAAGCCAGGGAATCACCTCTCATCTCGAGACGATTTGGGGTACACGGAGCATTCCTCGAGTTGCCGTGCTGAAGTTGGTGTTCCTCTAGACTTGGGACAGTGTTCTCGGGGCATCTCTGGAGTTGCCTGAAGGAAGTCGAGCCACCGGTCGTGTTGAATGGGGAACGGGGAATGGCTCTGGAGTCAATGCAGGGGAATCGGGCCTCATCTCGAGTTGATTTGGGGCCCATGGAGCTGCTTTGCGTTGCTGGGGTGACCTCAGGGTCCGTCGAGACTGGTGACAGTGTTCTTGGGGACTGTCTCGAGAACCATTAAGCAAGTCGAAGCTCCTGACTTGCTTGAATGGGACCACGGAATAGCTCTGCATGCACTGCAGGGGAATGGGGCCTCATCTCGCCTCTAGGGGGAAGTCTCATGGTTTTTCTCGAGTTGCGGCGGGGACCTGGGGTATGTTCTCGACTTACGGCGGGGATGGCCCTTCAAAACACGAGTTTCTTCAGTGACGTCAGGACTCCTGTCTAGTAACGAGGGACACCTCAGGAATCTCTTCGAGGCTTGGTAGGGCAAAAGGGACGCTTCTCGAGGTGAGGCAGGGCACCCAAGGACCCTTTCCAGTAGCCACAGGGATTTTGGGATTCCTATCAGTATTCAAGAGGAGTGAGGCATTGTCACCTTTTGAAGCAATGAACTTCGCGTGCCTCTTGAGGTGTCAACGGGATGTGAGGCATTCCGTCAAAATGAGGCAGGGACCTAGGGCTTTCTCTAAGGTCTCCACAGGGGATTCAGACATCCCTTCATGTTGTGAGATCAAAGACGAGCCTGTATTCAAGCCACTGCAAGGAAATCCGGCCTCCTTTCAAGTTAGGGCTTCTCGCTGTATATTGCCCTTGAGTCAGCGAACTCCGGGTCCCTCCCACATACCTATTGCTGAGAGAAGCCTCCTCCTGAAGTGCGTCTTGAAAGTTGGCATACGTCTTGAGCCTAAGCCAGGGAATCACCTCTCATCTCGAGACGATTTGGGGTACACGGAGCATTCCTCGAGTTGCCGTGCTGAAGTTGGTGTTCCTCTAGACTTGGGACAGTGTTCTCGGGGCATCTCTGGAGTTGCCTGAAGGAAGTCAAGCCACCGGTCGTGTTGAATGGGGAACGGGGAATGGCTCTGGAGTCAATGCAGGGGAATCGGGCCTCATCTCGAGTTGATTTGGGGCCCATGGAGCTGCTTTGCGTTGCTGGGGTGACCTCAGGGTCCGTCGAGACTGGTGACAGTGTTCTTGGGGACTGTCTTGAGAACCATTAAGCAAGTCGAAGCTCCTGACTTGCTTGAATGGGACCACGGAATAGCTCTGCATGCACTGCAGGGGAATGGGGCCTCATCTCGCCTCTAGGGGGAAGTCTCATGGTTTTTCTCGAGTTGCGGCGGGGACCAGGGGTATGTTCTCGACTTACGGCGGGGATGGCCCTTCAAAACACGAGTTTCTTCAGTGACGTCAGGACTCCTGTCTAGTAACGAGGGACACCTCAGGAATCTCTTCGAGGCTTGGCAGGGCAAAAGGGACGCTTCTCGAGGTGAGGCAGGGCACCCAAGGACCCTTTCAAGTAGCCACAGGGATTTTGGGATTCCTATCAGTATTCAAGAGGAGTGAGGCATTGTCACCTTTTGAAGCAATGAACTTCGCGTGCCTCTTGAGGTGTCAACGGGATGTGAGGCATTCCGTCAAAATGAGGCAGGGACCTAGGGCTTTCTCTAAGGTCTCCACAGGGGATTCAGACATCCCTTCATGTTGTGAGATGAAAGACGAGCCTCTATTCAAGCCACTGCAAGGAAATCCGGCCTCCTTTCCAGTTAGGGCTTCTCGCTGTATATTGCCCTGAGGCCGCGAACTCGGGGTACCTCCCACATACCTATTGCTGAGAGAAGCCTCCTCCTGAGGTGCGTCTGGAAAGTTGGCATACGTCTTGAGCCTAAGCCAGGGAATCAGCTCTCATCTCGAGATGATTTGGGGTACACGGAGCATTCCTCGAGTTGCTGTGCTGAAGTTGGTATTCCTCTAGACTTGGGACAGTGTTCTCGGGGTATCTCTGGAGTTGCCTGAAGGAAGTCGAGCCACCGGTCGTGTTGAATGGGGAACGGGGAATGGCTCTGGAGTCAATGCAGGGGAATCGGGCCTCATCTCGAGTTGATTTGGGGCCCATGGAGCTGCTTTGCGTTGCTGGGGTGACCTCAGCGTCCGTCGAGACTGGTGACAGTGTTCTTGGGCACTGTCTCGAGATCCATTAAGCAAGTCGAAGCTCCTGACTTGTTTGAATGGGACCACGGAATAGATCTGCATGCACTGCAGGGGAATGGGGTCTCATCTCGCCTCTAGGGGGACGTCTCATGGTTTTTCTCGAGTTGCGGCGGGGACCTGGGGTATGTTCTCGACTTACGGCGGGGATGGCCCTTCAAAACACAAGTTTCTTCAGTGACGTCAGGACTCCTGTCTAGTAACGAGGGACACCTCAGGAATCTCTTCGAGGCTTGGCAGGGCCAAAGGGACGCTTCTCGAGGTGAGGCAGGGCACCCAAGGACCCTTTCCAGTAGCCACAGGGATTTTGGGATTCCTATCAGTATTCAAGAGGAGTCAGGCATCGTCACCTTTTGAAGCAATGAACTCCGCGTGCCTCTCGAGGTGTCAACGGGATGTGAGGCATTCCGTCCAAATGAGGCAGGGACCTAGGGCTTTCTCTAAGGTCTCCACAGGGGATTCAGACATCCCTTCATGTTGTGAGATGAAAGACGAGCCTGTATTCAAGCCACTGCAAGGAAATCCAGCCTCCTTTCAAGTTAGGGCTTCTCGCTGTATATTGCCCTTGAGGCAGCGAACTCGGGGTCCCTCCCACATACCTATTGCTGAGAGAAGCCTCGTCCTGAGGTGCGTCTTGAAAGTTGGCATACGTCTTGAGCCTAAGCCAGGGAATCAGCTCTCATCTCGAGAAGATTTGGGGTACACGGAGCATTCCTCGAGTTGCCGTGCTGAAGTTGGTGTTCCTCTAGACTTGGGACAGTGTTCTCGGGGCATCTCTGGAGTTGCGTGAAGGAAGTCGAGCCACCGGTCGTGTTGAATGGGGAACGGGGAATGGCTCTGGAGTCAAAGCAGGGGAATCGGGCCTCATCTCGAGTTGATTTGGGGCCCACGGAGCTGCTTTGCATTGCTGGGGTGACCTCAGGGTCCGTCGAGACTGGTGACAGTGTTCTTGGGGACTGTCTCGAGAACCATTAAGCAAGTCGAAGCTCCTGACTTGCTTGAATGGGACCACAGAATAGCTCTGCATGCACTGCAGGGGAATGGGGCCTCATCTCGCCTCTAGGGGGAAGTCTCATGGTTTCTCTCGAGTTGCGGCGGGGACCTGGGGTATGTTCTCGACTTACGGCGGGGATGGCCCTTCAAAACACGAGTTTCTTCAGTGACGTCAGGACTCCTGTCTAGTAACGAGGCACACCTCAGGAATCTCTTCGAGGCTTGGCAGGGCAAAAGGGACGCTTCTCGAGGTGAGGCAGGGCACCCAAGGACCCTTTCCAGTAGCCACAGGGATTTTGGGATTCCTATCAGTATTCAAGAGGAGTGAGGCATTGTCACCTTTTGAAGCAATGAACTTCGCGTGCCTCTTGAGGTGTCAACGGGATGTGAGGCATTCCGTTAAAATGAGGCAGGGACCTAGGGCTTTCTCTAAGGTCTCCACAGGGGATTCAGACATCCCTTCATGTTGTGAGATGAAAGACGAGCCTGTATTCAAGCCACTGCAAGGAAATCCGGCCTCCTTTCAAGTTAGGGCTTCTCGCTGTATATTGCCCTTGAGGCAGCGAACTCGGGGTCCCTCCCACATACCTATTGCTGAGAGAAGCCTCCTCCTGAGGTGCGTCTGGAAAGTTGGCATACGTCTTGAGCCTAAGCCAGGGAATCACCTCTCATCTCGAGAAGATTTGGGGTACACAGAGCATTCCTCGAGTTGCTGTGCAGAAGTTGGTATTCCTCTAGACTTGGGACAGTGTTCTCGGGGTATCTCTGGAGTTGCCTGAAGGAAGTCGAGCCACCGGTCGTGTTGAATGGGGAACGGGGAATGGCTCTGGAGTCAATGCAGGGGAATCGGGCCTCATGTCGAGTTGATTTGGGGCACATGGAGCTGCTTTGCGTTGCTGGGGTGACCTCAGCGTCCGTCGAGACTGGTGACAGTGTTCTTGGGGACTGTCTCGAGAACCATTAAGCAAGTCGAAGCTCCTGACTTGTTTGAATGGGACCACGGAATAGCTCTGCATGCACTGCAGGGGAATGGGGCCTCATCTCGCCTCTAGGGGGAAGTCTCATGGTTTTTCTCGAGTTGCGGCGGGGACCTGGGATATGTTCTCGACTTACGGCGGGGATAGCCCTTCAAAACACGAGTTTCTTCAGTGACGTCAGGACTCCTGTCTAGTAACGAGGGACACCTCAGGAATCTCATCGAGGCTTGGCAGTGCAAATGGGACACTTCTTGAGGTGAGGCAGGGCACCCAAGGACACTTTCCAGTAGCCACAGGGATTTTGGGATTCCTATCAGAATTCAAGAGGAGTCAGGCATCGTTACCTTTTGAAGCAATGAACTCCGCGTGCCTCTCGAGGTGTCAACGGGATGTGAGGCATTCCGTCCAAATGAGGCAGGGACCTAGGGCTTTCTCTAAGGTCTCCACAGGGGATTCAGACATCCCTTCATGTTGTGAGAAGAAAGACGAGCCTGTATTCAAGCCACTGCAAGGAAATCCGGCCTCCTTTCAAGGTAGGGTTTCTCGCTGTATATTGCCCTTGAGGCAGCGAACTCGGGGTACCTCCTACATACCTATTGCTGAGAGAAGCCTCCTCCTGAGGTGCGTCTGGAAAGTTGGCATACGTCTTGAGCCTAAGCCAGGGAATCAGCTCTCATCTCGAGACGATTTGGGGTACACGGAGCATTCCTCGAGTTGCTGTGCTGAAGTTGGTGTTCCTCTAGACTTGGGACAGTGTTCTCGGGGTATCTCTAGAGTTGCCTGAAGGAAGTCGAGCCACTGGTCGTGTTGAATTGGGAACGAGGAATGGCTCTGGAGTCAATGCAGGGGAATCGGGCCTCATCTCGAGTTGATTTGGGGCACATGGAGTTGCTTTGCGTTGCTGGGGTGACCTCAGCGTCCGTCGAGTCTGGTGACAGTGTTCTTGGGGACTGTCTCGAGATCCATTAAGCAAGTCGAAGCTCCTGACTTGTTTGAATGGGACCACGGAATAGCTCTACATGCACTGCAGGGGAATGGGGCCTCATCTCGCCTCTTGGGGGAAGTCTCATGGTTTTTCTCGAGTTGCGGCGGGGACCTGGGGTATGTTCTCGACTTACGGCGGGGATGGCCCTTCAAAACACGAGTTTCTTCAGTGACGTCAGGACTCCTGTCTAGTAACGAGGGACACCTCAGGAATCTCATCGAGGCTTCGCAGTGCAAATGGGACGCTTCTTGAGGTGAGGCAGGGCACCCAAGGACCCTTTCCAGTAGCCACAGGGATTTTGGGATTCCTATCAGAATTCAAGAGGAGTCAGGCATCGTCACCTTTTGAAGCAATGAACTCCGCGTTCCTCTCGAGGTGTCAACGTGATGTGAGGCATTCCGTCAAAATGAGGCAGGGACCTAGGGCTTTCTCTAAGGTCTCCACAGGGGATTCAGACATCCCTTCAAGTTGTGAGATCAAAGACGAGCCTGTATTCAAGCCACTGCAAGGAAATCCGGCCTCCGTTCAAGTTAGGGCTTCTCGCTGTATATTGCCCTTGAGGCAGCGAACTCGGGGTCCCTTCCACATACCTATTGCTGAGAGAAGCCTCCTCCTGAGGTGCGTCTTGAAAGTTGGCATACGTCTTGATCCTAAGCCAGGGAATCACCTCTCATCTCGAGACGATTTGGGGTACACGGAGCATTCCTCGAGTTGCCGTGCTGAAGTTGGTGTTCCTCTAGACTTGGGACAGTGTTCTCGGGGCATCTCTGGAGTTGCCTGAAGGAAGTCGAGCCACCGGTCGTGTTGAATGGGGAACGGGGAATGGCTCTGGAGTCAATTCAGGGGAATCGGGCCTCATCTCGAGTTGATTTGGGGCCCATGGAGCTGCTTTGCGTTGCTGGGGTGACCTCAGGGTCCGTCGAGACTGGTGACAGTGTTCTTGGGGACTGTCTCGAGAACCATTAAGCAAGTCGAAGCTCCTGACTTGCTTGAATGGGACCACGGAATAGCTCTGCATGCACTGCAGGGGAATGGGGCCTCATCTCGCCTCTAGGGGGAAGTCTCATGGTTTTTCTCGAGTTGCGGCGGGGACCTGGGGTATGTTCTCGACTTACGGCGGGGATGGCCCTTCAAAACACGAGTTTCTTCAGTGACGTCAGGACTCCTGTCTAGTAACGAGGGACACCTCAGGAATCTCTTCGAGGCTTGGCAGGGCAAAAGGGACGCTTCTCGAGGTGAGGCAGGGCACCCAAGGACCCTTTCCAGTAGCCACAGGGATTGTGGGATTCCTATCAGTATTCAAGAGGAGTGAGGTATTGTCACCTTTTGAAGCAATGAACTTCGCGTGCCTCTTGAGGTGTCAACGGGATGTGAGGCATTCCGTCAAAATGAGGCAGGGACCTAGGGCTTTCTCTAAGGTCTCCACAGGGGATTCAGACATCCCTTCATGTTGTGAGATGAAAGACGAGCCTGTATTCAAGCCACTGCAAGGAAATCCGGCCTCCTTTCAAGTTAGGGCTTCTCGCTGTATATTGCCCTTGAGGCAGCGAACTCGGGGTCCCTCCCACATACCTATTGCTGAGAGAAGCCTCCTCCTGAGGTGCGTCTTGAAAGTTGGCATACGTCTTGAGCCTAAGCCTGGGAATCACCTCTCATCTCGAGACGATTTGGGGTACACGGAGCATTCCTCGAGTTGCCGTGCTGAAGTTGGTGTTCCTCTAGACTTGGGACAGTGTTCTCGGGGCATCTCTGGAGTTGCCTGAAGGAAGTCGAGCCACCGGTCGTGTTGAATGGGGAACGGGGAATGGCTCTGGAGTCAAAGCAGGGGAATCGGGCCTCATCTCGAGTTGATTTGGGGCCCATGGAGCTGCTTTGCGTTGCTGGGGTGACCTCAGGGTCCGTCGAGACTGGTGAGTGTTCTTGGGGACTGTCTTGAGAACCATTAAGCAAGTCGAAGCTCCTGACTTGCTTAAATGGGACCACAGAATAGCTCTGCATGCACTGCAGGGGAATGGGGCCTCATCTCGCCTCTAGGCGGAAGTCTCATGGTTTTTCTCGAGTTGCGGCGGGGACCTGGGGTATGTTCTCGACTTACGGCGGGGATGGCCCTTCAAAACACGAGTTTCTTCAGTGACGTCAGGACTCCTGTCTAGTAACGAGGGACACCTCAGGAATCTCTTCGAGGCTTGGCAGGGCAAAAGGGACGCTTCTCGAGGTGAGGCAGGGCACCCAAGGACCCTTTCCAGTAGCCACAGGGATTTTGGGATTCCTATCAGTATTCAAGAGGAGTGAGGCATTGTCACCTTTTGAAGCAATGAACTTCGCGTGCCTCTTGAGGTGTCAACGGGATGTGAGGCATTCCGTCAAAATGAGGCAGGGACCTAGGGCTTTCTCTAAGGTCTCCACAGGGGATTCAGACATCCCTTCATGTTGTGAGATGAAAGACGAGCCTGTATTCAAGCCACTGCAAGGAAATCCGGCCTCCTTTCAAGTTAGGGCTTCTCGCTGTATATTGCCCTTGAGGCAGCGAACTCGGGGTCCCTCCCACATACCTATTGCTGAGAGAAGACTCCTCCTGAGGTGCGTCTGGAAAGTTGGCATACGTCTTGAGCCTAAGCCAGGGAATCACCTCTCATCTCGAGACGATTTGGGGTACACAGAGCATTCCTCGAGTTGCTGTGCAGAAGTTGGTGTTCCTCTAGACATGGGACAGTGTTCTCGGGGTATCTCTGGAGTTTCCTGAAGGAAGTCGAGCCACCGGTCGTGTTGAATGGGGAACGGGGAATGGCTCTGGAGTCAATGCAGGGGAATCGGGCCTCATCTCGAGTTGATTTGGGGCACATGGAGCTGCTTTGCGTTGCTGGGGTGACCTCAGCGTCCGTCGAGACTGGTGACAGTGTTCTTGGGGAATGTCTCGAGATCCATTAAGCAAGTCGAAGCTCCTGACTTGTTTGAATGGGACCACGGAATAGCTCTGCATGCACTGCAGGGGAATGGGGCCTCATCTCGCCTCTAGGGGGAAGTCTCATGGTTTTTCTCGAGTTGCGGCGGGGACCTGGGGTATGTTCTCGACTTACGGCGGGGATGGCCCTTCAAAACACGAGTTTCTTCAGTGACGTCAGGACTCCTGTCTAGTAACGAGGGACACCTCAGGAATCTCATCGAGGCTTGGCAGTGCAAATGGGACGCTTCTTGAGGTGAGGCAGGGCACCCAAGGACCCTTTCCAGTAGCCACAGGGATTTTGGGATTCCTATCAGAATTCAAGAGGAGTCAGGCATCGTCACCTTTTGAAGCAATGAACTTCGCGTGCCTCTCGAGGTGTCAACGGGATGTGAGGCATTCCGTCCAAATGAGGCAGGGACCTAGGGCTTTCTCTAAGGTCTCCACAGGGGATTCAGACATCCCTTCATGTTGTGAGAAGAAAGACGAGCCTGTATTCAAGCCACTGCAAGGAAATCCGGCCTCCTTTCAAGGTAGGGTTTCTCGCTGTATATTGCCCTTGAGGCAGCGAACTCGGGGTACAGCCTACATACCTATTGCTGAGAGAAGCCTCCTCCTGAGGTGCGTCTGGAAAGTTGGCATACGTCTTGAGCCTAAGCCAGGGAATCAGCTCTCATCTCGAGACGATTTGGGGTACAAGGAGCATTCCTCGAGTTGCTGTGCTGAAGTTGGTGTTCCTCTAGACTTGGGACAGTGTTCTCGGGGTATCTCTAGAGTTGCCTGAAGGAAGTCGAGCCACTGGTCGTGTTGAATGGGGAACGGGGAATGGCTCTGGAGTCAATGCAGGGGAATCAGGCCTCATCTCGAGTTGATTTGGGGCACATGGAGCTGCTTTGCGTTGCTGGGGTGACCTCAGCGTCCGTCGAGACTGGTGACAGTGTTCTTGGGGACTGTCTCGAGATCCATTAAGCAAGTCGAAGCTCCTGACTTGTTTGAATGGGACCACGGAATAGCTCTACATGCACTGCAGGGGAATGGGGCCTCATCTCGCCTCTTGGGGGAAGTCTCATGGTTTTTCTCGAGTTGCAGCGGGGACCTGGGGTATGTTCTCGACTTACGGCGGGGATGGCCCTTCAAAACACGAGTTTCTTCAGTGACGTCAGGACTCCTGTCTAGTAACGAGGGACACCTCAGGAATCTCATCGAGGCTTGGCAGTGCAAATGGGACGCTTCTTGAGGTGAGGCAGGGCACCCAAGGACCCTTTCCAGTAGCCACAGGTATTTTGGGATTCCTATCATGATTCAAGAGGAGTCAGGCATCGTCACCTTTTGAAGCAATGAACTCCGCGTGCCTCTCGAGGTGTCAACGTGATGTGAGGCATTCCGTCCAAATGAGGCAGGGACCTAGGGCTTTCTCTAAGGTCTCCACAGGGGATTCAGACATCCCTTCAAGTTGTGAGATCAAAGACGAGCCTGTATTCAAGCCACTGCTAGGAAATCCGGCCTCCTTTCAAGTTAGGGCTTCTCGCTGTATATTGCCCTTGAGGCAGCGAACTCGGGGTCCCTTCCACATACCTATTGCTGAGAGAAGCCTCCTCCTGAGGTGCGTCTTGAAAGTTGGCATACGTCTTGAGCCTAAGCCAGGGAATCACCTCCCATCTCGAGACGATTTGGGGTACACGGAGCATTCCTCGAGTTGCCGTGCTGAAGTTGGTGTTCCTCTAGACTTGGGAGAGTGTTCTCGGGGCATCTCTGGAGTTGCCTGAAGGAAGTCGAGCCACCGGTCGTGTTGAATGGGGAACGGGGAATGGCTCTGGAGTCAATGCAGGGGAATCGGGCCTCATCTCGAGTTGATTTGGGGCCCATGGAGCTGCTTTGCGTTGCTGGGGTGACCTCAGGGTCCGTCGAGACTGGTGACAGTGTTCTTGGGGACTGTCTCGAGAACCATTAAGCAAGTCGAAGCTCCTGACTTGCTTGAATGGGACCACAGAATAGCTCTGCATGCACTGCAGGGGAATGGGGCCTCATCTCGCCTCTAGGGGGAAGTCTCATGGTTTTTCTCGAGTTGTGGCGGGGACCTGGGGTATGTTCTCGACTTACGGCGGGGATGGCCCTTCAAAACACGAGTTTCTTCAGTGACGTCAGGACTCCTGTCTAGTAACGAGGGACACCTCAGGAATCTCTTCGAGGCTTGGCAGGGCAAAAGGGACGCTTCTCGAGGTGAGGCAGGGCACCCAAGGACCCTTTCCAGTAGCCACAGGGATTTTGGGATTCCTATCAGTATTCAAGAGGAGTGAGGCATTGTCACCTTTTGAAGCAATGAACTTCGCGTGCCTCTTGAGGTGTCAACGGGATGTGAGGCATTCCGTCAAAATGAGGCAGGGACCTAGGGCTTTCTCTAAGGTCTCCACAGGGGATTCAGACATCCCTTCATGTTGTGAGATCAAAGACGAGCCTGTATTCAAGCCACTGCAAGGAAATCCGGCCTCCTTTCAAGTTAGGGCTTCTCGCTGTATATTGCCCTTGAGGCAGCGAACTCGGGGTCCCTCCCACATACCTATTGCTGAGAGAAGCCTCCTCCTGAGGTGCGTCTTGAAAGTTGGCATACGTCTTGAGCCTAAGCCAGGGAATCAGCTCTCATCTCGAGACGATTTGGGGTACACGGAGCATTCCTCGAGTTGCTGTGCAGAAGTTGGTGTTCCTCTAGACTTGGGACAGTGTCCTCGGGGTATCTCTGGAGTTGCCTGAAGGAAGTCGAGCCACCGGTCGTGTTGAATGGGGAACGGGGAATGGCTCTCGAGTCAATGCAGGGGAATCGGGCCTCATCTCGAGTTGATTTGGGGCACATGGAGCTGCTTTGCGTTGCTGAGGTGACCTCAGCGTCCGTCGAGACTGGTGACAGTGTTCTTGGGGACTGTCTCGAGATCCATTAAGCAAGTCGAAGCTCCTGACTTGTTTGAATGGGAACTCGGAATAGCTCTGCATGCACTGCAGGGGAATGGGGCCTCATCTCGCCTCTAGGGGGAAGTCTCATGGTTTTTCTCGAGTTGCGGCGGGGACCTGGGGTATGTTCTCGACTTACGGCGGGGATGGCCCTTCAAAACACGAGTTTCTCCAGTGACGTCAGGACTCCTGTCTAGTAACGAGGGACACCTCAGGAATTTCTTCGAGGCTTGGCAGTGCAAATGTGACGCTTCTCGAGGTGAGGCAGGGCACCCAAGGACCCTTTCCAGTAGCCACAGGGATTTTGGGATTCCTATCAGAATTCAAGAGGAGTCAGGCATCGTCACCTTTTGAAGCAATGAACTCCGCGTGCCTCTCGAGGTGTCAACGGGATGTGAGGCATTCCGTCCAAATGAGGCAGGGACCTAGGGCTTTCTCTAAGGTCTCTACAGGGGATTCAGACATCCCTTCATGTTGTGAGATGAAAGACGAGCCTGTATTCAAGCCACTGCAAGGAAATCCGGCCTCCTTTCAAGTTAGGGCTTCTCGCTGTATATTGCCCTTGAGGCAGCGAACTCGGGGTCCCTCCCACATACCTATTGCTGAGAGAAGCCTCCTCCTGAGGTGCGTCTGGAAAGTTGGCATACGTCTTGAGCCTAAGCCAGGGAATCAGCTCTCATCTCGAGACGATTTGGGGTACACGGAGCATTCCTCGAGTTGCTGTGCAGAATTTGGTGTTCCTCTAGACTTGGGACAGTGTTCTCGGGGTATCTCTGGAGTTGCCTGAAGGAAGTCGAGCCACCGGTCGTGTTGAATGGGGAACGGGGAATGGCTCACGAGTCAATGCAGGGGAATCGGGCCTCATCTCGAGTTGATTTGGGGCACATGGAGCTGCTTTGCGTTGCTGAGGTGACCTCAGCGTCCGTCGAGACTGGTGACAGTGTTCTTGGGGACTGTCTCGAGATCCATTAAGCAAGTCGAAGCTCCTGACTTGTTTGAATGGGACCACGGAATAGCTCTGCATGCACTGCAGGGGAATGGGGCCTCATCTCGCCTCTAGCGTGAAGTCTCATGGTTTTTCTCGAGTTGCGGCGGGGACCTGGGGTATGTTCTCGACTTACGGCGGGGATGGCCCTTCAAAACACGAGTTTCTTCAGTGACGTCAGGACTCCTGTCTAGTAACGAGGGACACCTCAGGAATCTCATCGAGGCTTGGCAGTGCAAATGGGACGCTTCTCGAGGTGAGGCAGGGCACCCAAGGACCCTTTCCAGTAGCCACAGGGATTTTGGGATTCCTATCAGAATTCAAGAAGAGTCAGGCATCGTCACCTTTTGAAGCAATGAACTCCGGGTGCCTCTCGAGGTGTCAACGGGATGTGAGGCATTCCGTCCAAATGAGGCAGGGACCTAGGGCTTTCTCTAAGGTCTCTACAGGGGATTCAGACATCCCTTCATGTTGTGAGATGAAAGACGAGCCTGTATTCAAGCCACTGCAAGGAAATCCGGCCTCCTTTCAAGTTAGGGCTTCTCGTTGTATATTGCCCTTGAGGCAGCGAACTCGGGGTCCCTCCCACATACCTATTGCTGAGAGAAGCCTCCTCCTGAGGTGCGTCTGGAAAGTTGGCATACGTCTTGAGCCTAAGCCAGGGAATCAGCTCTCATCTCGAGACGATTTGGGGTACACGGAGCATTCCTCGAGTTGCTGTGCAGAATTTGGTGTTCCTCTAGACTTGGGACAGTGTTCTCGGGGTATCTCTAGAGTTGCCTGAAGGAAGTCGAGCCACCGGTCGTGTTGAATGGGGAACGGGGAATGGCTCTGGAGTCAATGCAGGTGAATTGGGCCTCATCTCGAGTTGATTTGGGGCACATGGAGCTGCTTTGCGTTGCTGGGGTGACCTCAGCGTCCGTCGAGACTGGTGACAGTGTTCTTGGGGACTGTCTCGAGATCCATTAAGCAAGTCGAAGCTCCTGACTTGTTTGAATGGGACCACGGAATAGCTCTACATGCACTGCAGGGGAATGGGGCCTCATCTCGCCTCTTGGGGGAAGTCTCATGGTTTTTCTCGAGTTGCGGCGGGGACCTGGGGTATGTTCTCGACTTACGGCGGGGATGGCCCTTCAAAACACGAGTTTCTTCAGTGACGTCAGGACTCCTGTCTAGTAACGAGGGACACCTCAGGAATCTCTTCGAGGCTTGGCAGGGCAAAAGGGACGCTTCTCGAGGTGAGGCAGGGCACCCAAGGACCCTTTCCAGTAGCCACAGGGATTTTGGGATTCCTATCAGTATTCAAGAGGAGTGAGGCATTGTCACCTTTTGAAGCAATGAACTTCGTGTGCCTCTTGAGGTGTCAACGGGATGTGAGGCATTCCGTCAAAATGAGGCAGGGACCTAGGGCTTTCTCTAAGGTCTCCACAGGGGATTCAGACATCCCTTCATGTTGTGAGATGAAAGACGAGCCTGTATTCAAGCCACTGCAAGGAAATCCGGCCTCCTTTCAAGTTAGGGCTTCTCGCTGTATATTGCCCTTGAGGCAGCGAACTCGGGGTCCCTTCCACATACCTATTGCTGAGAGAAGCCTCCTCCTGAGGTGCGTCATGAAAGTTGGCATACGTCTTGAGCCTAAGCCAGGGAATCACCTCTCATCTCGAGACGATTTGGGGTACACGGAGCATTCCTCGAGTTGCCGTGCTGAAGTTGGTGTTCCTCTAGACTTGGGACAGTGTTCTCGGGGCATCTCTGGAGTTGCCTGAAGGAAGTCAAGCCACCGGTCGTGTTGAATGGGGAACGGGGAATGCCTCTGGAGTCAATGCAGGGGAATCGGGCCTCATCTCGAGTTGATTTGGGGCCCATGGAGCTGCTTTGCGTTGCTGGGGTGACCTCATCGTCCGTCGAGACTGGTGACAGTGTTCTTGGGGACTGTCTTGAGAACCATTAAGCAAGTCGAAGCTCCTGACTTGCTTGAATGGGACCACGGAATAGCTCTGCATGCACTGCAGGGGAATGGGGCCTCATCTCGCCTCTAGGGGGAAGTCTCATGGTTTTTCTCGAGTTGCGGCGGGGACCTGGGGTATGTTCTCGACTTACGGCGGGGATGGCCCTTCAAAACACGAGTTTCTTCAGTGACGTCAGGACTCCTGTCTAGTAACGAGGGACACCTCAGGAATCTCTTCGAGGCTTGGCAGGGCAAAAGGGACGCTTCTCGACGTGAGGCAGGGCACCCAAGGACCCTTTCCAGTAGCCACAGGGATTTTGGGATTCCTATCAGTATTCAAGAGGAGTGAGGCATTGTCACCTTTTGAAGCAATGAACTTCGCGTGCCTCTTGAGGTGTCAACGGGATGTGAGGCATTCCGTCAAAATGAGGCAGGGACCTAGGGCTTTCTCTAAGGTCTCCACAGGGGATTCAGACATCCCTTCATGTTGTGAGATCAAAGACGAGCCTGTATTCAAGCCACTGCAAGGAAATCCGGCCTCCTTTCAAGTTAGGGCTTCTCGCTGTATATTGCCCTTGAGTCAGCGAAATCCGGGTCCCTCCCACATACCTATTGCTGAGAGAAGCCTCCTCCTGAGGTGCGTCTTGAAAGTTGGCATACGTCTTGAGCCTAAGCCAGGGAATCACCTCTCATCTCGAGACGATTTGGGGTACACAGAGCATTCCTCGAGTTGCTGTGCAGAAGTTGGTGTTCCTCTAGACTTGGGACAGTGTTCTCGGGGTATCTCTGGAGTTGCCTGAAGGAAGTCGAGCCACCGGTCGTGTTGAATGGGGAACGGGGAATGGCTCTGGAGTCAATGCAGGGGAATCGGGCCTCATCTCGAGTTGATTTGGGGCACATGGAGCTGCTTTGCGTTGCTGGGGTGACCTCAGCGTCCGTCGAGACTGGTGACAGTGTTCTTGGGGACTGTCTCGAGATCCATTAAGCAAGTCGAAGCTCCTGACTTGTTTGAATGGGACCACGGAATAGCTCTGCATGCACTGCAGGGGAATGGGGCCTCATCTCGCCTCTAGGGGGAAGTCTCATGGTTTTTCTCGAGTTGCGGCGGGGACCTGGGATATGTTCTCGACTTACGGCGGGGATGGCCCTTCAAAACACGAGTTTCTTCAGTGACGTCAGGACTCCTGTCTAGTAACGAGGGACACCTCAGGAATCTCATCGAGGCTTGGCAGTGCAAATGGGACGCTTCTTGAGGTGAGGCAGGGCACCCAAGGACACTTTCCAGTAGCCACAGGGATTTTGGGATTCCTATCAGAATTCAAGAGGAGTCAGGCATCGTTACCTTTTGAAGCAATGAACTCCGCGTGCCTCTCGAGGTGTCAACGGGATGTGAGGCATTCCGTCAAAATGAGGCAGGGACCTAGGGCTTTCTCTAAGGTCTCCACAGGGGATTCAGACATCCCTTCATGTTGTGAGAAGAAAGACGATCCTGTATTCAAGCCACTGCAAGGAAATCCGGCCTCCTTTCAAGGTAGGGTTTCTCGCTGTATATTGCCCTTGAGGCAGCGAACTCGGGGTACCTCCTACATACCTATTGCTGAGAGAAGCCTCCTCCTGAGGTGCGTCTGGAAAGTTGGCATACGTCTTGAGCCTAAGCCAGGGAATCAGCTCTCATCTCGAGACGATTTGGGGTACACGGAGCATTCCTCGAGTTGCTGTGCTGAAGTTGGTGTTCCTCTAGACTTGGGACAGTGTTCTCGGGGTATCTCTAGAGTTGCCTGAAGGAAGTCGAGCCACTGGTCGTGTTGAATGGGGAACGGGGAATGGCTCTGGAGTCAATGCAGGGGAATCGGGCCTCATCTCGAGTTGATTTGGGGCACATGGAGCTGCTTTGCGTTGCTGGGGTGACCTCAGCGTCCGTCAAGTCTGGTGACAGTGTTCTTGGGGACTGTCTCGAGATCCATTAAGCAAGTCGAAGCTCCTGACTTGTTTGAATGGTTACACGGAATAGCTCTACATGCACTGCAGGGGAATGGGGCCTCATCTCGCCTCTTGGGGGAAGTCTCATGGTTTTTCTCGAGTTGCGGCGGGGACCTGGGGTATGTTCTCGACTTACGGCGGGGATGGCCCTTCAAAACACGAGTTTCTTCAGTGACGTCAGGACTCCTGTCTAGTAACGAGGGACACCTCAGGAATCTCATCGAGGCTTGGCAGTGCAAATGGGACGCTTCTTGAGGTGAGGCAGGGCACCCAAGGACCCTTTCCAGTAGCCACAGGGATTTTGGGATTCCTATCAGAATTCAAGAGGAGTCAGGCATCGTCACCTTTTGAAGCAATGAACTCCGCGTTCCTCTCGAGGTGTCAACGTGATGTGAGGCATTCCGTCAAAATGAGGCAGGGACCTAGGGCTTTCTCTAAGGTCTCCACAGGGGATTCAGACATCAATTCAAGTTGTGAGATCAAAGACGAGCCTGTATTCAAGCCACTGCAAGGAAATCCGGCCTCCGTTCAAGTTAGGGCTTCTCGCTGTATATTGCCCTTGAGGCAGCGAACTCGGGGTCCCTTCCACATACCTATTGCTGAGAGAAGCCTCCTCCTGAGGTGCGTCTTGAAAGTTGGCATACGTCTTGAGCCTAAGCCAGGGAATCACCTCTCATCTCGAGACGATTTGGGGTACACGGAGCATTCCTCGAGTTGCCGTGCTGAAGTTGGTGTTCCTCTAGACTTGGGACAGTGTTCTCGGGGCATCTCTGGAGTTGCCTGAAGGAAGTCGAGCCACCGGTCGTGTTGAATGGGGAACGGGGAATGGCTCTGGAGTCAATTCAGGGGAGTCGGGCCTCATCTCGAGTTGATTTGGGGCCCATGGAGCTGCTTTGCGTTGCTGGGGTGACCTCAGGGTCCGTCGAGACTGGTGACAGTGTTCTTGGGGACTGTCTCGAGAACCATTAAGCAAGTCGAAGCTCCTGACTTGCTTGAATGGGACCACGGAATAGCTCTGCATGCACTGCAGGGGAATGGGGCCTCATCTCGCCTCTAGGCGGAAGTCTCATGGTTTTTCTCGAGTTGCGGCGGGGACCTGGGGTATGTTCTCGACTTACGGCGGGGATGGCCCTTCAAAACACGAGTTTCTTCAGTGACGTCAGGACTCCTGTCTAGTAACGAGGGACACCTCAGTAATCTCATCGAGGCTTGGCAGTGCAAATGGGACGCTTCTTGAGGTGAGGCAGGGCACCCAAGGACCCTTTCCAGTAGCCACAGGGATTTTGGGATTCCTATCAGAATTCAAGAGGAGTCAGGCATCGTCACCTTTTGAAGCAATGAACTCCGCGTTCCTCTCGAGGTGTCAACGTGATGTGAGGCATTCCGTCAAAATGAGGCAGGGACCTAGGGCTTTCTCTAAGGTCTCCACAGGGGATTCAGACATCCCTTCAAGTTGTGAGATCAAAGACGAGCCTGTATTCAAGCCACTGCAAGGAAATCCGACCTCCGTTCAAGTTAGGGCTTCTCGCTGTATATTGCCCTTGAGGCAGCGAACTCGGGGTCCCTTCCACATACCTATTGCTGAGAGAAGCCTCCTCCTGAGGTGCGTCTTGAAAGTTGGCATACGTCTTGAGCCTAAGCCAGGGAATCACCTCTCATCTCGAGACGATTTGGGGTACACGGAGCATTCCTCGAGTTGCCGTGCTGAAGTTGGTGTTCCTCTCGACTTGGGACAGTGTTCTCGGGGCATCTCTGGAGTTGCCTGAAGGAAGTCGAGCCACTGGTCGTGTTGAATGGGGAACGGGGAATGGCTCTGGAGTCAATTCAGGGGAGTCGGGCCTCATCTCGAGTTGATTTGGGGCCCATGGAGCTGCTTTGCGTTGCTGGGGTGACCTCAGGGTCCGTCGAGACTGGTGACAGTGTTCTTGGGGACTGCCTCGAGAACCATTAAGCAAGTCGAAGCTCCTGACTTGCTTGAATGGGACCACGGAATAGCTCTGCATGCACTGCAGGGGAATGGGGCCTCATCTCGCCTCTAGGGGGAAGTCTCATGGTTTTTCTCGAGTTGGGGCGGGAACCTGGGGTATGTTCTCGACTTACGGCGGGGATGGCCCTTCAAAACACGAGTTTCTTCAGTGACGTCAGGACTCCTGTCTAGTAACGAGGGACACCTCAGGAATCTCATCGAGGCTTGGCAGTGCAAATGGGACACTTCTTGAGGTGAGGCAGGGCACCCAAGGACACTTTCCAGTAGCCACAGGGATTTTGGGATTCCTATCAGAATTCAAGAGGAGTCAGGCATCGTTACCTTTTGAAGCAATGAACTCCGCGTGCCTCTCGAGGTGTCAACGGGATGTGAGGCATTCCGTCCAAATGAGGCAGGGACCTAGGGCTTTCTCTAAGGTCTCCACAGGGGATTCAGACATCCCTTCATGTTGTGAGAAGAAAGACGAGCCTGTATTCAAGCCACTGCAAGGAAATCCGGCCTCCTTTCAAGGTAGGGTTTCTCGCTGTATATTGCCCTTGAGGCAGCGAACTCGGGGTACCTCCTACATACCTATTGCTGAGAGAAGCCTCCTCCTGAGGTGCGTCTGGAAAGTTGGCATACGTCTTGAGCCTAAGCCAGGGAATCAGCTCTCATCTCGAGACGATTTGGGGTACACGGAGCATTCCTCGAGTTGCTGTGCTGAAGTTGGTGTTCCTCTAGACTTGGGACAGTGTTCTCGGGGTATCTCTAGAGTTGCCTGAAGGAAGTCGAGCCACTGGTCGTGTTGAATTGGGAACGAGGAATGGCTCTGGAGTCAATGCAGGGGAATCGGGCCTCATCTCGAGTTGATTTGGGGCACATGGAGTTGCTTTGCGTTGCTGGGGTGACCTCAGCGTCCGTCGAGTCTGGTGACAGTGTTCTTGGGGACTGTCTCGAGATCCATTAAGCAAGTCGAAGCTCCTGACTTGTTTGAATGGGACCACGGAATAGCTCTACATGCACTGCAGGGGAATGGGGCCTCATCTCGCCTCTTGGGGGAAGTCTCATGGTTTTTCTCGAGTTGCGGCGGGGACCTGGGGTATGTTCTCGACTTACGGCGGGGATGGCCCTTCAAAACACGAGTTTCTTCAGTGACGTCAGGACTCCTGTCTAGTAACGAGGGACACCTCAGGAATCTCATCGAGGCTTCGCAGTGCAAATGGGACGCTTCTTGAGGTGAGGCAGGGCACCCAAGGACCCTTTCCAGTAGCCACAGGGATTTTGGGATTCCTATCAGAATTCAAGAGGAGTCAGGCATCGTCACCTTTTGAAGCAATGAACTCCGCGTTCCTCTCGAGGTGTCAACGTGATGTGAGGCATTCCGTCAAAATGAGGCAGGGACCTAGGGCTTTCTCTAAGGTCTCCACAGGGGATTCAGACATCCCTTCAAGTTGTGAGATCAAAGACGAGCCTGTATTCAAGCCACTGCAAGGAAATCCGGCCTCCGTTCAAGTTAGGGCTTCTCGCTGTATATTGCCCTTGAGGCAGCGAACTCGGGGTCCCTTCCACATACCTATTGCTGAGAGAAGCCTCCTCCTGAGGTGCGTCTTGAAAGTTGGCATACGTCTTGATCCTAAGCCAGGGAATCACCTCTCATCTCGAGACGATTTGGGGTACACGGAGCATTCCTCGAGTTGCCGTGCTGAAGTTGGTGTTCCTCTAGACTTGGGACAGTGTTCTCGGGGCATCTCTGGAGTTGCCTGAAGGAAGTCGAGCCACCGGTCGTGTTGAATGGGGAACGGGGAATGGCTCTGGAGTCAATTCAGGGGAATCGGGCCTCATCTCGAGTTGATTTGGGGCCCATGGAGCTGCTTTGCGTTGCTGGGGTGACCTCAGGGTCCGTCGAGACTGGTGACAGTGTTCTTGGGGACTGTCTCGAGAACCATTAAGCAAGTCGAAGCTCCTGACTTGCTTGAATGGGACCACGGAATAGCTCTGCATGCACTGCAGGGGAATGGGGCCTCATCTCGCCTCTAGGGGGAAGTCTCATGGTTTTTCTCGAGTTGCGGCGGGGACCTGGGGTATGTTCTCGACTTACGGCGGGGATGGCCCTTCAAAACACGAGTTTCTTCAGTGACGTCAGGACTCCTGTCTAGTAACGAGGGACACCTCAGGAATCTCTTCGAGGCTTGGCAGGGCAAAAGGGACGCTTCTCGAGGTGAGGCAGGGCACCCAAGGACCCTTTCCAGTAGCCACAGGGATTGTGGGATTCCTATCAGTATTCAAGAGGAGTGAGGTATTGTCACCTTTTGAAGCAATGAACTTCGCGTGCCTCTTGAGGTGTCAACGGGATGTGAGGCATTCCGTCAAAATGAGGCAGGGACCTAGGGCTTTCTCTAAGGTCTCCACAGGGGATTCAGACATCCCTTCATGTTGTGAGATGAAAGACGAGCCTGTATTCAAGCCACTGCAAGGAAATCCGGCCTCCTTTCAAGTTAGGGCTTCTCGCTGTATATTGCCCTTGAGGCAGCGAACTCGGGGTCCCTCCCACATACCTATTGCTGAGAGAAGCCTCCTCCTGAGGTGCGTCTTGAAAGTTGGCATACGTCTTGAGCCTAAGCCTGGGAATCACCTCTCATCTCGAGACGATTTGGGGTACACGGAGCATTCCTCGAGTTGCCGTGCTGAAGTTGGTGTTCCTCTAGACTTGGGACAGTGTTCTCGGGGCATCTCTGGAGTTGCCTGAAGGAAGTCGAGCCACCGGTCGTGTTGAATGGGGAACGGGGAATGGCTCTGGAGTCAAAGCAGGGGAATCGGGCCTCATCTCGAGTTGATTTGGGGCCCATGGAGCTGCTTTGCGTTGCTGGGGTGACCTCAGGGTCCGTCGAGACTGGTGAGTGTTCTTGGGGACTGTCTTGAGAACCATTAAGCAAGTCGAAGCTCCTGACTTGCTTAAATGGGACCACAGAATAGCTCTGCATGCACTGCAGGGGAATGGGGCCTCATCTCGCCTCTAGGCGGAAGTCTCATGGTTTTTCTCGAGTTGCGGCGGGGACCTGGGGTATGTTCTCGACTTACGGCGGGGATGGCCCTTCAAAACACGAGTTTCTTCAGTGACGTCAGGACTCCTGTCTAGTAACGAGGGACACCTCAGGAATCTCTTCGAGGCTTGGCAGGGCAAAAGGGACGCTTCTCGAGGTGAGGCAGGGCACCCAAGGACCCTTTCCAGTAGCCACAGGGATTTTGGGATTCCTATCAGTATTCAAGAGGAGTGAGGCATTGTCACCTTTTGAAGCAATGAACTTCGCGTGCCTCTTGAGGTGTCAACGGGATGTGAGGCATTCCGTCAAAATGAGGCAGGGACCTAGGGCTTTCTCTAAGGTCTCCACAGGGGATTCAGACATCCCTTCATGTTGTGAGATGAAAGACGAGCCTGTATTCAAGCCACTGCAAGGAAATCCGGCCTCCTTTCAAGTTAGGGCTTCTCGCTGTATATTGCCCTTGAGGCAGCGAACTCGGGGTCCCTCCCACATACCTATTGCTGAGAGAAGACTCCTCCTGAGGTGCGTCTGGAAAGTTGGCATACGTCTTGAGCCTAAGCCAGGGAATCACCTCTCATCTCGAGACGATTTGGGGTACACAGAGCATTCCTCGAGTTGCTGTGCAGAAGTTGGTGTTCCTCTAGACATGGGACAGTGTTCTCGGGGTATCTCTGGAGTTTCCTGAAGGAAGTCGAGCCACCGGTCGTGTTGAATGGGGAACGGGGAATGGCTCTGGAGTCAATGCAGGGGAATCGGGCCTCATCTCGAGTTGATTTGGGGCACATGGAGCTGCTTTGCGTTGCTGGGGTGACCTCAGCGTCCGTCGAGACTGGTGACAGTGTTCTTGGGGAATGTCTCGAGATCCATTAAGCAAGTCGAAGCTCCTGACTTGTTTGAATGGGACCACGGAATAGCTCTGCATGCACTGCAGGGGAATGGGGCCTCATCTCGCCTCTAGGGGGAAGTCTCATGGTTTTTCTCGAGTTGCGGCGGGGACCTGGGGTATGTTCTCGACTTACGGCGGGGATGGCCCTTCAAAACACGAGTTTCTTCAGTGACGTCAGGACTCCTGTCTAGTAACGAGGGACACCTCAGGAATCTCATCGAGGCTTGGCAGTGCAAATGGGACGCTTCTTGAGGTGAGGCAGGGCACCCAAGGACCCTTTCCAGTAGCCACAGGGATTTTGGGATTCCTATCAGAATTCAAGAGGAGTCAGGCATCGTCACCTTTTGAAGCAATGAACTTCGCGTGCCTCTCGAGGTGTCAACGGGATGTGAGGCATTCCGTCCAAATGAGGCAGGGACCTAGGGCTTTCTCTAAGGTCTCCACAGGGGATTCAGACATCCCTTCATGTTGTGAGAAGAAAGACGAGCCTGTATTCAAGCCACTGCAAGGAAATCCGGCCTCCTTTCAAGGTAGGGTTTCTCGCTGTATATTGCCCTTGAGGCAGCGAACTCGGGGTACAGCCTACATACCTATTGCTGAGAGAAGCCTCCTCCTGAGGTGCGTCTGGAAAGTTGGCATACGTCTTGAGCCTAAGCCAGGGAATCAGCTCTCATCTCGAGACGATTTGGGGTACAAGGAGCATTCCTCGAGTTGCTGTGCTGAAGTTGGTGTTCCTCTAGACTTGGGACAGTGTTCTCGGGGTATCTCTAGAGTTGCCTGAAGGAAGTCGAGCCACTGGTCGTGTTGAATGGGGAACGGGGAATGGCTCTGGAGTCAATGCAGGGGAATCAGGCCTCATCTCGAGTTGATTTGGGGCACATGGAGCTGCTTTGCGTTGCTGGGGTGACCTCAGCGTCCGTCGAGACTGGTGACAGTGTTCTTGGGGACTGTCTCGAGATCCATTAAGCAAGTCGAAGCTCCTGACTTGTTTGAATGGGACCACGGAATAGCTCTACATGCACTGCAGGGGAATGGGGCCTCATCTCGCCTCTTGGGGGAAGTCTCATGGTTTTTCTCGAGTTGCAGCGGGGACCTGGGGTATGTTCTCGACTTACGGCGGGGATGGCCCTTCAAAACACGAGTTTCTTCAGTGACGTCAGGACTCCTGTCTAGTAACGAGGGACACCTCAGGAATCTCATCGAGGCTTGGCAGTGCAAATGGGACGCTTCTTGAGGTGAGGCAGGGCACCCAAGGACCCTTTCCAGTAGCCACAGGTATTTTGGGATTCCTATCATGATTCAAGAGGAGTCAGGCATCGTCACCTTTTGAAGCAATGAACTCCGCGTGCCTCTCGAGGTGTCAACGTGATGTGAGGCATTCCGTCCAAATGAGGCAGGGACCTAGGGCTTTCTCTAAGGTCTCCACAGGGGATTCAGACATCCCTTCAAGTTGTGAGATCAAAGACGAGCCTGTATTCAAGCCACTGCTAGGAAATCCGGCCTCCTTTCAAGTTAGGGCTTCTCGCTGTATATTGCCCTTGAGGCAGCGAACTCGGGGTCCCTTCCACATACCTATTGCTGAGAGAAGCCTCCTCCTGAGGTGCGTCTTGAAAGTTGGCATACGTCTTGAGCCTAAGCCAGGGAATCACCTCCCATCTCGAGACGATTTGGGGTACACGGAGCATTCCTCGAGTTGCCGTGCTGAAGTTGGTGTTCCTCTAGACTTGGGAGAGTGTTCTCGGGGCATCTCTGGAGTTGCCTGAAGGAAGTCGAGCCACCGGTCGTGTTGAATGGGGAACGGGGAATGGCTCTGGAGTCAATGCAGGGGAATCGGGCCTCATCTCGAGTTGATTTGGGGCCCATGGAGCTGCTTTGCGTTGCTGGGGTGACCTCAGGGTCCGTCGAGACTGGTGACAGTGTTCTTGGGGACTGTCTCGAGAACCATTAAGCAAGTCGAAGCTCCTGACTTGCTTGAATGGGACCACAGAATAGCTCTGCATGCACTGCAGGGGAATGGGGCCTCATCTCGCCTCTAGGGGGAAGTCTCATGGTTTTTCTCGAGTTGTGGCGGGGACCTGGGGTATGTTCTCGACTTACGGCGGGGATGGCCCTTCAAAACACGAGTTTCTTCAGTGACGTCAGGACTCCTGTCTAGTAACGAGGGACACCTCAGGAATCTCTTCGAGGCTTGGCAGGGCAAAAGGGACGCTTCTCGAGGTGAGGCAGGGCACCCAAGGACCCTTTCCAGTAGCCACAGGGATTTTGGGATTCCTATCAGTATTCAAGAGGAGTGAGGCATTGTCACCTTTTGAAGCAATGAACTTCGCGTGCCTCTTGAGGTGTCAACGGGATGTGAGGCATTCCGTCAAAATGAGGCAGGGACCTAGGGCTTTCTCTAAGGTCTCCACAGGGGATTCAGACATCCCTTCATGTTGTGAGATCAAAGACGAGCCTGTATTCAAGCCACTGCAAGGAAATCCGGCCTCCTTTCAAGTTAGGGCTTCTCGCTGTATATTGCCCTTGAGGCAGCGAACTCGGGGTCCCTCCCACATACCTATTGCTGAGAGAAGCCTCCTCCTGAGGTGCGTCTTGAAAGTTGGCATACGTCTTGAGCCTAAGCCAGGGAATCAGCTCTCATCTCGAGACGATTTGGGGTACACGGAGCATTCCTCGAGTTGCTGTGCAGAAGTTGGTGTTCCTCTAGACTTGGGACAGTGTCCTCGGGGTATCTCTGGAGTTGCCTGAAGGAAGTCGAGCCACCGGTCGTGTTGAATGGGGAACGGGGAATGGCTCTCGAGTCAATGCAGGGGAATCGGGCCTCATCTCGAGTTGATTTGGGGCACATGGAGCTGCTTTGCGTTGCTGAGGTGACCTCAGCGTCCGTCGAGACTGGTGACAGTGTTCTTGGGGACTGTCTCGAGATCCATTAAGCAAGTCGAAGCTCCTGACTTGTTTGAATGGGAACTCGGAATAGCTCTGCATGCACTGCAGGGGAATGGGGCCTCATCTCGCCTCTAGGGGGAAGTCTCATGGTTTTTCTCGAGTTGCGGCGGGGACCTGGGGTATGTTCTCGACTTACGGCGGGGATGGCCCTTCAAAACACGAGTTTCTCCAGTGACGTCAGGACTCCTGTCTAGTAACGAGGGACACCTCAGGAATTTCTTCGAGGCTTGGCAGTGCAAATGTGACGCTTCTCGAGGTGAGGCAGGGCACCCAAGGACCCTTTCCAGTAGCCACAGGGATTTTGGGATTCCTATCAGAATTCAAGAGGAGTCAGGCATCGTCACCTTTTGAAGCAATGAACTCCGCGTGCCTCTCGAGGTGTCAACGGGATGTGAGGCATTCCGTCCAAATGAGGCAGGGACCTAGGGCTTTCTCTAAGGTCTCTACAGGGGATTCAGACATCCCTTCATGTTGTGAGATGAAAGACGAGCCTGTATTCAAGCCACTGCAAGGAAATCCGGCCTCCTTTCAAGTTAGGGCTTCTCGCTGTATATTGCCCTTGAGGCAGCGAACTCGGGGTCCCTCCCACATACCTATTGCTGAGAGAAGCCTCCTCCTGAGGTGCGTCTGGAAAGTTGGCATACGTCTTGAGCCTAAGCCAGGGAATCAGCTCTCATCTCGAGACGATTTGGGGTACACGGAGCATTCCTCGAGTTGCTGTGCAGAATTTGGTGTTCCTCTAGACTTGGGACAGTGTTCTCGGGGTATCTCTGGAGTTGCCTGAAGGAAGTCGAGCCACCGGTCGTGTTGAATGGGGAACGGGGAATGGCTCACGAGTCAATGCAGGGGAATCGGGCCTCATCTCGAGTTGATTTGGGGCACATGGAGCTGCTTTGCGTTGCTGAGGTGACCTCAGCGTCCGTCGAGACTGGTGACAGTGTTCTTGGGGACTGTCTCGAGATCCATTAAGCAAGTCGAAGCTCCTGACTTGTTTGAATGGGACCACGGAATAGCTCTGCATGCACTGCAGGGGAATGGGGCCTCATCTCGCCTCTAGCGTGAAGTCTCATGGTTTTTCTCGAGTTGCGGCGGGGACCTGGGGTATGTTCTCGACTTACGGCGGGGATGGCCCTTCAAAACACGAGTTTCTTCAGTGACGTCAGGACTCCTGTCTAGTAACGAGGGACACCTCAGGAATCTCATCGAGGCTTGGCAGTGCAAATGGGACGCTTCTCGAGGTGAGGCAGGGCACCCAAGGACCCTTTCCAGTAGCCACAGGGATTTTGGGATTCCTATCAGAATTCAAGAAGAGTCAGGCATCGTCACCTTTTGAAGCAATGAACTCCGGGTGCCTCTCGAGGTGTCAACGGGATGTGAGGCATTCCGTCCAAATGAGGCAGGGACCTAGGGCTTTCTCTAAGGTCTCTACAGGGGATTCAGACATCCCTTCATGTTGTGAGATGAAAGACGAGCCTGTATTCAAGCCACTGCAAGGAAATCCGGCCTCCTTTCAAGTTAGGGCTTCTCGTTGTATATTGCCCTTGAGGCAGCGAACTCGGGGTCCCTCCCACATACCTATTGCTGAGAGAAGCCTCCTCCTGAGGTGCGTCTGGAAAGTTGGCATACGTCTTGAGCCTAAGCCAGGGAATCAGCTCTCATCTCGAGACGATTTGCGGTACACGGAGCATTCCTCGAGTTGCTGTGCAGAATTTGGTGTTCCTCTAGACTTGGGACAGTGTTCTCGGGGTATCTCTAGAGTTGCCTGAAGGAAGTCGAGCCACCGGTCGTGTTGAATGGGGAACGGGGAATGGCTCTGGAGTCAATGCAGGTGAATTGGGCCTCATCTCGAGTTGATTTGGGGCACATGGAGCTGCTTTGCGTTGCTGGGGTGACCTCAGCGTCCGTCGAGACTGGTGACAGTGTTCTTGGGGACTGTCTCGAGATCCATTAAGCAAGTCGAAGCTCCTGACTTGTTTGAATGGGACCACGGAATAGCTCTACATGCACTGCAGGGGAATGGGGCCTCATCTCGCCTCTTGGGGGAAGTCTCATGGTTTTTCTCGAGTTGCGGCGGGGACCTGGGGTATGTTCTCGACTTACGGCGGGGATGGCCCTTCAAAACACGAGTTTCTTCAGTGACGTCAGGACTCCTGTCTAGTAACGAGGGACACCTCAGGAATCTCTTCGAGGCTTGGCAGGGCAAAAGGGACGCTTCTCGAGGTGAGGCAGGGCACCCAAGGACCCTTTCCAGTAGCCACAGGGATTTTGGGATTCCTATCAGTATTCAAGAGGAGTGAGGCATTGTCACCTTTTGAAGCAATGAACTTCGTGTGCCTCTTGAGGTGTCAACGGGATGTGAGGCATTCCGTCAAAATGAGGCAGGGACCTAGGGCTTTCTCTAAGGTCTCCACAGGGGATTCAGACATCCCTTCATGTTGTGAGATGAAAGACGAGCCTGTATTCAAGCCACTGCAAGGAAATCCGGCCTCCTTTCAAGTTAGGGCTTCTCGCTGTATATTGCCCTTGAGGCAGCGAACTCGGGGTCCCTTCCACATACCTATTGCTGAGAGAAGCCTCCTCCTGAGGTGCGTCATGAAAGTTGGCATACGTCTTGAGCCTAAGCCAGGGAATCACCTCTCATCTCGAGACGATTTGGGGTACACGGAGCATTCCTCGAGTTGCCGTGCTGAAGTTGGTGTTCCTCTAGACTTGGGACAGTGTTCTCGGGGCATCTCTGGAGTTGCCTGAAGGAAGTCAAGCCACCGGTCGTGTTGAATGGGGAACGGGGAATGCCTCTGGAGTCAATGCAGGGGAATCGGGCCTCATCTCGAGTTGATTTGGGGCCCATGGAGCTGCTTTGCGTTGCTGGGGTGACCTCATCGTCCGTCGAGACTGGTGACAGTGTTCTTGGGGACTGTCTTGAGAACCATTAAGCAAGTCGAAGCTCCTGACTTGCTTGAATGGGACCACGGAATAGCTCTGCATGCACTGCAGGGGAATGGGGCCTCATCTCGCCTCTAGGGGGAAGTCTCATGGTTTTTCTCGAGTTGCGGCGGGGACCTGGGGTATGTTCTCGACTTACGGCGGGGATGGCCCTTCAAAACACGAGTTTCTTCAGTGACGTCAGGACTCCTGTCTAGTAACGAGGGACACCTCAGGAATCTCTTCGAGGCTTGGCAGGGCAAAAGGGACGCTTCTCGACGTGAGGCAGGGCACCCAAGGACCCTTTCCAGTAGCCACAGGGATTTTGGGATTCCTATCAGTATTCAAGAGGAGTGAGGCATTGTCACCTTTTGAAGCAATGAACTTCGCGTGCCTCTTGAGGTGTCAACGGGATGTGAGGCATTCCGTCAAAATGAGGCAGGGACCTAGGGCTTTCTCTAAGGTCTCCACAGGGGATTCAGACATCCCTTCATGTTGTGAGATCAAAGACGAGCCTGTATTCAAGCCACTGCAAGGAAATCCGGCCTCCTTTCAAGTTAGGGCTTCTCGCTGTATATTGCCCTTGAGTCAGCGAAATCCGGGTCCCTCCCACATACCTATTGCTGAGAGAAGCCTCCTCCTGAGGTGCGTCTTGAAAGTTGGCATACGTCTTGAGCCTAAGCCAGGGAATCACCTCTCATCTCGAGACGATTTGGGGTACACAGAGCATTCCTCGAGTTGCTGTGCAGAAGTTGGTGTTCCTCTAGACTTGGGACAGTGTTCTCGGGGTATCTCTGGAGTTGCCTGAAGGAAGTCGAGCCACCGGTCGTGTTGAATGGGGAACGGGGAATGGCTCTGGAGTCAATGCAGGGGAATCGGGCCTCATCTCGAGTTGATTTGGGGCACATGGAGCTGCTTTGCGTTGCTGGGGTGACCTCAGCGTCCGTCGAGACTGGTGACAGTGTTCTTGGGGACTGTCTCGAGATCCATTAAGCAAGTCGAAGCTCCTGACTTGTTTGAATGGGACCACGGAATAGCTCTGCATGCACTGCAGGGGAATGGGGCCTCATCTCGCCTCTAGGGGGAAGTCTCATGGTTTTTCTCGAGTTGCGGCGGGGACCTGGGATATGTTCTCGACTTACGGCGGGGATGGCCCTTCAAAACACGAGTTTCTTCAGTGACGTCAGGACTCCTGTCTAGTAACGAGGGACACCTCAGGAATCTCATCGAGGCTTGGCAGTGCAAATGGGACGCTTCTTGAGGTGAGGCAGGGCACCCAAGGACACTTTCCAGTAGCCACAGGGATTTTGGGATTCCTATCAGAATTCAAGAGGAGTCAGGCATCGTTACCTTTTGAAGCAATGAACTCCGCGTGCCTCTCGAGGTGTCAACGGGATGTGAGGCATTCCGTCAAAATGAGGCAGGGACCTAGGGCTTTCTCTAAGGTCTCCACAGGGGATTCAGACATCCCTTCATGTTGTGAGAAGAAAGACGATCCTGTATTCAAGCCACTGCAAGGAAATCCGGCCTCCTTTCAAGGTAGGGTTTCTCGCTGTATATTGCCCTTGAGGCAGCGAACTCGGGGTACCTCCTACATACCTATTGCTGAGAGAAGCCTCCTCCTGAGGTGCGTCTGGAAAGTTGGCATACGTCTTGAGCCTAAGCCAGGGAATCAGCTCTCATCTCGAGACGATTTGGGGTACACGGAGCATTCCTCGAGTTGCTGTGCTGAAGTTGGTGTTCCTCTAGACTTGGGACAGTGTTCTCGGGGTATCTCTAGAGTTGCCTGAAGGAAGTCGAGCCACTGGTCGTGTTGAATGGGGAACGGGGAATGGCTCTGGAGTCAATGCAGGGGAATCGGGCCTCATCTCGAGTTGATTTGGGGCACATGGAGCTGCTTTGCGTTGCTGGGGTGACCTCAGCGTCCGTCAAGTCTGGTGACAGTGTTCTTGGGGACTGTCTCGAGATCCATTAAGCAAGTCGAAGCTCCTGACTTGTTTGAATGGTTACACGGAATAGCTCTACATGCACTGCAGGGGAATGGGGCCTCATCTCGCCTCTTGGGGGAAGTCTCATGGTTTTTCTCGAGTTGCGGCGGGGACCTGGGGTATGTTCTCGACTTACGGCGGGGATGGCCCTTCAAAACACGAGTTTCTTCAGTGACGTCAGGACTCCTGTCTAGTAACGAGGGACACCTCAGGAATCTCATCGAGGCTTGGCAGTGCAAATGGGACGCTTCTTGAGGTGAGGCAGGGCACCCAAGGACCCTTTCCAGTAGCCACAGGGATTTTGGGATTCCTATCAGAATTCAAGAGGAGTCAGGCATCGTCACCTTTTGAAGCAATGAACTCCGCGTTCCTCTCGAGGTGTCAACGTGATGTGAGGCATTCCGTCAAAATGAGGCAGGGACCTAGGGCTTTCTCTAAGGTCTCCACAGGGGATTCAGACATCAATTCAAGTTGTGAGATCAAAGACGAGCCTGTATTCAAGCCACTGCAAGGAAATCCGGCCTCCGTTCAAGTTAGGGCTTCTCGCTGTATATTGCCCTTGAGGCAGCGAACTCGGGGTCCCTTCCACATACCTATTGCTGAGAGAAGCCTCCTCCTGAGGTGCGTCTTGAAAGTTGGCATACGTCTTGAGCCTAAGCCAGGGAATCACCTCTCATCTCGAGACGATTTGGGGTACACGGAGCATTCCTCGAGTTGCCGTGCTGAAGTTGGTGTTCCTCTAGACTTGGGACAGTGTTCTCGGGGCATCTCTGGAGTTGCCTGAAGGAAGTCGAGCCACCGGTCGTGTTGAATGGGGAACGGGGAATGGCTCTGGAGTCAATTCAGGGGAGTCGGGCCTCATCTCGAGTTGATTTGGGGCCCATGGAGCTGCTTTGCGTTGCTGGGGTGACCTCAGGGTCCGTCGAGACTGGTGACAGTGTTCTTGGGGACTGTCTCGAGAACCATTAAGCAAGTCGAAGCTCCTGACTTGCTTGAATGGGACCACGGAATAGCTCTGCATGCACTGCAGGGGAATGGGGCCTCATCTCGCCTCTAGGCGGAAGTCTCATGGTTTTTCTCGAGTTGCGGCGGGGACCTGGGGTATGTTCTCGACTTACGGCGGGGATGGCCCTTCAAAACACGAGTTTCTTCAGTGACGTCAGGACTCCTGTCTAGTAACGAGGGACACCTCAGTAATCTCATCGAGGCTTGGCAGTGCAAATGGGACGCTTCTTGAGGTGAGGCAGGGCACCCAAGGACCCTTTCCAGTAGCCACAGGGATTTTGGGATTCCTATCAGAATTCAAGAGGAGTCAGGCATCGTCACCTTTTGAAGCAATGAACTCCGCGTTCCTCTCGAGGTGTCAACGTGATGTGAGGCATTCCGTCAAAATGAGGCAGGGACCTAGGGCTTTCTCTAAGGTCTCCACAGGGGATTCAGACATCCCTTCAAGTTGTGAGATCAAAGACGAGCCTGTATTCAAGCCACTGCAAGGAAATCCGACCTCCGTTCAAGTTAGGGCTTCTCGCTGTATATTGCCCTTGAGGCAGCGAACTCGGGGTCCCTTCCACATACCTATTGCTGAGAGAAGCCTCCTCCTGAGGTGCGTCTTGAAAGTTGGCATACGTCTTGAGCCTAAGCCAGGGAATCACCTCTCATCTCGAGACGATTTGGGGTACACGGAGCATTCCTCGAGTTGCCGTGCTGAAGTTGGTGTTCCTCTCGACTTGGGACAGTGTTCTCGGGGCATCTCTGGAGTTGCCTGAAGGAAGTCGAGCCACCGGTCGTGTTGAATGGGGAACGGGGAATGGCTCTGGAGTCAATTCAGGGGAGTCGGGCCTCATCTCGAGTTGATTTGGGGCCCATGGAGCTGCTTTGCGTTGCTGGGGTGACCTCAGGGTCCGTCGAGACTGGTGACAGTGTTCTTGGGGACTGTCTCGAGAACCATTAAGCAAGTCGAAGCTCCTGACTTGCTTGAATGGGACCACGGAATAGCTCTGCATGCACTGCAGGGGAATGGGGCCTCATCTCGCCTCTAGGGGGAAGTCTCATGGTTTTTCTCGAGTTGCGGCGGGGACCTGGGGTATGTTCTCGACTTACGGCGGGGATGGCCCTTCAAAACACGAGTTTCTTCAGTGACGTCAGGACTCCTGTCTAGTAACGAGGGACACCTCAGGAATCTCTTCGAGGCTTGGCAGGGCAAAAGGGACGCTTCTCGAGGTGAGGCAGGGCACCCAAGGACCCTTTCCAGTAGCCACAGGGATTTTGGGATTCCTATCAGTATTCAAGAGGAGTGAGGCATTGTCACCTTTTGAAGCAATGAACTTCGCGTGCCTCTTGAGGTGTCAACGGGATGTGAGGCATTCCGTCAAAATGAGGCAGGGACCTAGGGCTTTCTCTAAGGTCTCCACAGGGGATTCAGACATCCCTTCATGTTGTGAGATGAAAGACGAGCCTGTATTCAAGCCACTGCAAGGAAATCCGGCCTCCTTTCAAGTTAGGGCTTCTCGCTGTATATTGCCCTTGAGGCAGCGAACTCGGGGTCCCTCCCACATAACTATTGCTGAGAGAAGCCTCCTCCTGAGGTGCGTCTGGAAAGTTGGCATACGTCTTGAGCCTAAGCCAGGGAATCACCTCTCATCTCGAGACGATTTGGGGTACACGGAGCATTCCTCGAGTTGCCGTGCTGAAGTTGGTGTTCCTCTAGACTTGGGAGAGTGTTCTCGGGGCATCTCTGGAGTTGCCTGAAGGAAGTCGAGCCACCGGTCGTGTTGAATGGGGAACGGGGAATGGCTCTGGAGTCAATGCAGGGGAATCGGGCCTCATCTCGAGTTGATTTGGGGCCCATGGAGCTGCTTTGCGTTGCTGGGGTGACTTCAGGGTCCGTCGAGACTGGTGACAGTGTTCTTGGGGACTGTCTCGAGAACCATTAAGCAAGTCGAAGCTCCTGACTTGCTTGAATGGGACCACAGAATAGCTCTGCATGCACTGCAGGGGAATGGGGCCTCATCTCGCCTCTAGGGGGAAGTCTCATGGTTTTTCTCGAGTTGCGGCGGGGACCTGGGGTATGTTCTCGACTTACGGCGGGGATGGCCCTTCAAAACACGAGTTTCTTCAGTGACGTCAGGACTCCTGTCTAGTAACGAGGGACACCTCAGGAATCTCTTCGAGGCTTGGCAGGGCAAAAGGGACCCTTCTCGAGGTGAGGCAGGGCACCCAAGGACCCTTTCCAGTAGCCACAGGGATTTTGGGATTCCTATCAGTATTCAAGAGGAGTGAGGCATTGTCACCTTTTGAAGCAATGAACTTCGCGTGCCTCTTGAGGTGTCAACGGGATGTGAGGCATTCCGTCAAAATGAGGCAGGGACCTAGGGCTTTCTCTAAGGTCTCCACAGGGGATTCAGATATCCCTTCATGTTGTGAGATGAAAGACGAGCCTGTATTCAAGCCACTGCAAGGAAATCCGGCCTCCTTTCAAGTTAGGGCTTCTCGCTGTATATGGCCCTTGAGGCAGCGAACTCGGGGTCCCTCCCACATACCTATTGCTGAGAGAAGCCTCCTCCTGAGGTGCGTCTGGAAAGTTGGCATACGTCTTGAGCCTAAGCCAGGGAATCAGCTCTCATCTCGAGACAATTTGGGGTACACGGAGCATTCCTCGAGTTGCTGTGCAGAAGTTGGTGTTCCTCTAGACTTGGGACAGTGTTCTCGGGGTATCTCTGGAGTTGCCTGAAGGAAGTCGAGCCACCGGTCGTGTTGAATGGGGAACGGGGAATGGCTCTCGAGTTAATGCAGGGGAATCAGGCCTCATCTCGAGTTGATTTGGGGCACATGGAGCTGCTTTGCGTTGCTGAGGTGACCTCAGCGTCCGTCGAGACTGGTGACAGTGTTCTTGGGGACTGTCTCGAGATCCATTAAGCAAGTCGAAGCTCCTGACTTGTTTGAATGGGACCACGGAATAGCTCTACATGCACTGCACGGGAATGGGGCCTCATCTCGCCTCTTGGGGGAAGTCTCATGGTTTTTCTCGAGTTGCGGCGGGGACCTGGGGTATGTTCTCGACTTACGGCGGGGATGGCCCTTCAAAACACGAGTTTCTTCAGTGACGTCAGGACTCCTGTCTAGTAACGAGGGTCACCTCAGGAATCTCATCGAGGCTTGGCAGTGCAAATGGGACGCTTCTTGAGGTGAGGCAGGGCACCCAAGGACCCTTTCCAGTAGCCACAGGGATTTTGGGATTCCTATCAGAATTCAAGAGGAGTCAGGCATCGTCACCTTTTGAAGAAATGAACTCCGCGTGCCTCTCGAGGTGTCAACGGGATGTGAGGCATTCCGTCCAAATGAGGCAGGGACCTAGGGCTTTCTCTAAGGTCTCCACAGGGGATTCAGACATCACTTCATGTTGTGAGAAGAAAGACGAGCCTGTATTCAAGCCACTGCAAGGAAATCCGGCCTCCTTTCAAGTTAGGGCTTCTCGCTGTATATTGCCCTTGAGGCAGCGAACTCAGGGTCCCTCCCACATACCTATTGCTGAGAGAAACCTCCTCCTGAGGTGCGTCTTGAAAGTTGGCATACGTCTTGAGCCTAAGCCAGGGAATCACCTCTCATCTCGAGACGATTTGGGGTACACGGAGCATTCCTCGAGTTGCCGTGCTGAAGTTGGTGTTCCTCTAGACTTGGGACAGTGTTCTCGGGGCATCTCTGGAGTTGCCTGAAGGAAGTCAAGCCACCGGTCGTGTTGAATGGGGAACGGGGAATGGCTCTGGAGTCAATGCAGGGGAATCGGGCCTCATCTCGAGTTGATTTGGGGCCCATGGAGCTGCTTTGTGTTGCTGGGGTGACCTCAGGGTCCGTCGAGACTGGTGACAGTGTTCTTGGGGACTGTCTCGAGAACCATTAAGCAAGTCGAAGCTCCTGACTTGTTTGAATGGGACCACGGAATAGCTCTACATGCACTGCAGGGGAATGGGGCCTCATCTCGCCTCTTGGGGGAAGTCTCATGGTTTTTCTCGAGTTGCGGCGGGGACCTGGGGTATGTTCTCGACTTACGGCGGGGATGGCCCTTCAAAACACGAGTTTCTTCAGTGACGTCAGGACTCCTGTCTAGTAACGAGGGACACCTCAGGAATCTCTTCGAGGCTTGGCAGGGCAAAAGGGACGCTTCTCGAGGTGAGGCAGGGCACCCAAGGACCCTTTCCAGTAGCCACAGGGATTTTGGGATTCCTATCAGTATTCAAGAGGAGTGAGGCATTGTCACCTTTTGAAGCAATGAACTTCGTGTGCCTCTTGAGGTGTCAACGGGATGTGAGGCATTCCCTCAAAATGAGGCAGGGACCTAGGGCTTTCTCTAAGGTCTCCACAGGGGATTCAGACATCCCTTCATGTTGTGAGATGAAAGACGAGCCTGTATTCAAGCCACTGCAAGGAAATCCGGCCTCCTTTCAAATTAGGGCTTCTCGCTGTATATTGCCCTTGAGGCAGCGAACTCGGTGTCCCTCCCACATACCTATTGCTGAGAGAAGCCTCCTCCTGAGGTGCGTCTGGAAAGTTGGCATACGTCTTGAGCCTAAGCCAGGGAATCACCTCTCATCTCGAGACGATTTGGGGTACACGGAGCATTCCTCGAGTTGCCGTGCTGAAGTTGGTGTTCCCCTAGACTTGGGACAGTGTTCTCGGGGCATCTCTGGAGTTGCCTGAAGGAAGTCGAGCCACCGGTCGTGTTGATTGGGGAACGGGGAATGGCTCTGGAGTCAATGCAGGGGAATCGGGCCTCATCTCGAGTTGATTTGGGGCCCATGGAGCTGCTTTGCGTTGCTGGGGTGACCTCAGCGTCCGTCGAGACTGGTGACAGTGTTCTTGGGGACTGTCTCGAGAACCATTAAGCAAGTCGAAGCTCCTGACTTGCTTGAATGGGACCACGGAATAGCTCTGCATGCACTGCAGGGGAATGGGGCCTCATCTCGCCTCTAGGGGGAAGTCTCATGGTTTTTCTCGAGTTGCGGCGGGGACCTGGGGTATGTTCTCGACTTACGGCGGGGATGGCCCTTCAAAACACGAGTTTCTTCAGTGACGTCAGGACTCCTGTCTAGTAACGAGGGACACCTCAGGAATCTCTTCGAGGCTTGGCAGGGCAAAAGGGACGCTTCTCGAGGTGAGGCAGGGCACCCAAGGACCCTTTCCAGTAGCCACAGGGATTTTGGGATTCCTATCAGTATTCAAGAGGAGTGAGGCATTGTCACCTTTTGAAGCAATGAACTTCGCGGGCCTCTTGAGGTGTCAACGGGATGTGAGGCATTCCGTCAAAATGAGGCAGGGACCTAGGGCTTTCTCTAAGGTCTCCACAGGGGATTCAGACATCCCTTCATGTTGTGAGATCAAAGACGAGCCTGTATTCAAGCCACTGCAAGGAAATCCGGCCTCCTTTCAAGTTAGGGCTTCTCGTTGTATATTGCCCTTGAGTCAGCGAACTCCGGGTCCCTCCCACATACCTATTGCTGAGAGAAGCCTCCTCCTGAGGTGCGTCTTGAAAGTTGGCATACGTCTTGAGCCTAAGCCAGGGAATCACCTCTCATCTCGAGACGATTTGGGGTACACGGAGCATTCCTCGAGTTGCCGTGCTGAAGTTGGTGTTCCTCTAGACTTGGGACAGTGTTCTCGGGGCATCTCTGGAGTTGCCTGAAGGAAGTCAAGCCACCGGTCGTGTTGAATGGGGAACGGGGAATGGCTCTGGAGTCAATGCAGGGGAATCGGGCCTCATCTCGAGTTGATTTGGGGCCCATGGAGCTGCTTTGCGTTGCTGGGGTGACTTCAGGGTCCGTCGAGACTGGTGACAGTGTTCTTGGGGACTGTCTCGAGAACCATTAAGCAAGTCGAAGCTCCTGACTTGCTTGAATGGGACCACAGAATAGCTCTGCATGCACTGCAGGGGAATGGGGCCTCATCTCGCCTCTAGGGGGAAGTCTCATGGTTTTTCTCGAGTTGCGGCGGGCACCTGGGGTATGTTCTCGACTTAAGGCGGGGATGGCCCTTCAAAACACGAGTTTCTTCAGTGACGTCAGGACTCCTGTCTAGTAACGAGGGACACCTCAGGAATCTCTTCGAGGCTTGGCAGGGCAAAAGGGACCCTTCTCGAGGTGAGGCAGGGCACCCAAGGACCCTTTCCAGTAGCCACAGGGATTTTGGGATTCCTATCAGTATTCAAGAGGAGTGAGGCATTGTCACCTTTTGAAGCAATGAACTTCGCGTGCCTCTTGAGGTGTCAACGGGATGTGAGGCATTCCGTCAAAATGAGGCAGGGACCTAGGGCTTTCTCTAAGGTCTCCACAGGGGATTCAGATATCCCTTCATGTTGTGAGATGAAAGACGAGCCTGTATTCAAGCCACTGCAAGGAAATCCGGCCTCCTTTCAAGTTAGGGCTTCTCGCTGTATATGGCCCTTGAGGCAGCGAACTCGGGGTCCCTCCCACATACCTATTGCTGAGAGAAGCCTCCTCCTGAGGTGCGTCTGGAAAGTTGGCATATGTCTTGAGCCTAAGCCAGGGAATCAGCTCTCATCTCGAGACAATTTGGGGTACACGGAGCATTCCTCGAGTTGCTGTGCAGAAGTTGGTGTTCCTCTAGACTTGGGACAGTGTTCTCGGGGTATCTCTGGAGTTGCCTGAAGGAAGTCGAGCCACCGGTCGTGTTGAATGGGGAACGGGGAATGGCTCTCGAGTTAATGCAGGGGAATCAGGCCTCATCTCGAGTTGATTTGGGGCACATGGAGCTGCTTTGCGTTGCTGAGGTGACCTCAGCGTCCGTCGAGACTGGTGACAGTGTTCTTGGGGACTGTCTCGAGATCCATTAAGCAAGTCGAAGCTCCTGACTTGTTTGAATGGGACCACGGAATAGCTCTACATGCACTGCACGGGAATGGGGCCTCATCTCGCCTCTAGGGTGAAGTCTCATGGTTTTTCTCGAGTTGCGGCGGGGACCTGGGGTATGTTCTCGACTTACGGCGGGGATGGCCCTTCAAAACACGAGTTTCTTCAGTGACGTCAGGACTCCTGTCTAGTAACGAGGGTCACCTCAGGAATCTCATCGAGGCTTGGCAGTGCAAATGGGACGCTTCTTGAGGTGAGGCAGGGCACCCAAGGACCCTTTCCAGTAGCCACAGGGATTTTGGGATTCCTATCAGAATTCAAGAGGAGTCAGGCATCGTCACCTTTTGAAGAAATGAACTCCGCGTGCCTCTCGAGGTGTCAACGGGATGTGAGGCATTCCGTCCAAATGAGGCAGGGACCTAGGGCTTTCTCTAAGGTCTCCACAGGGGATTCAGACATCACTTCATGTTGTGAGAAGAAAGACGAGCCTGTATTCAAGCCACTGCAAGGAAATCCGGCCTCCTTTCAAGTTAGGGCTTCTCGCTGTATATTGCCCTTGAGGCAGCGAACTCAGGGTCCCTCCCACATACCTATTGCTGAGAGAAACCTCCTCCTGAGGTGCGTCTTGAAAGTTGGCATACGTCTTGAGCCTAAGCCAGGGAATCACCTCTCATCTCGAGACGATTTGGGGTACACGGAGCATTCCTCGAGTTGCCGTGCTGAAGTTGGTGTTCCTCTAGACTTGGGACAGTGTTCTCGGGGCATCTCTGGAGTTGCCTGAAGGAAGTCAAGCCACCGGTCGTGTTGAATGGGGAACGGGGAATGGCTCTGGAGTCAATGCAGGGGAATCGGGCCTCATCTCGAGTTGATTTGGGGCCCATGGAGCTGCTTTGTGTTGCTGGGGTGACCTCAGGGTCCGTCGAGACTGGTGACAGTGTTCTTGGGGACTGTCTCGAGAACCATTAAGCAAGTCGAAGCTCCTGACTTGTTTGAATGGGACCACGGAATAGCTCTACATGCACTGCAGGGGAATGGGGCCTCATCTCGCTTCTTGGGGGAAGTCTCATGGTTTTTCTCGAGTTGCGGCGGGGACCTGGGGTATGTTCTCGACTTACGGCGGGGATGGCCCTTCAAAACACGAGTTTCTTCAGTGACGTCAGGACTCCTGTCTAGTAACGAGGGACACCTCAGGAATCTCTTCGAGGCTTGGCAGGGCAAAAGGGACGCTTCTCGAGGTGAGGCAGGGCACCCAAGGACCCTTTCCAGTAGCCACAGGGATTTTGGGATTCCTATCAGTATTCAAGAGGAGTGAGGCATTGTCACCTTTTGAAGCAATGAACTTCGTGTGCCTCTTGAGGTGTCAACGGGATGTGAGGCATTCCCTCAAAATGAGGCAGGGACCTAGGGCTTTCTCTAAGGTCTCCACAGGGGATTCAGACATCCCTTCATGTTGTGAGATGAAAGACGAGCCTGTATTCAAGCCACTGCAAGGAAATCCGGCCTCCTTTCAAATTAGGGCTTCTCGCTGTATATTGCCCTTGAGGCAGCGAACTCGGTGTCCCTCCCACATACCTATTGCTGAGAGAAGCCTCCTCCTGAGGTGCGTCTGGAAAGTTGGCATACGTCTTGAGCCTAAGCCAGGGAATCACCTCTCATCTCGAGACGATTTGGGGTACACGGAGCATTCCTCGAGTTGCCGTGCTGAAGTTGGTGTTCCCCTAGACTTGGGACAGTGTTCTCGGGGCATCTCTGGAGTTGCCTGAAGGAAGTCGAGCCACCGGTCGTGTTGATTGGGGAACGGGGAATGGCTCTGGAGTCAATGCAGGGGAATCGGGCCTCATCTCGAGTTGATTTGGGGCCCATGGAGTTGCTTTGCGTTGCTGGGGTGACCTCAGCGTCCGTCGAGACTGGTGACAGTGTTCTTGGGGACTGTCTCGAGAACCATTAAGCAAGTCGAAGCTCCTGACTTGCTTGAATGGGACCACGGAATAGCTCTGCATGCACTGCAGGGGAATGGGGCCTCATCTCGCCTCTAGGGGGAAGTCTCATGGTTTTTCTCGAGTTGCGGCGGGGACCTGGGGTATGTTCTCGACTTACGGCGGGGATGGCCCTTCAAAACACGAGTTTCTTCAGTGACGTCAGGACTCCTGTCTAGTAACGAGGGACACCTCAGGAATCTCTTCGAGGCTTGGCAGGGCAAAAGGGACGCTTCTCGAGGTGAGGCAGGGCACCCAAGGACCCTTTCCAGTAGCCACAGGGATTTTGGGATTCCTATCAGTATTCAAGAGGAGTGAGGCATTGTCACCTTTTGAAGCAATGAACTTCGCGGGCCTCTTGAGGTGTCAACGGGATGTGAGGCATTCCGTCAAAATGAGGCAGGGACCTAGGGCTTTCTCTAAGGTCTCCACAGGGGATTCAGACATCCCTTCATGTTGTGAGATCAAAGACGAGCCTGTATTCAAGCCACTGCAAGGAAATCCGGCCTCCTTTCAAGTTAGGGCTTCTCGCTGTATATTGCCCTTGAGTCAGCGAAATCCGGGTCCCTCCCACATACCTATTGCTGAGAGAAGCCTCCTCCTGAGGTGCGTCTTGAAAGTTGGCATACGTCTTGAGCCTAAGCCAGGGAATCACCTCTCATCTCGAGACGATTTGGGGTACACGGAGCATTCCTCGAGTTGCCGTGCTGAAGTTGGTGTTCCTCTAGACTTGGGACAGTGTTCTCGGGGCATCTCTGGAGTTGCCTGAAGGAAGTCAAGCCACCGGTCGTGTTGAATGGGGAACCGGGAATGGCTCTGGAGTCAATGCAGGGGAATCGGGCCTCATCTCGAGTTGATTTGGGGCCCATGGAGCTGCTTTGCGTTGCTGGGGTGACCTCAGCGTCCGTCGAGACTGGTGACAGTGTTCTTGGGGACTGTCTCGAGAACCATTAAGCAAGTCGAAGCTCCTGACTTGCTTGAATGGGACCACGGAATAGCTCTGCATGCACTGCAGGGGAATGGGGCCTCATCTCGCCTCTTGGGGGAAGTCTCATGGTTTTTCTCGAGTTGCGGCGGGGACCTGGGGTATGTTCTCGACTTACGGTGGGGATGGCCCTTCAAAACACGAGTTTCTTCAGTGACGTCAGGACTCCTGTCTAGTAACGAGGGACACCTCAGGTATCTCTTCGAGGCTTGGCAGGGCAAAAGGGACGCTTCTCGAGGTGAGGCAGGGCACGCAAGGACCCTTTCCAGTAGCCACAGGGATTTTGGGATTCCTATCAGTATTCAAGAGGAGTGAGGCATTGTCACCTTTTGAAGCAATGAACTTCGCGTGCCTCTTGAGGTGTCAACGGGATGTGAGGCATTCCGTCAAAATGAGGCAGGGACCTAGGGCTTTCTCTAAGGTCTCCACAGGGGATTCAGACATCCCTTCATGTTGTGAGATGAAAGACGAGCCTCTATTCAAGCCACTGCAAGGAAATCCGGCCTCCTTTCAAGTTAGGGCTTCTCGCTGTATATTGCCCTTGAGGCCGCGAACTCGGGGTCCCTCCCACATACCTATTGCTGAGAGAAGCCTCCTCCTGAGGTGCGTCTTGAAAGTTGGCATACGTCTTGAGCCTAAGCCAGGGAATCAGCTCTCATCTCGAGACGATTTGGGGTACACGGAGCATTCCTCGAGTTGCTGTGCTGAAGTTGGTATTCCTCTAGACTTGGGACAGTGTTCTCGGGGTATCTCTGGAGTTGCCTGAAGGAAGTCGAGCCACCGGTCGTGTTGAATGGGGAACGGGGAATGGCTCTGGAGTCAATGCAGGGGAATCGGGCCTCATCTCGAGTTGATTTGGGGCCCATGGAGCTGCTTTGCGTTGCTGGGGTGACCTCAGCGTCCGTCGAGACTGGTGACAGTGTTCTTGGGGACTGTCTCGAGATCCATTAAGCAAGTCGAAGCTCCTGACTTGTTTGAATGGGACCACGGAATAGATCTGATTGCACTGCAGGGGAATGGGGTCTCATCTCGCCTCTAGGTGGAAGTCTCATGGTTTTTCTCGAGTTGCGGCGGGGACCTGGGGTATGTTCTCGACTTACGGCGGGGATGGCCCTTCAAAACACAAGTTTCTTCAGTGACGTCAGGATTCCTGTCTAGTAACGAGGGACACCTCAGGAATCTCTTCGAGGCTTGGCAGGGCAAAAGGGACGCTTCTCGAGGTGAGGCAGGGCACCCAAGGACCCTTTCCAGTAGCCACAGGGATTTTGGGATTCCTATCAGTATTCAAGAGCAGTCAGGCATCGTCACCTTTTGAAGCAATGAACTCCGCGTGCCTCTCGAGGTGTCAACGGGATGTGAGGCATTCCGTCAAAATGAGGCAGGGACCTAGGGCTTTCTCTAAGGTCTCCACAGGGGATTCAGACATCCCTTCATGTTGTGAGATGAAAGACGAGCCTGTATTCAAGCCACTGCAATAAAATCCGGCCTCCTTTCAAGTTAGGGCTTCTCGCTGTATATTGCCCTTGAGGCAGCGAACTCGGGGTCCCTCCCACATACCTATTGCTGAGAGAAGCCTCGTCCTGAGGTGCGTCTTGAAAGTTGGCATACGTCTTGAGCTTAAGCCAGGGAATCACCTGTCATCTCGAGACGATTTGGGGTACACGGAGCATTCCTCGAGTTGCCGTGGTGAAGTTGGTGTTCCTCTAGACTTGGGACAGTGTTCTCGGGGCATCTCTGGAGTTGCGTGAAGGAAGTCGAGCCACCGGTCTTGTTGAATGGGGAACGGGGAATGGCTCTGGAGTCAAAGCAGGGGAGTCGGGCCTCATCTCGAGTTGATTTGGGGCCCACGGAGCTGCTTTGCGTTGCTGGGGTGACCTCAGGTTCCGTCGAGACTGGTGACAGTGTTCTTAGGGACTGTCTCGAGAACCATTAAGCAAGTCAAAGCTCCTGACTTGCTTGAATGGGACCACGGAATAACTCTGCATGCACTGCAGGGGAATGGGGTCTCATCTCGCCTCTAGGGGGAAGTCTCATGGTTTTTCTCGAGTTGCGGCGGGGACCTGGGGTATGTTCTCGACTTACGGCGGGGATGGCCCTTCAAAAGACGAGTTTCTTCAGTGACGTCAGGACTCCTGTCTAGTAACGAGGGACACCTCAGGAATCTCTTCGAGGCTTGGCAGGGCAAAAGGGACGCTTCTCGAGGTGAGGCAGGGCACCCAAGGACCCTTTCCAGTAGCCACAGGGATTTTGGGTTTCCTATCAGAATTCAAGAGGAGTCAGGCATCGTCACCTTTTGAAGCAATGAACTCCGCGTGCCTCTCGAGGTATCAACGGGATGTGAGGCATTCCGTCCAAATGAGGCAGGGACCTAGGGCTTTCTCTAAGGTCTCCACAGGGGATTCAGACATCCCTTCATGTTGTGAGATCAAAGACGAGCCTGTATTCAAGCCACTGCAGGGAAATCCGGCCTCCTTTCAAGTTAGGGCTTCTCGCTGTATATTGCCCTTGAGGCAGCGAACTCGGGGTCCCTCCCACATACCTATTGCTGAGAGAAGCCTCCTCCTGAGGTGCGTCTTGAAAGTTGGCATACGTCTTGAGCCTAAGCCAGGGAATCACCTCTCATCTCAAGACGATTCGCAGTACACTGAGCATTCCTCGAGTTGCCGTGTTGAAGTTGGTGTTCCTCTAGACTTGGGACAGTGTTCTCGGGGCATCTCTGGAGTTGCCTGAAGGAAGTCGAGCCACTGGTCGTGTTGAATGGGGAACGGGGAATGGCGCTGGAGTCAATGCAGGGGAATCGGGCCTCATCTCGAGTTGATTTGGGGCACATGGAGCTGCTTTGCGTTGCTGGGGTGACCTCAGCGTCCGTCGAGACTGGTGACAGTGTTCTTGGGGACTGTCTCGAGATCCATTAAGCAAGTCGAAGCTCCTGACTTGTTTGAATGGGACCACGGAATAGCTCTGCATGCACTGCAGGGGAATGGGGCCTCATCTCGCCTCTAGGGGGAAGTCTCATGGTTTTTCTCGAGTTGCGGCGGGGACCTGGGGTATGTTCTCGACTTACGGCGGGGATGGCCCTTCAAAACACGAGTTTCTTCAGTGACGTCAGGACTCCTGTCTAGTAACGAGGGACACATCAGGAATCTCATCAAGGCTTGGCAGTGTAAATGGGACGCTTCTTGAGGTGAGGAAGGGCACCCAAGGACCCTTTCCAGTAGCCACAGGGATTTTGGGATTAGTATCAGAATTCAAGAGGAGTCAGGCATCGTCACCTTTTGAAGCAATGAACTCCGCGTGCCTCTCGAAGTGTCAACGGGATGTGAGGCATTCCGTCCAAATGAGGCAGGGACCTAGGGCTTTCTCTAAGGTCTCCACAGGGGATTCAGACATCCCTTCATGTTGTGAGATCAAAGACGAGCCTGTATTCAAGCCACTGCAAGGAAATCCGGCCTCCTTTCAAGTTAGGGCTTCTCGCTGTTTATTGCCCTTGAGTCAGCGATCTCCGGGTCCCTCCCACATACCTATTGCTGAGAGAAGCCTCCTCCTGAGGTGCGTCTTGAAAGTTGGCATACGTCTTGAGCCAAAGCCAGGGAATCACCTCTCATCTCGAGATGATTTGGGGTACACGGAGCATTCCTCGAGTTGCCGTGCTGAAGTTGGTGTTCCTCTTGACTTGGGACAGTGTTCTCGGGGCATCTCTGGAGTTGCCTGAAGGAAGTCAAGCCACCGGTCGTGTTGAATGGGGAACGGGGAATGGCTCTGGAGTCAATGCAGGGGAATCGGGCCTCATCTCGAGTTGATTTGGGGCCCATGGAGCTGCTTTGCATTGCTGGGGTGACCTCAGCGTCTGTCGAGACTGGTGACAGTGTTCTTGGGGACTCTCTCGAGAATCATTAAGCAAGTCGAAGCTCCTGACTTGCTTGAATGGGACCACGGAATAGCTCTGCATGCACTGCAGGGGAATGGGGCCTCATCTCGCCTCTATGGGGAAGTCTCATGGTTTTTCTCGAGTTGCGGCGGGGACCTGGGGTATGTTCTCGACTTACGGCGGGGATGGCCCTTCAAAACACGAGTTTCTTCAGTGACGTCAGGACTCCTGTCTAGTAACGAGGGACACCTCAGGAATCTCTTCGAGGCTTGGCAGGGCAAAAGGGACGCTTCTCGAGGTGAGGCAGGGCACCCAAGGACCCTTTCCAGTAGCCACAGGGATTTTGGGATTCCTATCAGTATTCAAGAGGAGTGAGGCATTGTCACCTTTTGAAGCAATGAACTTCATGTGCCTCTTGAGGTGTCAACGGGATGTGAGGCATTCCGTCAAAATGAGGCAGGGACCTAGGGCTTTCTCTAAGGTCTCCACAGGGGATTCAGACACTCCTTCATGTTGTGAGATGAAAGACGAGCCTGTATTCAAGTCACTGCAAGGAAATCCGGCCTCCTTTCAAGTTAGGGCTTCTCGCTGTATATTGCCCTTGAGACAGCGAACTCGGGGTACCTCCCACATACCTATTGCTGAGAGAAGCCTCCTCCTGAGGTGCGTCTTGAAAGTTGGCATACGTCTTGAGCCTAAGCCAGGGAATCACCTCTCATCTCGAGACGATTTGGGGTACACGGAGCATTCCTCGAGTTGCCGTGCTGAAGTTGGTGTTCCTCTAGACTTGGGACAGTGTTCTCGGGGCATCTCTGGAGTTGCCTGAAGGAAGTCGAGCCACCGGTCGTGTTGAATGGGGAACGGGGAATGGCTCTCGAGTCAATGCAGGGGAATCGGGCCTCATCTCGAGTTGATTTGGGGCCCATGGAGCTGCTTTGCGTTGCTGGGGTGTCCTCAGGGTCCATCGAGACTGGTGACAGAGTTCTTGGGGACTGTCTCGAGAACCATTAAGCAAGTCGAAGCTCCTGACTTGCTTGAATTGGACCACGGAATAGCTCTGCATGCACTGCAGGGGAATGGGGCCTCATCTCGCCTCTATGGGGAAGTCTCATGGTTTTTCTCGAGTTGCGGCGGGGACCTGGGGTATGTTCTCGACTTACAGCGGGGATGGCCCTTCAAAACACGAGTTTCTTCAGTGACGTCAGGACTCCTGTCTAGTAACGAGGGACACCTCAGGAATCTCTTCGAGGCTTGGCAGGGCAAAAGGGACGATTCTCGAGGTGAGGCAGGGCACCCAAGGACCCTTTCCAGTAGCCACAGGGATTTTGGGATTCCTATCAGTATTCAAGAGAAGTGAGGCATTGTCACCTTTTGAAGCAATGAACTTCGCGTGCCTCTTAAGGTGTCAACGGGATGTGAGGCATTCCGTCAAAATGAGGCAGGGACCTAGGGTTTTCTCTAAGGTCTCCACAGGGGATTCAGACATCCCTTCATGTTGTGAGATGAAAGACGAGCCTGTATTCAAGCCACTGCAAGGAAATCCGGCCTCCTTTCAAGTTAGGGCTTCTCGCTGTATATTGCCCTTGAGGCAGCGAACTCGGGGTCCCTCCCACATACCTATTGCTGAGAGAAGCCTCCTCCTGAGGTGCGTCTGGAAAGTTGGCATACGTCTTGAGCCTAAGCCAGGGAATCAGCTCTCATCTCGAGACGATTTGGGGTACACGGAGCATTCCTCGAGTTGCTGTGCTGAAGTTGGTGTTCCTCTAGACTTGGGACAATGTTCTCGGGGTATCTCTGGAGTTGCCTGAAGTTAGTCGAGCCACCGGTCGTGTTGAATGGGGAACGGGGAATGGCTCTGGAGTCAATGCAGGGGAATCGGGCCTCATCTCGAGTTGATTTGGGGCACATGGAGCTGCTTTGCGTTGCTGGGGTGACCTCAGCGTCCGTCGAGACTGGTGACAGTGTTCTTGGGGACTGTCTCGAGAACCATTAAGCAAGTCGAAGCTCCTGACTTGTTTGAATGGGACCACGGAATAGCTCTGCATGCACTGCAGGGGAATGGGGCCTCATCTCGCCTCTAGGGGGAAGTCTCATGGTTTTTCTCGAGTTGCGGCGGGGACCTGGGGTATGTTCTCGACTTACGGCGGGGATGGCCCTTCAAAACACGAGTTTCTTCAGTGACGTCAGGACTCCTGTCTAGTAACGAGGGACACATCAGGAATCTCATCAAGGCTTGGCAGTGCAAATGGGACGCTTCTTGAGGTGAGGAAGGGCACCCAAGGACCCTTTCCAGTAGCCACAGGGATTTTGGGATTAGTATCAGAATTCAAGAGGAGTCAGGCATCGTCACCTTTTGAAGCAATGAACTCCGCGTGCCTCTCGAAGTGTCAACGGGATGTGAGGCATTCCGTCCAAATGAGGCAGGGACCTAGGGCTTTCTCTAAGGTCTCCACAGGGGATTCAGACATCCCTTCATGTTGTGAGATCAAAGACGAGCCTGTATTCAAGCCAATGCAAGGAAATCCGGCCTCCTTTCAAGTTAGGGCTTCTCGCTGTATATTGCCCTTGAGTCAGCGAACTCCGGGTCCCTCCCACATACCTATTGCTGAGAGAAGCCTCCTCCTGAGGTGCGTCTTGAAAGTTGGCATACGTCTTGAGCCAAAGCCAGGGAATCACCTCTCATCTCGAGACGATTTGGTGTACACGGAGCATTCCTCGAGTTGCCGTGCTGAAGTTGGTGTTCCTCTAGACTTGGGACAGTGTTCTCGGGGCATCTCTGGAGTTGCCTGAAGGAAGTCAAGCCACCGGTCGTGTTGAATGGGGAACGGGGAATGGCTCTGGGGTCAATGCAGGGGAATCGGGCCTCATCTCGAGTTGATTTGGGGCCCATGGAGCTGCTTTGCATTGCTGGGGTGACCTCAGCGTCCGTCGAGACTGGTGACAGTGTTCTTGGGGACTCTCTCGAGAATCATTAAGCAAGTCGAAGCTCCTGACTTGCTTGAATGTGACCACGGAATAGCTCTGCATGCACTGCAGGGGAATGGGGCCTCATCTCGCCTCTAGGGGGAAGTCTCATGGTTTCTCTCGAGTTGCGGCGGGGACCTGGGGTATGTTCTCGACTTACGGCGGGGATGGCCCTTCAAAACACGAGTTTCTTCAGTGATGTCAGGACTCCTGTCTAGTAACGAGGGACAGCTCAGGAATCTCTTCGAGGCTTGGCAGGGCAAAAGGGACGCTTCTCGAGGTGAGGCAGGGCACCCAAGGACCCTTTCCAGTAGCCACAGGGATTTTGGGATTCCTATCAGTATTCAAGAGGAGTAAGGCATTGTCACCTTTTGAAGCAATGAACTTCGCGTGCCTCTTGAGGTGTCAACGATGATGTGAGGCATTCCGTCCAAATGAGGCAGGGACCTAGGGCTTTCTCTAAGGTCTCCACAGGGGATTCAGACACCCCTTCATGTTGTGAGATGAAAGACTAGCCTGTATTCAAGCCACTGCAAGGAAATCCGGCCTCCTTTCAAGTTAGGGCTTCTCGCTGTATATTGCCCTTGAGGCAGCGAACTCGGGGTCCCTCCCACATACCTATTGCTGAGAGAAGCCTCCTCCTGAGGTGCGTCTGGAAAGTTGGCATACGTCTTGATCCTAAGCCAGGGAATCAGCTCTCATCTCGAGACGATTTGGGGTACACGGAGCATTCCTCGAGTTGCTGTGCTGAAGTTGGTGTTCCTCTAGACTTGGGACAGTGTTCTCGGGGTATCTCTGGAGTTGCCTGAAGGAAGTCGAGCCACCGGTCGTGTTGAATGGGGAACGGGGAATGGCTCTGGAGTCAATGCAGGGGAATCGGGCCTCATCTCGAGTTGATTTGGGGCACATGGAGCTGCTTTGCGTTGCTGGGGTGACCTCAGCATCCGTCGAGACTGGTGACAGTGTTCTTGGGGACTGTCTCGAGATCCATTAAGCAAGTCGAAGCTCCTGACTTCTTTGAATGGGACCACGGAAGAGCTCTGCATGCACTGCAGGGGAATGGGGCCTCATCTCGCCTCTAGGTGGAAGTCTCATGGTTTTTCTCGAGTTGCGGCGGGGACCTGGGGTATGTTCTCGACTTACGGCGGGGATGGCCCTTCAAAACACGAGTTTCTTCAGTGACGTCAGGACTCCTGTCTAGTAACGAGGGACACCTCTGGAATCTCTTCGAGGCTTGTCAGGGCAAAAGGGACGCTTCTCGAGGTGAGGCAGGGCACCCAAGGACCCTTTCCAGTAGCCACAGGGATTTTGGGATTCCTATCAGAATTCAAGAGGAGTCAGGCATCGTCACCTTTTGAAGCAATGAACTCCGCGTGCCTCTCGAGGTGTCAACGGGATGTGAGGCATTCCGTCCAAATGAGGCAGGGACCTAGGGCTTTCTCTAAGGTCTCCACAGGGGATTCAGACATCCCTTCATGTTGTGAGATGAAAGACGAGCCTGTATTCAAGCCACTGCAAGGAAATCCGGCCTCCTTTCAAGTTAGGGCTTCTCGCTGTATATTGTCGTTGAGGCAGTGAACTCGGGGTCCCTCCCACATACCTATTGCTGAGAGAAGCCTCCTCCTGAGGTGCGTCTGGAAAGTTGGCATACGTCTTGAGCCTAAGCCAGGGAATCAGCTCTCATCTCGAGACGATTTGGGGTACACGGAGCATTCCTCGAGTTGCCGTGCTGAAGTTGGTGTTCCTCTAGACTTGGGACAGTGTTCTCGGGGTATCTCTGGAGTTGCCTGAAGGAAGTCGAGCCACCGGTCGTGTTGAATGGGGAACGGGGAATGGCTCTGGATTCAATGCAGGGGAATCGGGCCTCATCTCGAGTTGATTTGGGGCACATGGAGCTGCTTTGCGTTGCTGGGGTGACCTCAGCGTCCGTCGAGACTGGTGACAGTGTTCTTGGGGACTGTCTCGAGATCCATTAAGCAAGTCGAAGCTCCTGACTTGTTTGAATGGGACCACGGAATAGCTCTACATGCACTGCAGGGGAATGGGGCCTCATCTCGCCTCTTGGGGGAAGTCTCATGGTTTTTCTCGAGTTGCGGCGGGGACCTGGGGTATGTTCTCGACTTACGGCGGGGATGGCCCTTCAAAACACGAGTTTCTTCAGTGACGTCAGGACTCCTGTCTAGTAACGAGGGACACCTCAGGAATCTCATCGAGGCTTGGCAGTGCAAATGGGACGCTTCTTGAGGTGAGGCAGGGCACCCAAGGACCCTTTCCAGTAGCCACAGGGATTTTGGGATTCCTATCAGAATTCAAGAGGAGTCAGGCATCGTCACCTTTTGAAGCAATGAACTCCGCGTGCCTCTCGATTTGTCAACGTGATGTGAGGCATTCCGTCAAAATGGAGCAGGGACCTAGGGCTTTCTCTAAGGTCTCCACAGGGGATTCAGACATCCCTTCATGTTGTGAGATCAAAGACGAGCCTGTATTCAAGCCACTGCAAGGAAATCCGGCCTCCTTTCAAGTTAGGGCTTCTCGCTGTATATTGCCCTTGAGGCAGCGAACTGGGGGTCCCTTCCACATACCTATTGCTGAGAGAAGCCTCCTCCTGAGGTGCGTCTTGAAAGTTGGCATACGTCTTGAGCCTAAGCCAGGGAATCACCTCTCATCTCGAGACGATTTGGGGTACACGGAGCATTCCTCGAGTTGCCGTGCTGAAGTTGGTGTTCCTCTAGACTTGGGACAGTGTTCTCGGGGCATCTCTGGAGTTGCCTGAAGGAAGTCGAGCCACCGGTCGTGTTGAATGGGGAACGGGGAATGGCTCTGGAGTCAATGCAGGGGAATCGGGCCTCATCTCGAGTTGATTTGGGGCCCATGGAGCTGCTTTGCGTTGCTGGGGTGACCTCAGGGTCCGTCGAGACTGGTGACAGTGTTCTTGGGGACTGTCTCGAGAACCATTAAGCAAGTCGAAGCTCCTGACTTGCTTGAATTGGACCACGGAATAGCTCTGCATGCACTGCAGGGGAATGGGGCCTCATCTCGCCTCTAGGGGGAAGTCTCATGGTTTTTCTCGAGTTGCGGCGGGGACCTGGGGTATGTTCTCGACTTACGGCGGGGATGGCCCTTCAAAACACGAGTTTCTTCAGTGACGTCAGGACTCCTGTCTAGTAACGAGGGACACCTCAGGAATCTCTTCGAGGCTTGGCAGGGCAAAAGGGACGATTCTCGAGGTGAGGCAGGGCACCCAAGGACCCTTTCAAGTAGCCACAGGGATTTTGGGATTCCTATCAGTATTCAAGAAGAGTCAGGCATCGTCACCTTTTGAAGCAATGAACTCCGCGTGCCTCTCGAGGTGTCATCGGGATGTGAGGCATTACGTCCAAATGAGGCAGGGACCTAGGGCTTTCTCTAAGGTCTCCACAGGGGATTCAGACATCCCTTCATGTTGTGAGATCAAAGACGAGCCTGTATTCAAGCCACTGCAAGGAAATCCGGCCTCCTTTCAAGTTAGGGCTTCTCGCTGTATATTCCCCTTGAGGCAGCTAACTCGGGGTCCCTCCCACATACCTATTGCTGAGAGAAGCCTCCTCCTGAGGTGCGTCTGGAAAGTTGGCATACGTCTTGAGCCTAAGCCAGGGAATCAGCTCTCATCTCGAGACGATTTGGGGTACACGGAGCATTCCTCGAGTTGCTGTGCTGAAGTTGGTGTTCCTCTAGACTTGGGACAGTGTTCTCGGGGCATCTCTGGAGTTGTCTGAAGGAAGTCGAGCCACCGGTCGTGTTGAATGGGGAACGGGGATGGCTCTGGAGTCAATGCAGGGGAATCGGGCCTCATCTTGAGTTGACTTGGGGCACATGGAGCTGCTTTGCGTTGCTGGGGTGACCTCAGGGTCCATCGAGACTGGTGACAGTGTTCTTGAGGACTGTCTCGAGATCCATTAAGCAAGTCGAAGCTCCTGACTTGTTGAATGGGACCACGGAATAGCTCTGCATGCACTGCAGGGGAAAGGGGTCTCATCTCGCCTCTAGGGGGAAGTCTCATGGTTTTTCTCGAGTTGCGCGGGGACCTGGGGTATGTTCTCGACTTACGGCGGGGATGGCCCTTCAAAACACGAGTTTCTTCAGTGACGTCAGGACTCCTGTCTAGTAACGGGGGACATCACAGGAATCTCTTCGAGGCTTGGCAGGGCAAATGGGACGCTTCTTGAGGTGAGGCAGGGCACCCAAGGACCCTTTGCAGTAGCCACAGGTATTTTGGGATTCCTATCAGAATTCAAGAGGAGTCAGGCATCGTCACCTTTTGAAGCAATGAACTCCGCGTGCCTCTGGAGGTGTCAACGGGATGTGAGGCATTCCGTCCAAATGAGGCAGGGACCTAGGGCTTTCTCTAAGGTCTCCACAGGGGATTCAGACATCCCTTCGTGTTGTGAGATCAAAGACGAGCCTGTATTCAAGCCACTGCAAGGAAATCCGGCCTCCTTTCAAGTTAGGGCTTCTCGCTGTATATTGCCCTTGAGGCAGCGTACTCGGGGTCCCTCCCACATACCTATTGCTGAGAGAAGCCTCCTCCTGAGGTGCGTCTGGAAAGTTGGCAGACGTCTTGAACCTAAGCCAGGGAATCACCTCTCATCTCGAGACGATTTGGTGTACACGGAGCATTCCTCGAGGTGCCGTGCTGAAGTTGGTGTTCCTCTAGACTTGGGACAGTGTTCTCGGGGCATCTCTGGAGTTGCCTGAAGGAAGTCGAGCCACCGGTCGTGTTGAATGGGGAACGGGGAATGGCTCTGGAGTCAATGCCGGGGAATCGGGCCTCATCTCGAGTTGATTTGGGGCCCATGGAGCTGCTTTGCGTTGCTGGGGTGACCTCAGGGTCCGGCGAGACTGGTGACAGTGTTCTTGGGGACTGTCTCGAGAACCATTAAGCAAGTCGAAGCTCCTGACTTGTTTGAATGGGACCACGGGATAGCTCTGCATGCACTGCAGGGGAATGGGGCCTCATCTCGCCTCTAGGGGGAAGTCTCATGGTTTTTCTCGAGTTGCGGCGGGAACCTGGGGTATGTTCTCGACTTACGGCGCGGATGGCCCTTCAAAACACGAGTTTCTTCAGTGACGTCAGGACTCCTGTCTAGTAACGAGGGAAAGCTCAGGAATCTCTTCGAGGCTTCGCAGGGCAAAAGGGACGCTTCTCGAGGTGAGTCAGGGCACCCAAGACAATTTCCAGTAGCCACAGGGATTTTGGGATTCCTATCAGTATTCAAGAGAAGTCAGGCATCGTCACCTTTTGAAGCAATGAACTCCGTGTGCCTCTCGAGGTGTCAACGGAATGTGAGGCATTACGTCCAAATGAGGCAGGGACCTAGGGCTTTCTCTAAGGTCTCCACCTGGGATTCAGACATCCCTTCATGTTGTGAGATGAAAGACGAGCCTGTATTCAAGCCACTGCAAGGAAATCCGGCCTCCTTTCAAGTTAGGGCTTCTCGCTGTATATTGCCCTTGAGGCAGCGAACTCGGGGTCCCTCCCACATACCTATTGCTGAGAGAAGCCTCCTCCTGAGGTGCGTCTTGAAAGTTGGCATACGTCTTGAGCCTAAGCCAGGGAATCACCTCTCATCTCGAGACGATTTGGGGTACACGGAGCATTCCTCGAGTTGCCGTGCTGAAGTTGGTGTTCCTCTAGACTTGGGACAGTGTTCTCGGGGCATCTCTGGAGTTGCCTGAAGGAAGTCGAGCCACCGGTCGTGTTGAATGGGGAACGGGGAATGGCTCTGGAGTCAATGCAGGGGAATCGGGCCTCATCTCGAGTTGATTTGGGGCCCATGGAGCTGCTTTGCGTTGCTGGGGTGACCTCAGGGTCCATCGAGACTGGTGACAGTGTTCTTGAGGACTGTCTCGAGATCCATTAAGCAAGTCGAAGCTCCTGACTTGTTGAATGGGACCACGGAATAGCTCTGCATGCACTGCAGGGGAATGGGGTCTCATCTCGCCTCTAGGGGGAAGTCTCATGTTTTTTCTCGAGTTGCGGCGGTGACCTGGGGTATGTTCTCGACTTACGGCGGGGATGGCCCTTCAAAACACGAGTTTCTTCAGTGACGTCAGGACTCCTGTCTAGTAACGAGGGACATCTCAGGAATCTCTTCGAGGCTTGGCAGGGCAAATGGGACGCTTCTTGAGGTGAGGCAGGGCACCCAAGGACACTTTCCAGTAGCCACAGGGATTTTGGGATTCCTATCAGAATTCAAGAGGAGTCAGGCATCGTCACCTTTTGAAGCAATGAACTCCGCATGCCTCTGGAGGTGTCAACGGGATGTGAGGTATTCCGTCCAAATGAGGCAGGGACCTAGGGCTTTCTCTAAGGTCTCCACAGGGGATTCAGACATCCCTTCGTGTTGTGAGATCAAAGACGAGCCTGTATTCAAGCCACTGCAAGAAAATCCGGCCTCCTTTCAAGTTAGGGCTTCTCGCTGTATATTGCCCTTGAGGCAGCGAACTCGGGGTCCCTCCCACATACCTATTGCTGAGAGAAGCCCCCTCCTGAGGTGCGTCTTGAAAGTTGGCATACGTCTTGAGCCTAAGCCAGGGAATCACCTCTCATCTCGAGACGATTTGGAGTACACGGAGCATTCCTCGAGTTGCCGTTCTGTAGTTGGTGTTCCTCTAGACTTGAGACAGTGTTCTCGGGGCATCTCTGGAGTTGCCTGAAGGAAGTCGAGCCACCGGTCGTGTTGAATGGGGAACGGGGAATGGCTCTGGAGTCAATGCAGGGGAATCGGGCCTCATCTCGAGTTGATTTGGGGCCCATGGAGCTGCTTTGCGTTGCTGGGGTGAACTCAGGGTCGTCGAGACTGGTGACAGTGTTCTTGGGGACTGTCTCGAGAACCATTAAGCAAGTCGAAGCTCCTGACTTGCTTGAATGGGACCACGGAATAGCTCTGCATGCACTGCAGGGGAATGGGGCCTCATCTCGCCTCTAGGGGGAAGTCTCATGGTTTTTCTCGAGTTGCGGCGGGGACCTGGGGTATGTTCTCGACTTACGGCGGGGATGGCCCTTCAAAACACGAGTTTCTTCAGTGACGTCAGGACTCCTGCCTAGTAACGAGGGACACCTCAGGAATCTCTTCGAGGCTTGGCAGGGCAAAAGGGACACTTCTCGAGGTGAGGCAGGGCACCCAAGGACCCTTTCCAGTAGCCACAGGGATTTTGGGATTCCTATCAGTATTCAAGAGGAGTGAGGTATTGTCACCTTTTTAAGCAATGAACTTCGCGTGCCTCTCGAGGTGTCAACGGGATGTGAGGCATTCCGTCAAAATGAGGCAGGGACCTAGGGCTTTCTCTAAGGTCTCCACAGGGGATTCAGACATCCCTTCATGTTGTGAGATGAAAGACGAGCCTGTATTCAAGCCACTGCAAGGAAATCCGGCCTCCTTTCAAGTTAGGGCTTCTCGCTGTACATTGCCCTTGAGGCAGCGAACTCGGGGTCCCTCCCACATAACTATTGCTGAGAGAAGCCTCCTCCTGAGGTGCGTCTGGAAAGTTGGCATACGTCTTGAGCCTAAGCCAGGGAATCAGCTCTCATCTCGAGACGATTTGGGATACACGGAGCATTCCTCGAGTTGCTGTGCTGAAGTTAGTGTTCCTCTAGACTTCGGACAGTGTTCTCGGGGTATCTCTGGAGTTGCCTGAAGGAAGTCGAGCCACAGTTCGTGTTGAATGGGGAACGCGGAATGGCTCTGGAGTCAATGCAGGGGAATCGGGCCTCATCTCGAGTTGATTTGGGGCACTTGGAGCTGCTTTGCGTTGCTGGGGTGACCTCAGGGTCCATCGAGACTGGTGACAGGGTTCTTGAGGACTGTCTCGAGATCCATTAAGCAAGTCGAAGCTCCTGACTTGTTGAATGGGACCACGGAATAGCTCTGCATGCACTGCAGGGGAATGGGGTCTCATCTCGCCTCTAGGGGGAAGTCTCATGGTTTTTCTCGAGTTGCGGCGGGGACCTGGGGTAAGTTCTCGACTTACGGCGGGGATGGCCGTTCAAAACACGAGTTTCTTCAGTGACGTCAGGACTCCTGTCTAGTAATGAGGGACATCTCAGGAATCTCTTCGAGGCTTGGCAGGGCAAATGGGACGCTTCTTGAGGTGAGGCAGGGCACCCAAGGACCCTTTCCAGTAGCCACAGTGATTTTGGGATTCCTATCAGAATTCAAGAGGAGTCAGGCATCGTCACCTTTTGAAGCAATGAACTACGCGTGCCTCTGGAGGTGTCAACGGGATGTGAGGCATTCCGTCCAAATGAGGCAGGGACCTAGGGCTTTCTCTAAGGTCTCCACAGGGGATTCAGACATTCCTTCGTGTTGTGAGATCAAAGACGAGCCTGTATTCAAGCCACTGCAAGGAAATCCGGCCTCCTTTCAAGTTAGGGCTTCTCGCTGTATATTGCCCTTGAGGCAGCGTACTCGGGGTCCTTCCCACATACCTATTGCTGAGAGAAGCCTCCTCCTGAGGTGCGTCTGGAAAGTTGGCAGACGTCTTGAGCCTAAGCCAGGGAATCACCTCTCATCTCGAGACGATTTGGGGTACACGGAGCATTCCTCGACGTGCCGTGCTGAAGTTGGTGTTCCTCTAGACTTGGG